AAAAGAGCTTTATAGCTTATCAGATTCCCTCTGGAAAAATACATATTCTGATTCTGATACAACAAATATTCTGATGAAGCCTTTTACTTATCCAGAGAAGTCTCACTGAGTCTCAAGGCTCTGTATTCGAGAGGGCTCTACAGTGGAATGTTTGGCCAATCCCATCATTGATTAATGTGGTGCGCGTGGGAGGAAAGTGGAGTTCGCCGGGGAAATCCACGCACGCAAGGAGGTGACCGACTTAAGTCCACACAGATGGGTCCACAAACCCACTTACTGTACTACTGCCACCGCCTTCTGGCCTTTTTGCAGCCCGGCGGGTTTGGGGGTTCCACAGATCTCTGCTTGATCGACCAAACCTTGCTTCCGAATCACTGCAACACAGGGGTGTGCAACCACGAGCCTACACAACGCTGCATCTGTGATAATAGTGGCAATGATGAGAGCTGCTGTTCAAGTTCAACACGGAGAGCATTACAGCAGTGTGATTACAGATTGAACAACGCATAAAGCGAAATCCGCCTTCCCCTTACAGCTACTCCACGCTCGCAGCCAATCTGACCGCCCCTGTTGCGACCACCTTCCTTCGTGACAATGTTCCTCATGACAGCTTTCTCGTGATGACGCCTCTCAACTACCTCACTGAACAGACCCTCGTGTGGCTACCACTTGCTGGGAATACCTCTTGCCATGTCTACCTGCCGCACCTCTGATTAGCACAGTTGGCTACGTATGGTATGAAAGAAGTTCAATATACATACATACCTCTCGATGTGTCTACCTCTGAAATTTGTCGACCATTCAACGTGAGCTAATCTCTGAACGTCACTACCACCCCATAGCCTGACTGCTGTTCTTCACATGGTGATTGCCTCTCAATGTGCCTACCCTCTCAATGTTATATCATGACCACCTCTCAATCATGAGCACATCCCATTGGGACCACATCCGAATACATTTGCCCTCGGCAGCACGACTGCAGTACTGGACGTCACGATGCACTCTCCCCACCTTGTGACCATCACCAACACAGGGGTCGGCAACCCCAAATAACAAGAAGAGCAATTTTGATTTAAAGCTTTCGTGACTGCAGTAATTCATATTCTTAGCTCTTTCGGTAAAGCTAAGAATAAGAAGAGCAATCTTTTTCGAATTCGGTAAGAAAAAAAACGCATTTTAAGCACCGCAATGCACGTGAATAACGTGACGAAGCAGTTCTTAAAGAGCTGCATGTGTAGATCCGAAGCCGCAGGTTGCCGATCCCTGCACCAACACGACTACTCCCCGTCAAGTCGTCACCTTGGCGGCAGTGCCTTCTCCCCTGGCGTCTCCCTCCCGTCGTGGCCCCGTTGCCCGTCGCTCGCCCTACGGCCCCGGTGGCCCAGCGTCTCCGTTGCAGAATGATCATCTACGGGCAGTCAAATCCAAACGGAGGCCGGATTGCGACTGAATCCCGCTGCTAAGTACATTTGCTTGGCCGTCGGCCAACGCTAAATTCAATCCTTAATGGAATTTCAACCTTTATTTATCTGCCGCGTGGGCGGTGGCGGGGGAGCAGCGCAAGACGCAGAGTGAAGAATATTCGGTTCTTCACCCAGCGCACCAGCGTTTAAGGTGATCGGACTGGGTGATTTGCACGGGGGTGGGGGGGGGTGTTGCAGGTGAATGGGAAAACTGAGGTTGACTCTGCCGCAAGGTGGCTAGGAGGAATTGTAATTTTGTTTGTCCAAGCGGAGTTTTGTTGAGTTTGGATGAGTGGGTGCGCTCCGACACTCTTCCCAACAATCACCTCCACAGCCACCATCATCACCACCACTATCACCACCACCGCCAATGTCACCATCAATTCCACTGTCACCACCACTATCACCACCTCCACTGCCACCATCATCACAACCACCACCAACACTATCTCCACCACCTCTACTGCCATCACCACCTCCACTGCTACCATCATCACCGCAACCACCACCACTATCACTAAGTCATGTTCGCGAGCACCGCCTTTGTCTCCCCCGTGCTGGTGTCCTATACAGCGCAACAGGTACTCGTTTAAGGCTGAGTTAACCTAGGGGTGACTCAGGACCAGATTAAATATTCGCCACTGTTATTGGTCTTGAGCGGGAAGCGAACTCAGGTCTTACTACATGTGTGCATCCATCGAATCTCGCCAAACGATATCGTTGCATTACTTACGGGGAAATAGTTTCCGCTTACCGCTTTTTACCTTAACGCGGCACTTTTCAGGAACGGTTCTACCGCGTTAAAGAAGGACTTACCATATAAAGGAGAGTATGGTCATATATCAGTGTGGCCGATTCGACTCTTGGCACGGTCGAGAAGCTCTGCTGCTGAAAGCACGGAGATAATTACTCCCCTGGCTTGTGGCGAGTGACACAAACCAGCATTGTCATTCACCACGGAACCGGGAGCGACAGAGGGCATCGCGTTGCGGGGCGAGGGGTGCCATCGTTAAGGATTAAAAACGCGGCGCTCAGAAATGCCACCGACGCGTGATCGTATTTTAATTGAAAATGAGAAAAAAAGTCACCGGATGGAGATCAAATTCGAGCTTGCGGTGCTTTCACTGACATTTGATGCGGCTTCGAGCCAGCCCCGCCTGGTATTGTTTACGATTTGAAAATTAAAGTTCATGCACAGCTTAGGTACGTCGTTATTTAATGATCATGTTTTGTTGCTGTTACTTTGGATCGCGATGATGATGTTGATAACATTTGCTGTCAATAATGTGAATGAATCTATTGAATGCGACTTTTGATGATGGAGATATGATTGTTGATTTGTTCAGCTCATCTAATTGTATTCTTAATTTATTTTTTTGTGTTGGGTCCCTACACCACCCAACATAGCCAAAGAAATTAGTTTGACGAAACTGCTGGTGGGAGTGACTCATACTTCAGATCGTTATGAAGCCTAACCCAAACATTTACAGTATTATGAATTGGTGATATTGATGGTGTTGTTGATGGAATTCTGATGACGAACTTTATGATGATGATGATAATGATGAAATTACAGATGATAATAATGGTTGTAATGAACATGACAAATAATGATGATGATATGCTTATTATTGTTGATATCGATAGTGTTGATGGTGGTATAGTGATGATGTTCGTGATGAAAATGATAATAATGAAAATGCAATATGATACAATATAGATTCCTCTCCTCTCATGTTCCAGTCAGTCCCCTCAACAGACAAGATGTTCTACATCCAGTGCACAGTCCCTCTGGACTTTATTTTGTTTCATGACATGACAGTGATGACACAATTGGAATAAAAATTGTAACCATTAAAATGTTAATTGAAAAAAGGAACAGGCTCAGGATAGAGCGGAAATTACGGTCCTGAACTCAGAGGGGAGAGTGTCTTTACTGAGACACACAGAGGGGAGAGAGTCCCGACTGAGACACCCAGAGGGGAGAGTGTCTCTACTGAGACACGCAGAGGGGAGACTGTCTCACTGAGACATCCAGAGGGGAGAGTGTCTCTACTGAGACACACAGAGGGGAGAGTGTCTCTACTGAGACACGCAGAGGGGAGAGAGTCTTTACTGAGACACACAGAGGGGAGAGTGTCTCTACTGAGACACGCAGAGGAGAGAGAGTCTTTACTGAGACACAGAGGGGAGAGTGTCTCTACTAAGACACCCAGAGGGGAGAGTGTCTCTACTGAGACACACAGAGGGGAGAGGGTCTTTACTGAGACACCCAGAGGGGAGAGTGTCTCTACTGAGACACACAGAGGGCAGAGTGTCTCTACTGAGACACCCAGAGTGGAGAGTGTCTCTACTCAGACACACAGAGGGGAGAGTGTCTCTACTGAGCCACGCAGAGGGGAGAGTGTCTCTAGTGAGACACCCAGAGTGGAGAGTGTCTCTACTCAGACACCCAGAGGGGAGAGTGTCTCTACTGAGACACGCAGAGGGGAGAGTGTCTCTAGTGAGACACCCAGAGTGGAGAGTGTCTCTACTCAGACACACAGAGGCGAGAGTGTCTCTACTGAGACACGCAGAGGGGAGAGTGTCTCTACTGAGACACCCAGAGGGGAGAGTGTCTCTACTGAGACACCCAGAGGGGAGAGTGTCTCTTCTGAGACACACAGAGAGGAGAGTGTCTCACTGAGACACACAGAGGGGAGAGTGTCTCAACTAAGACACCCAGAGGGGAGAGTGTCTTTACTGAGACATCCAGAGGGGAGAGTGTCTCTACTGAGACACCCAGAGGGGAGAGTGTCTCTACTGAGACACCCAGAGGGGAGAGTGTCTCTACTGAGACATCCAGAGGGGAGAGTGTCTCTACTGAGACACGCAGAGGGGAGAGTGTCTTTAATGAGACACCCAGAGGGGAGAGTGTCTCCACTAAGACACCCAGAGGGGAAAGTGTCTCTACTAAGACACCCAGAGGGGAGAGTGTCTCACTGAGACACCCAGAGGGGAGAGTGTCTCTACTGAGACACCCAGAGGGGAGAGTGTCTCTTCTGAGACACACAGAGGGGAGAGTGTCTTTACTGAGACACCCAGAGGGGAGAGTGTCTCTTCTGAGACACCCAGAGGGGAGAGTGTCTCTACTGAGACACACAGAGGGGAGAGTGTCTCTACTGAGACACCCAGAGGGTAGAGTGTCTCTACTGAGACACCTAGAGGGGAGAGTGTCTCTACTGAGACACACAGAGGGGAGAGTGTCTTTACTGTGACACCCAGATGGGAGAGTGTCTCTACTGAGACACCCAGAGGGGAGAGTGTCTCTACTGAGACACACAGAGGGGAGAGTGTCTTTACTGTGACACCCAGAGGGGAGAGTGTCTCTACTGAGACACCCAGAGGGGAGAGTGTCTCTACTGAGACACACAGAGGGGAGAGAGTCTCTACTGAGACACCCAGAGTGGGATTGGGGGGGTTCACACATCCAAGTGCTGACCTATCCCAGCCACGTGTATCCCGTGCCAAGGTCGTGCTGTGTCTGTGCGGGTGCAGTTGGAGCGGTACAAGCAGGACCCCTCTCCCAGCACGTGCCTGCACTCCGTGTTCCACGTGCACACGGGGGACGAGCTGCTGGACTACAGCCTCTACGGGCACCTGCAGGTGCATGTGAATGCGAGCATGCATTCGTGTGTACGTGCGTACGTGTTTACGTGTGTGTACATGCATACATGTGTACGTGCATACGTATGTACTTGCGTACGTGCGTACGTGTGTGTACATGCATACGTGTGTACGTGCATACGCGTGTACGTGTGTATGTGCGTACGTGTGTACGTGTGTGTGCATACGTATTGCTCGATCAATAACAGAGGCAAATGTCTGAACCGGTTAGGGGCCTCTCCCCCAGGTCGACTCAGCCTTAAAAGAGTACCTTGTGCGCTGTGTAAACATTGCCACTGGGGAGACAAAGGTGGCCGTTTTTGGCGTGGTGCTGGCAACACCCATCCCATTGTAATAATAAATGAAATGTATAAAGCGCCCTTAAACAATCGTTCTCAGGGCGCACGGTACCAGCCTTAAAAGGTGCTCGCAAACAGCAATTGCCCCAACAGTCTGTTAAGGCAACGAAGCGAGTCTTTGTCTCGTGTGCATTTTTGGAGAATTGTGGTACAGAGGTTTCCACATCGCACATTTGAACCCAGTGACCAGGATTCGATTCCCGGCCAGGGATAACATCATTGGCACCGTCTTATCTGAGCCTGTCCTGGCCTCTCCTCTAGGTTGACTCATCCTTTAATTAGTATACCCTGTGCGGTGTGAAAACATCACCGCTGTGGAGAGCAATATGTCTGAGCAATTCACTGTGCATTGTGTGTATGTATTTGTGTGTGTGTGCGTTTGTGTGTACTTGTGGGAGCGGTCGCGTAGTAGTTTGCACATTGCGCTACGAACCTGGTGACCCTGAGTTCGATCCCCATCAATGACGAATACCTGAATTGTTTCTGAGTCTCCCCCAGGTCGACTCAGGCTTATATGATCACTACCTTAATATATATGTAGAAATTATTTAGCATCGTACGTAGCCAACCGTGCTAGCCAACTTGCAGCACTTGCCCAATAATGAACATTGCGTGCTCGGCGGCTCTATGTACACGTGTGCATATTATATGATTTGTGTATACACTGTATATATTTATATATACCAAGACAAAGATCCCCCCATGTAGCCTTAACAGACTGTTGGGACAAGTGCCCTTAGCGAGCACCTATGAAGGCCAGAATGGCACACGAGGGTGTGGGTGGCCAGCGCAACACGTGGCCGTCTTTCTCTCGTGGCAATGTTTACACACCGCACCAGGTACTCACTTGAGGCTGAGTCGACCTAGGGGAGGCCCCGGACCGATTCAGATAATCGTCACTGGTGTTGGCCGTGAGCAGGAATCGAACTCAGGTTGCCCGGGGTTCGTAGCGCAGCTTGCTAGTCGCTACATTACCGCTCCTCCATATATAAACACGGTCACTCACTTATTAGCAGTCGGTCACCTCCTTATCACTCTTCTAACGCTCCTGCCATGGTTACTGTTCGCGTGGACTTCACTCGTTGATTCCTCCACCCGTGTTGAGGACTGTGTTCAACCACCACTCTAGAAAAAATTTGGAATAATGATAATGTGTCTTTTGCTTGCAATGTTGGAAAGAGAACCTGTTTGTTTTAATTTAAATGGGAGCGCATCACCCCCCTCTCGGGGCTGATCGCCAAGCCCAGGGGTCGGCAACTACAATAACAAGAAGAGCTAAAAAAAAATATTATAATTTGGAGGGGAAACAAAAACCTAAATATTTTAAGAGCCGCAATGCACCTTGTGGTGAATACGAGACAGTGGTCCTTCATGAATAATGTCACGGAGCGATCCTTAAAGAGCCGTATGTGGCTCCGGAGCTGACCGCCTGACCTAATCTATTGTCCTATCATATGAAGTCCAAACACTCACACACACATTCTGAGCCTGAGTCATATTCGCATTCCCAATGTCCAGAACTCATCCCGCCTCGGAAATCTCTATTCGTTCCCCGCTTAAGCAGCGTCTTGATGATTGGTAGAAGGTCACGGCGAGCCATGCCAGTGAAATGGAGTGAATGTGTGTGTCTGTGTTTACATTGTGGGGGAGGGCAGCGGCAGTGTAGTGATTAGCGCGGTGCGTTACGAATCCCGCGACGACCCGAGTTCGATTCCCACTCACAACTGATAACGGTGATGAATATCTGATTCGGTCCTGGGCCTCTGCCCAAGGTCGATTCAGCCTTAAATAGGTACCTTGTGCGGTGTGTAAAACATCAGCACTTGGGAGACAAATCTCAGCCGAGCTGCACTCCGGGACCTCTGGTTTTCCCCTCCACATTTAGAAACATGCGTTTAGATTATTTAGATGCTTTTGCTGCTATCAATTCCCATACAACAAACCACTTCGATAAGCTATAATTTGTGGCCAGGTCGCTTCTACAAAAGATGGTAATAGCTCAGTGGGCTTTACATGGTAAGATTTGTTTTTATTGTTTAGTTTTACTTGTACATGTTTTTAAGTGATTCCTTTACCTTTATTTTACTTTTCACTCCTATCATGTTATTGTATTGTGTGTTGCTGCAACGTTCTGATCCCATACCCCTACTGAACACCCTTGAAAAAGCTCATCGGATTCCTCGTAGTATAAACACAGATTCTGATTCTGTCACAGTTGGAGTTAGTACCCTCTTCACGTGGCAAGTGGTCATTAGCAATGGGGAGACAAAGGTGGCTGGGAGAGGGTGCTGGCCCACATTGGCCTCTCATGCACCATGCTGCCCTTAATTGATGTCTCCCCAACAGCACTTATCTCTGAACTCTATACGGCCGAATGTCGATAGACGTCTCTTGATTGGATTGTGTGTGTGTTAATCAACTCCGTATTGTTAACCCTTGCCAGCGAGCTATTGCCATTCTCAAAGTGCACCTAGACTGGCACCAGCACTACTGTGGTAAGGCCATCACTGTCGTAGTCGTACAATGGTGGTAGCATATTGTATGTGTTTGTTTGTACATGCTCAAGTCACCACACTGAGTGAACCTGTAACACCTGGATCTGTTCCGTGACCGCCTACTAGTGAGCCTTCATCACTTCATGTGGCCTCAAAGTGTACCTAGCCTGGCACAAGCACCTTAGTCACAAAGTGACGAAGGCAGATGTTGTTGATGTTGTTAATGTGTGTGTGTATATCAATGGGTGTTTATGTTTGTGTGTCTGTGTTTTTATACATGTGTGCATTTGCTTGCATGTGTCGGTATGGGTGTAAATGTTTGTGTTTCTGTGCTTGTATGTATGTGTGTGTATTTGTGAATTAATTGTGGGAGTGGTGGCGTTGTGGTTAGCATGCCGCCGGATGAACCCAGTGACCCGAGTTCGATTCACGCTCACGGCCAACACCGGTGACGATTATCTGAACCCGTCCTGGGCCTCCTCCCCTAGGTCGACTCGGGATCACATGAGTACCTGGTGCGGTGTGTAAACATCGCCACTGGGGGAGAGAAAGGCGGTCGGGCGTGGAACTGGCCACCCCATCCCCTCGTTTACCTTGCCAGCCTTCATAGGTGCTGCTCGCTAACAGCACTTGCCCCAACAGTCTATTAAAGCTATACGGGGGATCTTTGTCTTGTTGTCAGATCGATGCCCTTTCACTCTTCCTCCTCTACCTCGTTGAGATGACGTCCTCGGGCCTGCAAATCATCTACAACACCGATGAGGTAACGCAACAAACAAAAACACAAACAAGTGACAAACAAAATATTCTACAATGCACTGGGCCACCCATAATGCTTTGAAAAAAAATTACAACAGAGGTTTAAGAGTGCTCAACTTGATGATGATGCTGCAGAACCTCTCATCCAGCTCTTGACGGAGGTCCTTCACGCTTGCTTGGTGAAGTGTAGTTGGCCGTGTGTCAGTCATCCTCTATATTTACAATCCTAGTGCTCAGGGTTGGGCTAGGCCAGGGGTCAGCAATCAAAATAACAAGAAGATAATTTTGTTTCGAATTCAGTAAAAAAAACCCTCTATTTTTCAAGAGCCGCAATGCAATGTGAATACGAGACGGTGGTCCTTAATACATATTGTCACCAAGCGGTCCTTGAAGAGCCGCATGCGGCTCTGGAGCTGCAGGTTATCGACTCCTGGGCTCGGCTGACTGAAGTAAAACAACAATAGTCTGATTAATCTTGTATATTCATTCATTGGTGATTGGGCAAAGCCCATCAGACTCACAGCACAGTACACACAACTCACGGAAGGCTGGAGTCCGGATGCTAACCTAGGTTTTAGTGGTCATCTGGCATAGTGCTCAAGCTGGGTTTCCAAAACCCATCTATCACAAATTACAGCTGTGCCTCTTACCACGCTTCCCATTTGACCTCTCAGCAAATATAAATTGTTAAAACACACTGCACGTGCCTGATGGTTGGTAAACACTGTTTCATGTAACTCTCTTTGTTTCTTTGCACATTGACAAAATAATCCCCCATGTAGCCTCAACAGATTGTCGGGTCAAGTGCTGTTAGCGAGTAGCATCTATGAAGGCCGGCACGGCACACGAGGGGGTTGTTGGACAGCCCCATGCCCGACCACCGTTGTCTCCCCAGTGGTGATGTTTACACACCACACCAGGTACTAATTTGAGGCTGAGTCAACCTAAGGAAAACCCAGGACCGGTTCAGATAATCATTACCGGTGTTGGCCGTGATTGCGAATTGAAACCGGTCGCCAGGCTCATAACACAGCGCGCTAATTGCTACTCTACCTCTCCCCACGACACACACACACAGTTTTAATTTGAAGCAGCGTATAATGGCTTCATTTGTATTTGAAGAGTGATAGATTCTGGTAAATAGAGGAGATGGGTGGTGGTGGGTCACGAGTAATGGCGTTTGCGAAAAACGCTGCCACAGTGAATCGTTTGGACCGCCCACCTTACCTCTATTTGATGCCCGTTTGGAGTCACTAATTGACACGAGCCTGCAGTCTGCAAGATTTATGCAAGCAGCGTTCAATATGACCATGCATTGGAACAGTGCTGCTTAATAAAAAAAAACGTGCCGTCACACGTGGCAATCTAGGAATGTACATCGCATCCACTTTATGTGGAGTAACTCATAGACTGCTAAGCAGAATTAATTTGATATATAGACGTAATGTTTAATAGTCTCACCATACATCATATTGTAGTTGTTAATGTTTTTTTATATCTATATAAATGTGTTGAGTTGCCTCTGTGACGCAGGTTTCTCACAGGACTTTCACCTGGTTTTATATGAACGATGTCTGCCAGACAATGCATGGGATAACATCGACACAGAGAACATCGACACAGAGAATATCCACACGGATAACATCCGCAAGGAGAACATCCACATGTTAGAGACCTCTCATTGACCAAAGGAGGGCACCCAGGTCACTCTTATAAACAGGACTATCCTGGTCTCTTAGTTCTCGTCTGATGAAACAAAATATGATTAAGAAAAATACGTGGGTCTCGGGCATGATAACGTCGTTACAAGTTGACGATGGCCGATGGGCAAAAGTATTAACGTAGTGGCAGCCAAGGGACGGCATGCGTCAAAGAGGACGTTCACCGCAGAAATGGAGCAATGGAATTAGCTCTCGTCGAGGAGCCACGTGTTACGTTACATCGCAGGAGCATGAGAGGTGGCAACAGCTTGGCGGGGAGGCCTTCATCCAGCAGTGATGATGCACCTATCCGCGGCCGGGCAGCACTCTGGATGAAGCGAAAGCCCCTGCTCACTGTCTCCTCCATCCCAAATGCTCCACTCCCCCCCCACACCTCCCATTTAACCCCCTCCCCCACCACCCCGTGCAGGTGACGTTTGTGCAGAACCTGGTGTACTGCGTGGAGCGTGCGTACCGCGTGCCCGACTTCGGAATGTGGGAACGCGGCAACAAATACAACAACGGCAGCACGGAGCTGCACGCCAGGTGGGACCGGGCTCACCAGGGCCAGCTCAGTGGCCTGGGTCATCAGAATCAGAATATGTATTCATACTGAAGAAATCTGATGAGCTATGAAGCTCTTTTTTGCAGATGGACAGTGGTGGATCCAAGGTTGGGAGGCGATGGGGCCAGTTACACCCCCTCCCCCTCCTCAGAACATCACAACTGGTGTTCTTTTGATAGTTGCCATGGAGAATACATTGACTAATGTAGGACCCCACTTGTCGTGTAGGACATGTCAGCACCACAACCCCTCGGGAAGTTTATAGTTTTGCCACTGCCTCTAGCAATGCAATTGCATGGAACAAGTTTGGTGGAAATCTTCTTTAATTTGCACCGATTTAACTGGATTGAGATTAAGGTTCAGTTGCAACCAACCACTGATTTGGGGCCTGGTTTAGGGATGATTTTAGGTCTGGGTTAGGACATAGTTCTTTCGCAATAATAATTGATATTGGCCTACTTAAGCAGTTGGCTTAGGATCTTGATTAGGAATTATTTTGGACCTGGTTTTGGCTTAATTTAGTCGGCTGCATTAGGGCCTGGTTCATGGCTAGTTTAGGGGGTCATTTCGGGCCTTTTTTCGGGACTGGTTCATAGCCTAGTTTAGTTCTGGCTTAGGGGCTAATTTACAGGTCCCAAGAGCAAATCCCTCAAGTCTCACACACGTGGTATACAGCTCATCTGGTTGAGGGATGCAGAACCCCTTAGATTTAAATTAAACAATGCTTTGTCAAATTTTCTAAATTAAAATTATACCTGTAAATAGTTTTTCCATGCTCTCACCAATGCTGGTGGAAATAGGATATTCCTTTGGCAAGGGCCAAAGGAGGTGATGGCCTGGTCTTGGTTTTAATTTTATCAGGGGGAACGATCCCAGCTGGGATTTGAACTCATACCTTACCACTTTGCCTCAGAGCCACCACCTCACCAGATCCGGGCAATATAATTCCACACACTCAATGTATGCTTCACATCAACATCGTCATCATCATCATCAACCATGATTGATCAATCCACTGCTAAATGAAGGTGCACGCATGGCTGTTCATTATAACAGAAATAAATAAAAACGTTGCTAATTGAGTGGACTCCTCTCGTTGTCCCTGCAGTTCTGTGGGCCTTGCCAAGGCCGCGCTGGAAGCCATCAACGGATTCAACTTGTTTGGGCCTCAGGTGATGTGTGCAGAGCAACGGCCGTTGTACACGTGGCAGTGGAAGCTGTTTGGGTGTGTGTGGGTGTTGCTTGCGTTTCGTTAGTTGATTAATCCACTGAAAAATACCACTGAATTCTTATTTTGTGGCTGCTGGAAAAAATGGTAGCCATCTCCACATCCTGCCTCCTGAAGGCTGGAAACCCTTCTACGAGCCACACCCAGTTATAACGTGCCTGATGATGCCAATGACGTCTCCAAGACCAGGCCATCACCTCCCGTCCAGCAACCACATGAGAGAACGGCTATTTTTGTGTGATCCGATTAGTTAAGTAAATCCAACCGATAATCAGGATCGTAATCGTGTACTTTTTATGTTTTTTTTTATTTATTTGACAAGAGCCCGGTACAAAGCACAAACCACACCAAGGGAGAGGTGGAGGGGCACAGAAATTCTGTGGACTGAAACCCCAACTCGGTGCTCCTGGGTTCTGGGAAGGGGAGAAGGTTGGGCTCACTGCCTCACTCACACAGCGACTGTGAGCAGCAGGAGCATAGGCTTCTTTTACGGGGAAGGGAAGGTGAGTGAAGAGGAACAATAGTCAAGAGAAAAAGGGGTGGGGGGGGGGGGGTAATCGATTACTTAAAAAGAGTCGGATAGTCCAGTTCTACTTTGGTTGCAAGATGTTTGGTTTTCAAACCAGACTGTTCGTTAATCGACCTTGCGGTACAATACTCATTCGATGTCTCTGATTTGACGTCAAAACACCACGCTTCTGCACGCGTCCAAAGTGCGACCCACAGAGCGGAGCATTGCTCGCCAGGAACATTAACGCTACACAATTTCTTTAAGGCTGCACCAGGACACATGGTCAGCTGACAGCCACTCTCTCTTGGCACGTGACTAGCCGCCACAGCGAGAGCCACGCTGGGTGTAGTGTGCAAGGACAGACCCAGTTAAAATCAAGCCCTGTCCATGATCCTCCACGTTGGTGCAGAATGAGATTTATCAGTGTAAAATTGCAATGTTTCATCAAGCGGATAATCTCACCCCCACCCTGCTCCACCCCTTGCCGCTTTTGTCCGTTTATTTGGGAAGAGGAAAGTTGGCAACCCTAAGCGTTGCTGCCAAAGCAATCGCCCTTGCCGCATTCGCTGTCCCATTCGCTCATTTCTCGAGCTTAATCCCCAATCTCACCCTCCAGATTCACCAGGACGGATGTCGCGTACGTAATCGAGACGAGCATTACATATTGGGTTGTAACTACCGCGTGCTGTTAAGCGCGATGTCCGACGTTTCTCTCTGCATGATGGAGGCTTCTCCATTAACTAAAACGTCGGAACACAATGCCGAAACGTGTGTGCCATGAGCCCGAATACACGTCGGAGAGCAATATAACAAAACCGCAAAAAACCTCGAAGCAGTTACACTGCAAGCGTCTCCTTGCTTATCTCAATTGTAGGTTCTGCGCCAGTGGTGGAAGTTCCCCTTTCATATGGTGGAATGCGTGCAGAAGTGCATGCAGATCAACATTGCAGTGAAATGTATGGGTTTATCGATTAATATCGATTATTAATCTCACGACACGTGCATCGAATCGCGTGCATAAGAATGTTTTTTAATGTGTTTTTGTCGTATGTAATGGGGGTCACATCACCCCTGCAGCCATTAGAGGCCGATATTTCCTCATCGAGGGCAGCCATCCGTCAACCTGACGTGACGGCCAAAAGGAAAAAAATATCCCAAAAAGTAAAAAACAAAACTATCCAAGTAATTTGATATCGTAGAGTGACGTTAAAATGCCACGTTTTTAAGAACCATAGTTTCTAAATAAAATAGTTGGCGCGTGTGTCCGTAAAGCCCAAGGGACTTTTATCGGAGAATTAATGGTTTTTAAAATTCAGTCTGCAATAATGACGGTGTAATTGGACTCGCGTGTGGCTGCGATGGGCTTTGTAACATGACTTTAATTGCCAGCGTCATTATAATAATTGAGTATTATTCCAGCTGTCATTAAGCAAGGTAGACTAAATTGCTGATGTATGCTACATTGACAGATCGAGACAGATATGCTTACAAATGTAATAACGATGATTTGATCAGCAAATAGGGTTAAAAGAAGCAAACGTGCAAAGAGGTGAAAAACTTATATAAATGTGAGCGAGGGTATGCAGTGATTGTTTGTATGATGTACAAGGGCGAGTGCAAAGTATGTGCCCTGACACAGAGAATGATGAGTGGCCTAGATGGAGTTGCGTTATTGCTCCACGTGGTCTGCTTGGTACATCATCATCATAATTTTCATAATCATGGAGATCATCGTCGTCATCGTCAATCTCCCAAAACCTGTGCCGGGGCGTCGAGTTGTTAACTACCTCGCCTGATATGCATGGGGTCGTGGGTTAGAGCCCGACACTGATGCCTGTACATTTGGAGTTTCCATGTTCTCTCCGTGGTCGAGTGAATTTTTCTTCTTGTCCTCCGGTTTTTCCCTCCACATTTAGAAACACGCGTTTAGAGTATTTGGCTGCTGTAAATTTTCACTTGATGATAAGCCACTTCGTTGAGTTATAATTTGTGGCTAGGTAGCTTCTGAAAAAAGAGCTATATAGCTCAGAGGGCCTTACCTTGTAAATAAACTGTTCAGTTCAGAGTCGTAGTTGTTTAATCGCCACCCAGAAGAACGTTTTGTCTCGTTACTCGATGCACTCGCACGCCACTTCATCGCCGCTTGGATGCCGGCTTCTCCTCCGCGGGCGGACTTCCTCACCTGTGGGGGCAGTGGGAGGCACCGTTGGATTTTAAAACGTTTCTGCAGGATTTTCTTCGGATGTTGTCAGTTTAAAAAAAAGGAAAATTTCAGGTAATATTAAACGTAAGATTATTTCAAGTACATTACATGTGCTACAAAAATAAATGGATGGGTCAATCATTATTATAATGCCCCACTGCACATCAATAAGGCGTCTCCAAGTGCTCTATAGAACGTCAGATGTACACGCATGGCCAACACATTTAGTTTTGACTGACCAAGCAATGAACCCTGGACATTTTTAATAAGCGCTTATGTTATAATGACCGACCATCCGCAGGATGAAGGCTGAGGGGTGGCTGCGATGCCAGTATGGCAGGGAGAGGGATGGTCTCAGACAGACCTTGGCGATGAACACTCGCTATTGGGACGTCACTGGGGGGGAAGGAGCGCTGGTGAAGGAGGTGGAAAGGTACCGACTAGATATAGTCGGTCTCACAGTGGGTGTAGTGCTCGACAAGAGTGCCGCCTACCGACTCCACAGTCTTGCTGGGCGACTTCAATGCTCACGTGGGAAACGATGGAGATACCTGGAGAGGCGTGATTGGGAGGAATGCCCCCCGCCCCGTTCCCGATCTGTAACCGAACGGTGAGATGTTATTGGAATTCTGTGCTAGTCACGGAATGTCAATAACAAACACCGTGTTCGAACACAAGAATGCTCACAAGTGTACTTGGTACCAGAGCACCTTAGGCCGAAAGTCAATGACTGACTTCATAGCCGTATCAGCAGACCTAAGGCCGTATGTTCTGGACACTCGGTTGAAGATAGGGGCAGAGCTGTCAACCGATCACCACCTGGTGGTAGTTGGATCCGACGCTTGGGGCACCAACCAGATCGACGTGAAAGGCCCAAACGAATAGTGCGGCTTTTCTGCGAATGTCTGGTGGAAGACTCAGTGCAGAAATATTTCAACTGCCACCTCAGGGAAAGCTCCGATGCTCCAGGGGAGGTCGTGGGCATTGAGTCCGAGTGGACGATGTTCAGGACCTCGATCATCGATGCGGCTGCGAAAAGATGTGGCCTGAATGCAGTTGGTACTTGTCATGGCGGCAACCCTAGGACCCGCTGGTGGGACACCAGTTGTGAGAGAAGCTGTCAGGCTGAGAGGTACCGGTTTGCCAAGAGGGTGGCAGCGGTAGCGGTCGCTACCGCTGGGCGTAGGAGGAGTTTGGAGAGTCCATGGAGAGGGACTACCGGGCAGCCTCAAAGAAGTTCTGGCAAACCATCCGATTCCTTAGGAGAGGTCGACGGAATGTGGCCCAGGCTGTTCTCAGTAAGGGTGGCGGCGTAACATTGAACTCAACTAAGGAGATAGTCGAGAGGTGGAAGGAACGCTTTGAGGAGCTCTTCAACCCGGTGGACATGCCCTCGTCTCAGGAGGCAGCCCTGGAAACAGCTGGGGGGAGGGAGGGGGAGGGGGTCGGATCCACCACGGCTGCTGAAGTCGCTGTGGCGGTCGAGGGCCTTCATAGCGGAAACGCTGCTGGGGTGGACGAGATTCGCCCAGAGTTGTTAAAATCGCTGGACAGTGTAGGAGTGCTGTGGTTAACACACCTCTTCAATGTTGCATGGAAGGCGGGTTACAGTACCTCTGGATTGGCAAACTGGGGTTGTGGTCCCTATTTTTTCAAACCAAAGGGTGTGCTCCAACGATAGAGGGATCACACTGCTCAGTGTCCCAGGTAAAGCCTATGCCAGGGTGCTGGAGAGAAGGCTACGCCTGGTGGTCGAGCCTCAGATTCAGGAGGAACAATGCGGATACCGTCAGGGTCGTGGAGCAATGGACCAGCTCTTTTCCCTCTCAAAAATATTTGAAGGGTCATGAGAGTATGCTTCTCAAGTCTATCTCTGCTTTGTAGACTTGGAGAGGGCATATAACCGTCTTCCCCGCCATGTCTTGTGGGAGGTGCTGCGGGGTACGTGTGCTATCTGGTCCCTCAATTCCTGGAGTGAGAGCTTTCCCCGTATTCTTTCAGTTAAATCAAAGTCGTTCCCTGTGGGTGTTGGACTCCACCGAGGGTGCGTCTTGTCTCCACTCCTGTTTGTGATTTTCATGGACAGGATATCAAGGCGCAGTCGAGGTATGGAGAGTATCAAGCACGGGAGCATAGAGGTTGGCATCACTGCTTTTTGCAGATGACGTTGTCCTCTTTGCCTCGTCAGTCTGTGATCTCCAGCGTGCACTTGAACAGTTTGATGTCCAGTGTGAAGCGGCTGCGATGAGGATCAGCACCTCCAAATCTGAGGTCATGGTTCACTGCCGGGAGACGGTGCATTGTGCTCTCCAGGTGAGGGGGAACAGCTGCCCTTAGTGGAGGAGTACCTGGGGGTCTCTTTCGCGAGTGATGGTAAGTGGGAGTAGGAGATCGGCCGGCGGGTCGGTGCGGGCGCAGTACCGTTCCGTGGTAGTGAAGCGGGAGCTGAGTTCTCAAACTAATCCCTCGGTTTGCAGGCTTATCTACGTTCCAACCCTCTCCTATGGTCACGAGCTTTGGGTAATGACCAAAAGGATGAGATCGCGGGTACAAGGGGCTGAAATGAGGTTTCTCCGCAGGGTTGCCGGGCTCACTCTCCGTAATTGGGTGAGGAGCTCGGTAATCTGGGAGAGCCTCAGAGTCGAGCCGCTGCTCCGCCGGATTGAGAGGAGCCAGTCGAGGTGGTTCAGGCACCTGGCAAGGATGCCCCCCGGTAGACTCTCCCTGGAATTCTACCGGGCAGCAGCAGCAACGTCCCACTGGGCGAAGACCCCAGGGCCGGCCCAGGACCCGGTGACGGGACTATGCTGCTCAGCTGGCCTGGGAACGTCTGTGAATTCCCCAGGAAGATCTAGAGTCTGTCGCCAGGGAAAGGCAGGTCTGGAACGCCCTACTCAATATACTGCTGCTGCGACCCTCACCAGGATCAGCGCATTGAGAAACAAACAAACGATTATTTAGAAATTCTTTATTAACGATTGCATTTTTTTTTTACTCTCTGTGCTCCTCTGACGTTTATGGTAGGAAATGACAATATCTTGGACAAAAGTATTTAAAATTTGTTCCCACTTATTGAAATAAAAAATAAGCATTACGCTGGATAATATATACTATATATGATAACACGCACAGGATAATATTTTGGATTTGCCTGCCCAGGTTGCTACTGCTGCTGTTGTTATTGTTAATTTGTGTTTTTACCCCTGAATAGCAATCAGAATGAAAAGTAAAAGCGAGAGTGCTGGAATTTTTGTTGCTGTTGATCGTGGAGAGAGAACGATTTCATTAAGAAGAGAGGAGACATTGTCATGGATAGACAGCCAATATTTCGCGATGCGTTTGCAATAAAATGAGTTGCAAACGTCAGCACAAAGCAATAAAGGCCAAACGCTGTCTCTACACCGGCAGCTGTGATTTCATCAGCAACGACGGGAAATTTTAAATCAAACTTGAGGGTGAACTACGGCTAAGGGTAGACCTGTACACCAACGACTTTGGTGTGGTTCTTGAGCCATGGTGCGGTGCAGTACAGCTCTGGTTGTATTAAAGCTCTGTTGTACAATGGCTCATCGAGAAATGTTATCGTTGCACTCCAGATTAATCGATGTAAGAAGTGCACATTATTTTCAGATGGCGTATGAATCGCCCCCCACTGAATGATCTGGCGTGTTTCGGTTTCTTTACTCATAGGCTGTGTGTGTAAATATGTGCGCGTGTGGGGAGCGGTGGCACAGTGGTTAGCATGCTGTGCTACGAACCCGGCGACTCGAGTTCTAGTCCTTCGCACGGCCACCAGCATTGACGATTTTCTGAACCTGTCCTGAGTCTCCCCTAGGTCGACTCAGCCTCAAATTAGTACCTGGTGCAGTATGTAAGCTTCGCCACTGGGTAGACAAAGGCGGTCGGGCATGGTGCTAGCCACCCACCCCCTCGTGTGCAGTCCCGGCCTTCATAGGTGCTACTCACTAACAGCACTTGTCACAGCAGTCTGTTAAGGCAATACGGGGGATCTTTATCTTTGTGCGTGTGTGTGTGTATATATGTTGTTGTTGGTGATGCTGATCTTGTTGGTGGTGCAGGGCTGCTCCTGGTCAGTCATCTTCGTGGACACGGACGCTCACAACCGCAACCGACAGACGCTGCACTCCCTGCTGCCCCGCGAGTCTCGCTCTCACGTCAGTGACAACAGCAACAATAACATTGGCAACAACAAGAACACAACAGAACACAACAAAAACAGAACAGCACAACAAGAACACAACAACACAATATACGCAAAATATATGCAGCCCAGCAATCATAAATAACAACGCAAAGACGTTAACAAAAATAAACCGCAAAATAACAGCGCAACAACAACACGACAGTGACACGGTTCCACGGAAGCATCGCGTAAAAACCACAGTGCAACATTGACTCGATGGCACTGACACAACGATTTGAACTTGATACTCTCCAATTCGTTATGGTCACAGGGTGGTGATGGTGCAGCGAGAAGGACCTGGGTTCGAGTCCCAACTCTGGCACATCCCCGTGTGTAGTTTGTATTGTTCTCCTGCTGTTCTGCACGGGTTTCCTGTAGGTTTTCCGGTTTCTTCCCACAGCTGGTATTGGCCAAATTTCCCGATGCAAAAAAAAAATATCGGCATTTAACTCTCAGGATTACGTGATTTCGAGTCACCTTAAACTCAACACTGTCATCTCGGCGAAATGGACGTCATTATTTCGAAGACAGATGTCATCAGTGGAGCTAGATTCCACAAAAAAAGGCTTTTTAAAGGCCAGAAACTGATCGGATGAGATCTTTGAGTGAATCAACTCACGGCTAGAAGACCTCGACATCAGCATTTAGCTCCTGAACGTACTGTTTTGCCATCATGCGCTAGGGATAGAAATGCATCAAAACTTTGGGTTGTGCGCTCTTACCAAAGCACAAGTATGTCCGTTTAACTTCTTTCGCACCGTACGTAGCCAACCGTGCGAATCAGAGGTGCAGGGGGGAGGACAACAAACTAAACACCGGAGTGTGTCACGCTCGTGGGCCACAGGGAGAGTTTTTGCTCCGAGCCCGCCGAGCGAGCGCTGTGGCACGGTAGAACAGACGCGGCGAGGATAATTAATTTCCAAACTGGACTAATTGTGTCTGCGCCCGGCTTCAGCTCAATTGGAAGCATGGTGGTGGAGTGGGCAGGGAGAGGGAATGGGAAACCGCCCTAAGCAGATTACAGGTCCGGAATCTTAAACCCAGCGGGAGGAGATTTATCGGCAGCAATTCCACGTTCTAATTACATCTGGCCAGGTTTGCTTCCGTGGGCTGCGGCTGTCAGGAGCGGTGTCTGCGCAGCACATTTTCTATATTTGATTATTTATTTTTTACCACTACTACGACCACCGCTCCCAGTGGTGCAGTGGTCTGCACACGGGGCTTGCAATCCAGAGGTCACCGGTTTGAATCGATCTCCCGGCGCGGAAGTTTAAAAAATGTACTTCCTTATGCCTTAAGATAAACTCTCTTCAATGAGGACGCACACATGTCTGTTGCAAGTTTCAAGTTGATTTGGTTTAACCACGTGAGAACTCAAGAGACCGGGGTGAGTCTCAAGAGTGTGTGAATGAGTGAGTGAATGATGGAGTGGGTGAGTGAGATGGTGGATGAGTAAACGATAAGAGATTATGAGTGGGTGAAAATGTATTTCATTTAACCAGGTGTGAACTCAAGAGACCAGCATGAGTGTTAAGAGTGGCCTGGGGAATGTCTGCCACTATGGGGCAATGGTTTCTGCTGTCTGCATAATCGCAGTTGAGTATTTTGGAGGTCAGATCTTGTCAAATTACGTGACAAATGTATTGATGTCACACGCCCTTTAAATTTGGTCATGGGAAAATATCGAGCGAGGAATATAAGCCCTGCCCTGTCGTCATCCATGGTAATGTGGAATTTCCACCACCGCTTCAGGTTGACCAACGGATAAAGTCTGCCGCCCCATGGCTCGTATTCGCAGAGAGACACTTGGCACTGGAGGGCATTGGTGTGTGCGTGTACACGTGTGCGCATGCGTGAGCCTGCGCTGACAGTTGGACACGCTTTGTCAGCTCAAAACACATCCAATTTTGCTTTAGTCAACACAGGCTGCTTATTCATAATAAAGGTTTTTGGGTTAGATCGCATTATTTATAAATGTGTCGTAACCCTCCACCACCCGACACGGCCAATCAGCAAAAAAGTGTCACGTTGATTGGCCGTGTCGGGTGGTGGAGGGATACGACACATTTATAAATAACGCGATCTAACCCTAAAACCTTTATTATGAATAATATTGGTCGCGAAAGCCTACGTGTTAAACTGACAGGCTGCTTAATTAAAGGGCGTCGTGGCATTTATTACAAATTGAGTGGCGATTTCACAGTGCGCTCTGCAGATTGCCGTGCTTGTAACTCAAGCCTATATGTCCCAATGTAATTGAAAAAAAAAATCCGTATTGAAAATTAAATTGAAAATCAGACCGTCATTTTCCATAGCAAGTACAAATCACCCACATGCTCCCGAATTATTGGAGGATGTATTTATTTGTCAGAGTGGAGTGGCAATGCATTTCTTTGACTGAATGTAGTTACGGTCACGAACAGTTTATTATTATTATCCTCATTGTTACTCTGCTTTTTCACCCAGGAGAGCCTCACTGAGTCTCAAGGCTCTTTTTCAGGAGGGTCCTGCCAAAGTTTTCACAGTAGAGGGCGATGTTGCCTCTGCCGTGTGTCACCTCAATTGAGTATTTTTTCAGGTAATCTTTCAGCATTGGGAAGTTTTGGCCAATACCAGTTCCACTGTGGAATTTGTTTTGTATTAGCTATTGGAGCAAACCAGAGAATCCAGAGGAAAGCCACGGGGGGGGGGGGGGGGGACATACAAACTCCATGCAGAAAGTCACCCGAGTTACGAATTGAACCCAGGTTCTTCTTGCTGCGAGGCACAAATGTTGCGACTGCACCACCTCGCCACCCAAAATTGACATTAATACAAATCTAGCTGTGAATAGCATCCTCAGCAGCAGCCGTGCTCTATCCACTGCCGGCTAGATCCTTTGCCATGCCGCTGCCGTCCCTCTCGGTCCTGGTCGCGACGAAAGACCTCACGTCGTCGCCTTTCCTCGTCAAACCCAGGCCCTTCACGCCGCGAGTGGCGCCGCTGTTAGCGCCGCTCTACGGTTACATCCCCCCGATTGCGTTGCAGAACACCGACGCGGCCCTGCTGCCGGTGCTTGGCTACCCGGCATTCGCCGTCGATGACGACACCCTGCGGCACCAGGCACTGGACAAGGTGGTGCGCAAGCTGCGCGGCCGCTACGGCTTCCGCAGGTTCCTGCGCGACGGATATCGCACGGCGCTCGAGGAGGAGCACCGGCGGCACTACCGCCCCGCCGAGATCAAGGTGACGAGCTCGTGACAGTCGCGGCGGTGGCGGCGGTGCCGCTGCTCACAATCCGCGTTTGTTTTCGTCAACGGCACGGCTGTCCGGGTTTCATCTCCGATTAGCACGGTTGGCCACGCACTGCATGAAAGAAGTTCAACACACGTGCATACAACACACGTCGTTTGGCTGTTAAACCGGAGCCACTGCCGTGAGTTTCGAGACAATCCCCCCACCCCCCCCCCCCCCCCCCCCCCCCCCCCCCCCCCCCCCCCCCACTATTCACTGGAGTTGAGAAATGCACCACAGGTCTACGCGTAGAATTGTAGTGGACAGGGCATCGATGCTGAGAAGAAGAGACGGTGGTGGTGGGGATCCTGAGTGAGTCGGTGAGTGAGTGGAAAGTGAGTGAGTTGTAGGTGAGTTGTAGGTGGACAGGTGGGTAGGTGAGTAGGTGTGTTGTTTGGTGAGTAGTAAGGTGCCACTTAATACATGTTTTGCTTTATTTTACTCTGTTTTCGCGTGTAGTGCAATTCTTTATCAGTTGCAGTGTTTGTTAGTGTAATTTCATTTTGTTATGGGTTTAATGGTCTTACATTCCTCCCTTTTAGCAGAGTTTTGTTGAATTTATTTTTAGTTCTGCAGTATCCGCTTCCACGGGCTGCTGTCTATGAGACAGTTCCACTGCTCTGCGAGCGGTCCTGATGGAACATTTGTCTCATGATGTGACGCCGATAAAAAAACCGGGATAAAATCATGAAAAAGACAACAAAAATGCGCAGAAAAAGTTAAACGTTTTAATTTAATTTTGCTCTTCAGTTCTTTTGTTTGTTTTCGTACATTTTTTGCTATGGCAATGTTTATCTTAATTGAATCATTATTCCTCCGTTAGCAGCCATACATTTTTTTTTTATTTCTGGTGATTAACCTAGCTGTGACCTTCATCCGATTGCAATGCAACCATAACCGCATTCCTGTCCCCAGTGCGTGCTGCACAGCATTCCGAGTGGAAGGTTCCGACTTTTGACTTGCGGTCAGCTCCCGCGGTGTCACTTCCAGCAGCCGTTATGTTCCAAGACGTCTCACAGTGTCACTGCCAGCAGCCGTTGTGTTCCAAGACGTCCCACAGTGTCACTGCCAGGGCCACGAGCAACAGCAACGACGTGAGGAGGTTTCTCACTAGAGGGATCGCAACGGCGTGGCGGCGGCTTCATCCAGCAGTGGATAGATCGGGGGGGGGGGGGGGGGGCGGCAACCAAATTAACAAGCAAAGCCATTTTTTTCGGTAAAAAATCCCCCACTATTTCAAGAGCTGCAATGCACGTGAATACGGGACGGGTCAATCTCGGTTTCTTAGGTTTCCTTCTCGGTTTCTTGGGTTTCACCAGGTAAGGCCCACTGGGCTCTTTTTTCAGAAGTGACCTGGCCACCAATGATATCTCGACGAAGTGGCTTATCACGTGGGAATGTATAAGCAGCCCAATTGTTCTAAAAGCGTGTTTCTAAATGTGTAGGGAATAACGGGAGGACCCGGAGAAAAATCCACGCGACCACGGGGAAAAACAGGCAAACTCCATATATATAGCGGCCGTCAAGTTGGGGGATCAAACTCCCGACCTCCTGCTTACCGGGCGAGGTAGTTAACATCTCGCCATTGTGGCGCCCCTGTCTCTTGAGTTTCCATATCAGTTCATTGTTTTTTTTCCCCCCCAAGGATTTTTCAGTCGGGGGGCCTCACTGAGTTGTACCGTTTGGGGTTGGCGGGTGTGCAATGTGCCCAACGTGGACAGACTCTACAGAGGGGAGGGCTTAGTGAGTGTTCTCGGTGCAGCTCAACGGAGCTTTTCTTGCTCAGCCACTGCAAACAATCGGCGTGAGAGCTCGCGTACGGCGAGGGCCACTCTCAGAAGCATTTCCCCTCCCCCCTGTTAAGCCGCGAATTGGTTTCTTAAATAAATAGAGTCGTCTATTGACCACCATGCTGACAATTGACCACTTATCGGCTCCGGCTTCTAACGTCGATGAAATGGCCAAAGGCCGGCAGGAGGACAGGAGCTGGGGGGTAGGTCGGGAGCGCTACTGCCGTCGACCGCTGCCAAATGGAAGTCGTGGGGGGCAGCGGTGGGGGGGGGGCAGCACCTAGATTCCTTCAACATCTCAGAGGTTAACCCAGTTCGTGCATCGCCAACCTAATCTACGTGACAACAATGATAATAATACTTTATATAGCAGTGTCATTCATGCCAGCAGCATCCCACAACGCTGTACATTAATTAGAAATATAAGGACCAAATCCCATATACGTGGTTGGCTATGCGCGGCACGAAAGAAGTCCAACACACACAGACACAAAGCAAATGAAAATCCTCCTACCAAGCACACTCAAAAATAAATAAAATTAAGAAATGGCATCAAAGCACAAACAACAAAAAAGTAAACACAAAATAATATTAGTCCATGATGATGATGATAATGTTGACAGTGAGAATAGGTTTTTCCCCTTTTTTCTGGCAACAAAACAGGTCTTAAGATGTTAAAACACCAAACTGAAACTTTATTACAAGGAATCATGTCTGCATTAACCACAATATACTTGTGGTCAGAATGCAAACAAAAAACATACTCTGATAGTACAGTAGTACCTCGGTATACGTCGTTAATTAATTCCAGAAGGTAGGACTTATACCCAAAATGACGAATACCAAACGAATGTTTCCCATGATAAATAATAGGGAAAGGAATTAATGCGTTCCAGAGTATAATAAATTATATTTTATATGGCATATTATACATTAATGTGGTTGTATAAAAATAATTTAGACACTACTTAGTACTAAAATGCATACATAAATTAAAATAAATGCATAAATAAATTGAAATAAAAAATATAGCAAGGGTTGTTCACTGAACGAGATCTACAGGCGGACTGAGGAGCGGCGCTTTGTCTCAGTCGTGAACGGGGTCTACGTGGGTACGCAGTGACTCATCCCGACCCATACAAGTTCTAGCAAGCGTGTCGTATCCCTAGCAAGACGTCGTATCCCAAGACATGTTTTTCTCGTCAAAACACGACGTATTCCAAAACGACTGTATATGCATTGGCTTGGACCAATCAGTTTCATATACTATCAGAGTATGTTTTTTGTTTGCATTCTGACCACAAGTATACGTGGTTAATGCAGACATGATTCCTTGTAAAAGGTTTCAGGTTGGTGTTTTAACATCTTAACACCTGTTTTGTTGCCAGAAAAAAGGGGAGCACCTATTCTCATACTTTGGTACTGGCAAAGGAGGTCCCAGAAATTTGACAGTGATTATGGTAATGGCCACGGCAAATGATAACAGTGACTATGTTCATCGGGGCCGTGATGGCGATGATGGTGACAATGTTTAAATGTATCCAGGAAAGCCTCACTGAATCTCAGAGGATGATTTTTCAGCAGGGTCCTGACAAGTGTTCACAGGGGGTAACGATTACTCTGCGTGCAATCACAACTTGGTGATTTGCGGTGTGAATGTTCAAATTTGGACCGAGACGCCCTGCGCGCAGTGGTCTGCTCTCATGAATGACATCACGGGAACATTGATGTGAAGCAGTGACGCCGCGTGGTTATCACAGCCATAGTTAGGGCGGCTGCTGGATTCGAACTGCGAGGCCCTGCAAGAAGCAGTAAACTCGTTACCGCTGGGCCTTGTCACTGCCAATTCTTAATAAGCAGTGGATAACCCAAGTTAGTCTGCAGAAGCAGATATCCCATGATTACTTCTGCATAATCTTCTTCAAGTGCATCTTTAGTCCACCCATCCTGCTGCAAAGTAATTTTCATCACGTGACGGTCGCCCCGATATGTTTTGTTATGTTGAGGAGGTGAAACTCAGACAAATTAATACGTTGGGGTTTTTTTGTGCATACATTGGTAATCGGGCTGAGTGGATCAACTCGCTACGCTTGAGAGCACGGGCTAATGGCAGGCGGTTGAAATCTGGATTCAAACCCAGGACCTCAGCGGTACCGGCTCACCGCTCTGACCCCTGATGGAACCGACCTGCCGACCATTGGATTGCAAGTACAGCGTTGCTCAACGTTGCACCATGGCAGCACCCATTCTTGTCTGCGCAAAATTTCTAACTCGCTCCATTTTTTTTGGCATTATCTGCAAAGCTTCGTCAAGTCAACCAGCGCCCAGGCTAACTTGCAGATGTTCGTAGGTACTGGCTCGGTGATTTACAGGCGCAGCAGCCTTCTGAGACACACCCAGCTCCAGGACTCGAACCCTTGCCCTCGCCAGTCCCGGCTCAGTGTAACCACTCGTGCATCATCCTCTTGACATGTTGCCCCTCGACCTCCACGGCGTGACCTCACGATTCCCCCACCCCAACGGTGCCGGCTCAGCTATTTCACAATGCAGATATCGGCCGAGACGAGGCGCCCGGCGACACGAGGGCGCTTGAACCCACAGGGTTCCCGGGGGGTTGTCGCCTCATTGGCTCTGACGCGGACATTAACCCCGCGAGCCCCCCAAACCGCCGCGAGCCCCCCGCGCGTGCCCCGCTCCACCCTGCTCAGGCTACCGCCGTTGAATATTTACAGATGATGGAGCGCATCGCCACGCTGTGCTAAATCACTTCGCCGTGGGGGCGGCGGTGCGGATATTCCCCCCACCCCCCCGCACCCCCAACCCACCGCCAGCACCACCCCCTCTCCCCACTTCTATCGGCCGCAGGGCCCCAGCCCGCACTGCCACTTACATTAACATTGATTTCCGTTTTGGTTAAAAAGGGAGAGGTGATTTGAAGCGAGCCGCGGCGCTGGCTTCACGGCGCGCGTGGCCGCGCCGGCAAATGGAGCGTGAAAATAATAACGGGGCTACTCGGTAACGGTGCGCTCAGCCGCCACTCGCCGAACACACGCTCCTCCGAGCGAAACTCGGCTCCTGTAACCCCAGGTTATTGTAGCACTCCTTTTTTATATTATTATCCTTGGTTGTATGTGTATGTTCAACTTATTTTGCACCGCGCGTAGCCAACCGTGCTAATCGGAGTGTGCGGGGGAAGGACAACAAACTAAATACAAAAAGCAGTTCTAAAGAAATGAGTTTTCAATCGAGAAGATTTAAAAGTGCACAACTCCAGTGGCTTCTTAACAGCGTTCCAGACAGCCGCAGAAGTGCATCCCAAAGCGCGCGATGCAGTGGCCGTCTTTGTTTTATCATGTGAGAGGTGTATATAGTATATGCTCGTAACAAGTAAAGTAATAACTTGCTGACCTGCCCGTACTGGACAATTGTGATAAAAAAATAACTTCATAGCTCATCAGATTCCTCCAATATAAAGCTTCTGATTCGGATAGGTTTTCCCCGGGCTGGTTTGTCACACTGAGGCAAAGGTGTAGTTACAGTCCACGTGTTTGGGCCATTTGTTCTCTGGTGGCAGTTTCAGAACGGAAGGTCTCGTCAGGTTTGAGGATTTGAGCAGAGATGTGCCTGGTGATTGTTCGAGTGTATGATTCGTCCTTTAGCTGACACTCTTGTCACAAGCCTAGTCCATTGGCCATCGTCCCTTCAAGTAATTTGTTTTTATGCTCAAGAGGCGATTTAGATTATTTTGCTGCTATACATTTTCACATGATGAGCCATGCTGATATAAATGTCCACATGGTCAGCTATCATTTGTGGCCAGGTCGCTTCTGAAAAATAAGCGAATAGCTCAGTGGGGCTCTACCTGGTAAAATAAAAGTAGTTTAGTTTTATTTGTATATTTTTGTAAGTGATTAGTTTAACCTTCCTATACTTTGCACTCCTATCGTGTGTTTTAGTATTATGTGTTGTACCGTTCTGACCAGCCCCCTACTGGACTTGTGTAAAAGAGATTTATCGCTCATCGCTTCCTCCGTTATACATAATTATTCTGATTTTGATATGTCCCCGAGTGAAACCCACCTACTCTTTTGCGACAGTCCAAAATTGGAGTGGAGAAATAAAACAATCGCGATGAATAATGAAAGCATTAACCACCTCAGGTGTACTGCCGACGTTAACCGTGATAACCAGTGATAGTGACCCACGGGTTAAACACGGTTAAGTCTAAGCATCACTCACCAGCAATGCAGCCGTGCTCGACTCCGCGACGTTTCGGGCAATGGCCCTACTTCACAGCGCATACGGAGGCCAGAGAGGTACACCGCTCAATCTCTCTTGCCTCTCAGTGTGCTGTCTACAATGGCCATTATATACCGCACCGTAGTTCTAACATATGCTTTCTCTTCTGCAGGCCACGGTGTTCCTGACTGATGCGATGAGTTGTTAGTTAACTGTTCTTGTGCATCACTGCCAATGCAGCAGCAGCAGCAGCGCCACCAAAGTGATTTTGTTCCCTTTCAAGAAGATGCCACTGCAGGGAAGCTCTCACCTCTGAGTGCGCGAGGGGAGCGATTGAAACGCGATCAGCACGGTTGGCTACGCACGGTGTGACCGAAGTTAAACATACATGCGTACGGTGCGTAAGAAGTTACATGAACGCAGGCTGTCCGCCGCCGGTGTCGTTGCAGCTGTTTGACGGAATCGAGTGTGAGTTCCCCATGTTCTACCTCTTCATGGTCATCGACGGTGAGTGGGTGACCTCACACACTTTACTCAGACCGTTATTTGTGCGAGATACGGAGCATTCGTGCTTTTGATTTCCCCCCCCCCCCTCTCCCTCCCCCAAGTACTTGTCGTTGTAACTTGTACGGACATTTGTGAGGTGTGAATCAACTATGCTTCACCACGCAGGTCAGTGCGGGTTGGTGAATGCAGGGAGTATAGACGTTTGACCATAGAAATACCACAGTACAGTACAACATAGGATTCTAGATTTAAAGCTTCCGTGACTGCTAGGATCCATACTCTTTGGTTCTATTGGGTAAAGTCACGTAGGTAAAAAATAGAACCAAAGAGTACAACATGGGATTTTGCTGCATTGCCCTCTGCTGCCTATCGCATAGGCCTGCAGCAGCCCTGGACAGCTGCTCATGCGTGGTGGCCGCCGGGCAAAGCATTCCCCAGGTTGCGACAACATGGGGCGCATTTTTGTGGACAGTAATGTAATTTGACCACAAGCGCAGAAACCATACGTGCCTACACGTACCAGATTCACACACGCACACACCTCACCTCCGATTAGCACGTACGGCGCAAAAGAAGTTCAACATACATACATTGCAGGATGACCCAAAGCCACACGATATGTTTGACTTTATTACCTTACATCCCTTGAACACAACGGTACCGTAAATCATGGGACGAGAGGCCACATCCGGCAGGGACAGCCCGGGCAGCACCAGCGAGGCCCACGGCACCCAGGCTGGGCTTGGGGCGGCAATGGGGCCTAGCAGTAGCAAATTTGCCGCTTGTTGCAGAGGTTCAGCGATTAGAATCCAGCGGCCCGCCCCGATCAATGCTGTGGATTTTTATTAAATACGACGCGCCGCCGTCTGCTTCGCGGCGGACGTTAAAGATCCAGTGACGTCGTTTGCAAGAGTCGGCGGATTGTGTTGCTGGTGCCACGGTCCGAAGTTGCAGAGTCGGAAAAAATTACACCACAAATGACTCGGTTGAAATCCATTCAGCAACCGTAGCGCCCTCCTGCGAAAACTTGGCAGGACCCTCCACAAATAGAATCATGAGACTCATTGAGGCTCTGTTGGGTAAACAAGCACGATAATCACTGGGTCCTTGACCACTGCATGTTTACTACCGGTTATAACATGTGCTTGAATGCATGGGAACTCTAACTGCAGAATCTGCTGTGAAATGCGCAGGTGTTTTCAATGAAAATCAACACCAGATGCAGGAGTACCTGGCTCTTTTGGAAAAGGTTATACTGAAAACGTCTCAAGGTAAATGGAAAAAAAAACTAATACGAACCCATGCACTCAACATTCATGCGCGCACGTCCAGTTACGAGGTGCCGTTTTCAACTCGGACGCATCTTTTCCACGGCACAGCTGAGCCGCGCCAAGGCCGTGCCGACTCAGCCCGGCGCAGCTCAGGAGGCGGCCAGTGGTTTTTTTTTCCACTGTCGATGCCGAGCCGTGCCGCTGACGTCATGCGCAGGGAACGAGTCGAGACACTCGCCAAGGTGATGCGGTGGTGTCGTATTTGAGTTGTGTACCGACTAACGTCGTCACACTCAATCAGCGTTTCCCTGTATCTCTGCCGCTTGCCCTGCTTGGCCTCAAGCCAGATTCAGATACTTTGTGTGGCCAGCATATCACGATTCTGTTCTGACTTGGCAAAATAAGCGACTAATGGAAAACCACACGTGCACCGTGCTGGCTTGCTGGTGTGGTTCGGATGTGCTTGTGGAAAAGGGGTCTATCGGGGCCGCATTTACATCTTGGCAAATCGGCCAAAACCAGATCGTGCCGGTGATTTTACCCCATCATTGATTATGGAGGTATTGGCACATTTTTGTTAAATATCGAATGAAAAAGGGCTTTTGCCAATAGTGCCCATCAATTCAGTTATTAACAAACACATTTGATGAAAATGTTTGCGTTTTATTAAGTGGCCGCACAGCGGCAAGCACATCATACTGTACGGCTATCGCTTCCGAGTCACGGCTAACGTAAGTGGCGAGTGGTACCCTCACCGTGCCTCTGCTGGAATAAGTCCTTGCCAAGGTGCAGCGGGCATCAGGGTTTCCCTGACCGTGGTTCAAGGTGAACAGGGGCAACCCAGGACCTATCGGATATTGCACACCGACGATTGAACTCTGGTCACCAGGGTCGCAGTGCAAGTGCTAACCGCTGCGCCAGTGTTCCACCACCATGATGGTCAATGTGGTGTTGTTTTTCGTGGTGATGATGGTAACAGCGGTGATGTCTACAGGCCACACGACAATACCGCGGTATTACCACGTCCCCGGGAAGTTTGTTGCTTTGGTGATGACCATTGTGATCGCGACACTGAGGTCGATGATGGTGGTCATTGTGGTAGCGTTGGTCACGGTGATGATAGTAACAGCGGTGATGTCTACAGGCCACACGATAATATCGCGGTATTACCACGTCCCCGGGAAGTTTGTTGCTTTGGTGATGACCATTGTGATCGCGACACTGAGGTCGATGATGGTGGTCATTGTGGTAGCGTTGGTCACGGTGATGATAGTAACAGCGGTGATGTCTACAGGCCACACGATAATATCGCGGTATTACCACGTCCCCGGGAAGTTTGTTGCTTTGGTGATGACCATTGTGATCGCGACACTGAGGTCGATGATGGTGGTCATTGTGGTAGCGTTGGTCACGGTGATGATAGTAACAGCGGTGATGTCTACAGGCCACACGATAATACCGCGGTATTACCACGTCCCCGGGGAGTTTGTGGAGGGGGAGAAGAAGGAGCCGGGCAGCCAGCGCAGGTACCCGAGCGAGACGGGGCACGACGGACGCCTCTACCTGTGGGGCCAAGCGCTCTACGTCATCGCCAAGCTGCTTGGTGAGGGACCCCTCGCATCAGCAGCATCAGCGATAGTATCATCATCTTCAGCATCATCATCAGCAGCAGCTTTAGCATCATCATCAGCAGCAGCAGCTTGAGCATCAGCGATAGTATCATCATCTTCAGCATCATCATCAGCAGCAGTTTTAGCATCATCATCATCAGCAGCAGCAGCTTGAGCATCAGCAATAGTATCATCGTCTTCAGCATCATCATCATCAGCAGCAGCAGCAGCAGCATCAACAGTAGTATCATCTTCTGGGTTCTTTTGGTAAAGTCACGTAGAATGGGAATAAAATAATAAAAATAAAAATAATAAAATTCTCACGATGTTTCGGCCACAACACAAGTAGCCTTCCTCAGGTGAAGAAACAGGACTGTCCGGAAGACACCGCTTGAGTGAACTGTAGTATCATCGTCTTCAGCATCATCATCAGCAGCAGTAGCTTTAGCATCAGGAGCAGCATCATCATCGTGGTAATACTCCTGCTTCTCAGAAATAAAGTCCTGGGTTCGAGTCCAGATTTGGGTGCCTTTTTGTGTAGAGTTTGTGTAGAGTTTGTATGTCCCGCCTGTACTGCGTGGGTGTCCCCTGGGTTCTCTGGTTTCCTCCCATAGCTACATAAACACAGAGCGTTGCTGGTATTGGCCATAACATCGCAATGCGGAGGACCCTCCTGAAAGAAGAGTATTCAGACTCAGTGAGGCTTTCCTGAGTACAGCAACTGTGACAGACAAAATAAAATGTGATGACGTTGACGGTAGCGATGATGATGATGATGGCGATGATGATGATGACGGTGGCGATGTCGATGGTGGTGATGATGACAATAGCGATGATGATGATAAGGGCGATGATGATGATGATGGCAATGATGATGGCGATTATGATGATGATTGTGGCGATGATGATTATGATGATGGCAATGATGATGGTGATGATGATGGCGATGATGATGATGATGGCGATGATGATGATTGTGGTGATGATGATGATGATGGCAATGATGATGATAATGGCATTGGCGATGACGATGATGATGATGATGATGGGGATGATGACGATGTTGATGGCGACGACGATGACGGCGATGATGATGATGATGACAGTGATGATGCCGCCGCTGTCATCCTGCAGTGGATGGGCTGATCACCCCCCAGGAGCTGGACCCCGTGGGTCGCTACGTCCCCATGGGAGACAGACGCAACGTCAGCCTCCGCTACTCCAACCAGGTGCGGCGCGGACGCCGGCGGTAGCGGCGTCGTCACAACTGCTGGCAGCCGGTGTCAGCGCGATATGGTGGGGGGGGGGGGGGGGTAGTGGGGGGGATTACACCGTATGATATCAGGTCCACGACAGTCGGATGAACCGTTCCGCGAGGATGTCGCTGTGCCGCGCTTATCGTTGCTCGTTGGGATTTGCGTTAAATATTTAATTTCCCGACTAAATATTTTAAGAAACACCGGTGATGATAGTTCGCAGTCATGGACCCTCCTCATAGTAGGCACAACCGCGTCACCTCGAGCACAACTAACGCCAATACAGGAGGTGCTGGGATGTTGAAACGGCAAACAGGCCTCAAGGCTGCACGCAGCGCACGTACTTTGCGGTGAGACATGCGAACAAACACGGTGTACACAGCAGGGGGAGCAACACTTCCCCTCCTTCTCTGCCACCACCGAAAGTAACGTTTGTCACACGACCAATACCTGTTTGAAATTAGATTTTCCGAACTGAAACTTATCCACGTTAAGTGCAGAGCCAAATTTAATGTCACGCTTTTATTTTACGCAGTCATCGGTGACCAGGCTGAGATCCTCAACCGCTATGCTCATTGTTTTTTTTTTTCGATAAAGTCACGTATGTGGAAACAGAATATGAATAAATAAATTTAATTTAATTAGATTGAAATAAATCACGACGTTTCGAACGCAACACAAGCGCTCATCATCAGTAGAAATTGGGCACACACAGAGGGACATCACGCACATAGCACATAGAGAACGCCAAACTGCACGGAGGCAAATACAGCAGGAAGATGGGAGACGTGAACTCAGCAAACCTCAGAAACATAATGTCATGCAAAACCAGTCGGCCAACAACACAGTTAGGCACTAACCTGGTTGACCACGTATTTCAAAAGACTGCTAAATCTTCAACCACGCCGAAGTGTGAGATCCCGGTTTGATCACAGTGGATTCGAACTCAGGTTCCCAGCTGTTGCCGGCTCAGCGCTTTTAGCGCCGAGCGAGCTACCTGGCCACCGCTGGGACTCCTGATCTTAACTTTGCGCTCCTCTTAAATTGTTTTTAATATTTCATCAGGTCGAGGATGATGAACGATCTTGGAAGCAAATTGTTACCGCGGCCCAACACCACACCAACAATTTTGAGCAAAATTAATTTGCGTGGGACGGCACTTTTCCTATCAAGGAATAAATTCAGCATTGTCTCTTTCGGGGGGGGGGGGGGGGGGGGGAATTGCTTACAGTGCACCTGGGATGGATATTTATCGTTTTGTCTTATTTATTACTGTATTAACAATGTGAATGGGGAAAAAATTGTCACGAAATATTTAATTATCCTCACTGGCATGAGTAATGCATATTTTGTGTTGAGTTACAACGTTGGTATTATTTGCATGCTCGTCTCTTGTCTTTGGGGGTATGGAATTTGTGGAGTGTGCGTGTTTCACGTGTCGATGTGGATGTATGGGTGGAACGACTGTGCAGCGGTCAGCGAACCACCGCTCCACCCATACATCCACACTGGAGCGGTGGTGCAGCGGTTAGCGCACCGGGCTACAAACCCGCGGTCCTGAGTTCGATTCCTGTCCACGCCTCACATCGGTGGCAAATATCTGAACCGGTCGTGAACCTCCCCTAGGTCGACTCGGCATTAAATGAGTAACTCGAGTGCGGGTGTAAACATCGGCACTGGAGAAATAAATGTGGCCGGGCGTGGTGCTAGCCACACCACTCCCACAGACACCGTGCTGACCTTCACAAACCGCTATATGGGAGTTCTTGATTTGAAGCTTTCGTGACTGCAGGAATCCATACTCTTTGGTTTATTCGGTAAAGTCACGTAGGTGTAAAATAAAATAAATCACGACGTTTCGGGCGCAACACAAGCGTCCATCATCAGGTGGCAACGTCGTGATTTATTTTATTTTATACCTACGTGACTTTACCGAAAAAAAAACAAAGAGTATACTGGAGTTTTGATTTAAAGCTTTCGTGACTGCAGTAATTCATATTCTTAGTTTTTTCGGTAAAGTCACGTTGAAGGGAAACAAAATAATAAAATATATAAAACAGTAAAAATTCTCACGACGTTTCGACCATAACACAAACCTGAAGACGACCGTTTGTGTTATGGTCGAAACGTCGTGAGAATTTTTATTGTTTTATATATATTTTATTATTTTGTTTCCCTTCAACGTGACTTTACCGAAAAAACTAAGAATATACTGGAGGTCTTTGTCGCTTTGTACGTTTAGTATGTGTGAAAATAGTAAGGACGTGTTTTCAACAGTAAGAACCGGTCATGGGCCTCCCTGAGGTCGACTCAACCTTAAATGAGCACCAAGTGCAGTGTGCAAACATGAGCACCGAGAAGACAAAGGTGGCGGGGCATGGCGCTGGCCACTGCATCTCCTCTTGCACGACGCTCGCTTTCACTGGGGCTCAGCAACGGCATTTGGCCCTTTGGGGATCATCATTGTTTTGTATTGGGCGAGATCGTGTGGGGACAATGTCTATCAGGGCTGTAGCACACAACCCTCCACCAGCTGACCCAGCAGACTGGGTTTCGTTGAAAAGCGAGTAACGTTTTTGTAAAAAAAAATATTGTTAGATGTTCGCTCGAGATCTGAGCTCTCGTGTTCATGCCTGCCGACGCTGGGTGTCATCTTCAGTGAAACGTCGAATAAAAATTGTCAGAGCTTTGCTCGCTTTTCGTCATCCCTCCTCTGCTTTTGCTGAAGGAATCAGAATTAATTGGCCATATTTGCCCCCACGTGACAGCTTGATTGGTTTGGCTTTGTCGTGTGTTTTTGAGGGTTCGTAGTTCCAACTGACATTATTCCCGCACGAATTGACCCGAAACGTAATGTTTGAAATGAGTCTTCACGGCTGCACGGGGAGATCGCTGTGTGTTTTGTGTGTGCGTGTGCACGTGTGTGTGTGGTTTGGTGGTTTCTAATTTCATTATTCAATTTGTCTTGTTATGCTTTGTGTCAGCACTATGTTAAGAGGCAACGTTACCTTCCCTGGCCTTGCCTGTGGCAATAAATAAGCTCATGTACATGGTCAAATAAACACACGCATATGATAATATATGCACATAAATATTACTTACATGCATAAATATACTCATTACACGCGTTACACGTACACACGTGCGCGCACAACACACATGCGTATACACATGCAACAAAGATCTCTCGTATAGCCTTTAACAGACTGTCGGGGTAAGTGCTGTTAGCGAATACCTACGAAGGCCGGCAAAGCACACAAACGAGGGGGTAGATGGCCAGCTGCACACCCTGCTGCCTTTGTCTCCCCAGTACTGATGTTTATACACCACATCAGGTATTCATTTCAGGCCGTGTCAACCTAGGGGAGGCTCTGGATCGGTTCAGATGTTGGCCGTGAGCGGGAATCAAATTCGAGGCCACCGGGTGTAGCTTAGCGCGCGAACCGCTACACATACACACGCACACACACACGCAGAACACACTTACACACACATGCAGAACACGTACACACACGCAGAACACACGCACCCTCTCTCACGAGGCCACAGTCATTGACACACATTGACAAGTTGTGATTGATTGCACGCTCATTCATGTGCAGCTGGCAGTCCCTCCCCACCCCACCTCTCCCCGCCACCAAAGTTCCATTAATGAGATTGCTGACTTATCTCGCACATTGGTGAGCGGTGGTGGATGCGCGCGTGAGTGTGATGCGTGTCTGTATATGTGTACTTGGTGGGATGTGCAAAAACATCGCCACAAGGGAGACAAAGGTGGAAGGGCATGGTGCTGGCCACCCACCCACTCATGTGCCATGCCGGCCTTTATAGGTGCTCGCGAACTTGCACTTGCCCCAACAGTCTGTTACAGGCTACGCGAGGGATTTTTGTCTCTGTTGTGTTAGCCGCTCCACCCCCTTGCCGGCCCTGGTAGCGTTAACTGGGTGCTGCTGTTGGGATTCAACGGCAAATTCCGCGACGAGCTCCAACTGTGTTGCCGCACGGCCGGAGTGAGGGACAGCCAAATGTCTGGAGGCCAACGCAGTGTTTTTCTTGGTCAGCTGAGCATTCCAGGTGGAACTCATCACGTCCTGAGCCAGTGGTGTAAATTCCTCAATCCCATGGCAGGGGACCGCTTTCTCTGCAGGAAACCACTGTTGACTTACCACAAAATGGTACCTATTTTTTCGCCCTGCAAGTATGATGGGCTGTGCTCCAACTGAAATTGAAACTTCCGATTGCGAGTCAATCATTTCTCAACCGCAGTGGCACCTCGCCACTTTGTGATTGTGAAACCCAAGACATTAATGCACTCAGACAAATGTTCAGTGTCCAAGGAAGCAGCATGGAGGAGTGATGGACATTTGGAATCCCGCTTGTAAGACAGAAAGGGTCGCAACGCAGATCAGAGGCATCATTGACACGTGGGCTTGGGCCGGACACATCGTGGTTAGAAGTGACCATGGCCGAGACTGGCGGCGATGGAACGACAGCCCGCGAGTACCACTGCCGCGGAGATGGAGCGACGAAATCGCATCATGGCCGAGAGGTGGATTACGGCGCTTTGCGAGACGACGGGCAATGGGCGGCAGCGTGGGGCCGGCATTCATCCTCCAATTGCAAAATGTAAAAGATGAGAACTCAATTGAAACCGTGACAGAAAAGCCTAATGCATTAATTAACGCCGTTCTCAGAGCGCCCGCTTGTCGCGAGGAGAGGGCATGCTGCGTGACCGTGTGAAAAGAGGGAACGTGCCAAACTGTTTTTTTTTTCCTCGGCCGTTTCTGCCCGCGTGCGTCCGTTCACGCACGCAGTGTGCTTCCGTGCCATCGTGGTTACGTAAGACTTCGCGAGAAGCCCCCCCCACCGCCATGCCCTGTCGTTTTGTCGACCCGTCAATTTATTCCGCTCAAATAATCGTTTTGTCCACCCTATTGAGTGGTGCAGCAGCTACAACTATGGCCGTTGTGGGGTTTTGGGCACCCACCCAGAGGTGTAAAGATACGGCCAAGAAATAGCCACCAAAAAAATACAACGCGTCAAAAAGCACCGCAGCCTTTGTGCAAATGCAATAAAGCATTGGTGTTTGTACTGAAGAAGTGCTGCTGTCGGTCGGTGGTCACATTTGTTTAAGATTTAAATTGGTGGCGACGTAGGACAAGAGGACCACAATGCACTTCTTCAGCAACTGCTGAAGGTGTTTGTAAGCGCCCAGGTGGCTCTGCGTGTTGTACACGTTTATGGGTTGTTATTTTTTAAGCTTACGGTTTTCCAGCCCGCACTTTTATTGTGTTACTACGATGTTTTTCTCATTATTTACAGATTTGAACGCAAGAAACATCCGTGGCTTTTTAAAAAAAAATCTGCGAATCTCTTTGTTGGACACGGTGACATAATTGATGATTGTGTTCGTGAGGGGACGTAGGAGCAAACGTTTAGCGCACGGTTAGTGGGCCCAGTACCGCGTCACTCGCCAGCCGTAGCGTGAACTTGATGCAGTCATGGAGAAGTTAGTACTCATCCGTGGTACCACACATCTAACCAAGAACGAGCGGGAACCAATTCGCCCCAACCTCCACAGAGTGGCTGTTTTCCATTGCCGCTCACTGAGTTACCTATGAAAAATTAACGGGTGTTCAACTCACCCGCGTTGAATCACCATCGTGATAATCAGCTGTGGTTAATCCACTGCTGGATGAAGGCGTTACCCAAGGCGCCTCTTATCTCTCGTGATCCTGCGACGTAAAAGTCCATCATGGGTCCTCACACGAACTTTATCTTGGCCAAAGCGGATTTTTGTGACACTCTTGAAGTCGAGGTGTCATCTCGCTGCTCAAACGAAGCTTCCCAAAATTACCCTGACCGAGGAGTGGAAATTCCACATTGCAAGTCCTCACCCAATGAGCAGAAACCTTTTGCTGACTTTCAAATAACAATGCAGCGAAAGGAACATTACGAGCGTCTGTGCTAAATTCTGCTCAAATCGATAACAATTTGAGCGGGGCGGCAATCGGTCTTGATGTTATCATAAATGCCGCGGCGGTTTATTTTACAAACAGGTCACGGCGAGAGGTTGGCCGAGAGAGCGCGCCTGGAGATGAGATTGAGCGTCGCCGGCATTGTGCGCGAACTGTGTGCCTGCGGGTTTGTTTTGGGAGCGTGCGAGGAGTGGGTGTTTTTGTTGTTGTTGTTGTTATTGATCGGCCTCGTCGGACTCTTTGCGGTGTTTATTCTATTTTTTTGTGTCGCCCGCAACAACCAGGGGCCCCTGGGCACCAACGTCACCGTCAACGTCACAATCGTCGCCGAGAGCCAGCAGTGAGTGGGAGGGAGGCCTCGATATTCCTGAGGACAACCACTGCCAGGACGATGATGATGACCCCCTAAGAAACCGTTATGATTACGGTGGTGTTGGTCGTGTTGTATGTATGTAGAACGTTTTTCGCGCTGTGCCTGGTCACCTATCATTGCACAAACCACCACCCCCCCACCCCCCTATTAGATTAAATGTGGTTCTTAATTTACGTATGTAATTTCAAATTATTTCGCACTGTAAGTAGCCAACCATGCTAATTGTATGTGCGGAGGAAGGACGACACACTAAACACAAAAAGCGGTTCTAAAGAAATTAGTTAATGAGTTTTGAATCTGGATGAATTAAAAGTGTATAGCTCCCGTGGCTTCCGAATGTCGGAAGGAAGAGTGTTCCAGATGGCCACAGAAGCGCATCTGAAAGGGCGCGTGACCGTCTTTGTTCAATGGCGAGTCAAACAAAAAAGGGGTGGTGATTATCATTTTGGTGGTGGTTGTGATGGTCATGGCAGTAGTGATGCTCGTGTTGGTGTGTTCTCGTGATGCAGGTGGTAGTGATGGTGGCGAAGGTTGTGATTTTAGTGTTGATGATCGTGGTGTTTATGGTCGTAGTAATAGTAGTGACGGTGATGACAATACTGTAATGATGATGATGGTAATGGTCATGAGGTGAAAATGGTGATGGTGCTCATGTTGGTTTTGATCGTGGTTGTTGTGGTAGTGATGGTGATGGCATTGGTTGTGGTGGTGATATTCAGATGATGGTGTTACAAGTGAAGATGAGGTTGATGTGCATGGGAGGGGTGGTGGAGTGAGTTTTCCTTTGTCTTGGAATGCTGATGTTGACACTGCACCGGCCTAGTGGTTCATGCACTGCACAATGAATCCAGCCACATCAGTGGCAACTGCTATCGTATCCGGTGCTGGGCCTCCCCTAAGTCAGCTCAGCATTAAACAAGTAGCTAGTGCTCTGTGTATACATGCACACAAACTAGGCAAAGGCAGGCAGATGTGGTGTTATCCACACCAACTCCCCCCTCGTGCACCGCGCCAGCCCTAATAGGTGCTCGCTGACAGTATTTGCCCCAACACCCTTGTAAAAGGCTACATGGGGGGTATTTATGTTTGTATATTTGACTGCAGCCTGCAGGCGTTCCTGAACACCTACGGAATCCAGTCCCAGACTCCCCTGCAGATGGAGCCCATCCAGGTGTGGCCGCAGTCGGAGCTCGTGAAGGTAACGATCCCCTTCTAAATTAAAACTATAAACTACAAAACTACGTTTTTATTTTACCCGGTAAGGTTCACTGAGCTAAATAGCTCTTTGTCAAATTATATGGTCAACGAAGTAAGCGTATCACGTGGAAATGTATAGCCGCTAAATACTCTGAACGCACGTTGATTCTAAATGTGGTGGAGAAACCGGAGGACGCGCGGAAAAAAAGCATGCGTCCACAGGGAGAGAGACATGCAATTCCAAATATACAAGCGTCAGAGTTGGGATCGAACCCACGACCTGTATACCAGGCAAGGTAGTTAACATCTTGCTACCGTGGCACCAACCAGTGTGGCCCCCGCGGTTCCACTCTCTCTACACGTGGGGGCGGATGCCGTTACCATCTTCTCCAGGCCATAAGATCCCTCTCCGACCCCTGTATTTCGGATGCCGTTACCATCTTCTCCAGGCCATAAGATCCCTCTCCGACCCCTGTATTTCGGATGCCGTTACCATCTTCTCCAGGCCATAAGATCCCTCTCCTACCCCTGTATTTCAAATCAGAAGTTTGGGGTACGTCACAAAGCCCGGTAGCTCTGTATTGTGTGCGTGTCTGATGAGATTTATGTCACTTTGTTAACACCGCTTGGAGTGCATCTTACTTTCTGGAGTGTCTTGTAATCCAGGGAATATGGCGTCTGTGTTTATCATCATCATCATCAACAGCAGCAGCTATTATCTATCCACTGCTAGATGGACCCATTTCTGTTGAGCAACAGCCTTTTAGAAATTAATTGGTCGAATTTTTATTCAGCCATTATCTATCCGCTGTTGGATGAGGGTTTTCTCAAGCCGTCACCATCCATCACGGTCACACGATGCCACAATCATGATAATAATAATAACGATCATCTTTATTTTATAACACGCCTTTCGAACCGACATCTCAAAGCTCTGTACGCACAATTAATAAACACTGCAATATAGTTACGTAAAATCCATTCAAACAACAGTCTAAATCAATCCACCCAGCTCCTGCGAGAGAGACAATCTCGTCGCTCCATCTCCACATTTGATGTCCTCCCGGTCACGCTCACTCCATTGGCTGCCGTTCCACCGCCAGTCTCGTCCATCGGCCAACGTCCCACCTCGCCACCGCGCGTCCGGCCCAAGTCTACTTTACTTTCCATGCAAAAATCAATCTACGTCTCCTTTTTGCATTTGCTTCCAGATCACCGTGTCCCTACTATCTGTCTCCCAGTGTGATGCCAGGCGTGTATCTCTGGCACGCTTTTTTGCACACTTTTCAGCTTCTGTTCCGTTTTCATTGTCCCTGTGTCTTAACATTGGCACGATCGATTTTTATTTTTTTGTTGTAATTGAACACGAGCATAAATCGTGATAAAGGGAGAGGGGGGTGGGGGGGGTGCGCAGAAATTACCCGGACAAAAGTCCTAAACTCAGCGCTCCTGGGTTTAGGAGAGGGGACAAAAATTGGACCTCACTGTTCCATCCATGTGGGGACCGTGAGCGGGAGCATGCATTTTTATGTGGGGAAGGGAATATAATGGGAAGAGCGACAAGAGAAAGGGGGTAGAAGGGACATCGAGGGGGATGTGGAAGGGGGAGAGCACTTAACATAAATTGCAAAGCAAAATAGCGAACACGCGCCGAGCGAACGTATCACCAGCTAAAGCCCCGCAGAGCAGTGACGAACTCCTGTCCATCCTCTGAGGAGGGGTAGAACCCCAGGCACCTGTGCCCTCCCCGATGGATCTTTATTTAAAACAAGCGGAGAGCTTTCGAGAGAGCTCCCTCCAGTTGCGGCCGCTTGAGCCAGCAGTGACGGGAGCCAAGCAATTGCAGGGCTGCGCCTTTACCTTTCGTGCAGGCATTGGTGACCGAGGCTGATGCCGTTATGCTATAAACTAAACTAAACAATGTTTTTATCTTGATTTGAAGCTTCCGTGACTGCAGGAATCCATACTCTGGTTCTTTCGGTAAAGTCACGTAGATAGAAAAACTTAATCAAAGAAAACACGACGTTTCGGTCGCAACACAAGCGGCCATCTTCAGGTGAGAAAACAGTATCTGCTGTTGTGGCTTTATATAGGCACGGGAGGGGGGGGGGAAAGGAGGACACACGGGTGGGTGAGTGAAAATCATAGCAGTTAAAACTTAACGCGGTTTATCACATCCTTCCAATGATTGCTCAATCTGAATCCATCTTCTCCATTAAAGTTTTGTCTGTGTTTGTATATCTGGATGGCTTCGTGGACAAATCTATGATGGTGGCCCGAGGGTTTGCAGAGCACCTTGGTCTCGGAGAAAACAATGTCACGTGTGCCCACAGCATTGAAACAACGATCCGCCATCGCTGAGGTGTTGGTTCTGCCGTGTTTCAAATCCGCTTTGTGTTCGCGAACCCGGTCCGAGACACGTCGCTTCGTTTCACCAATGTAGCTGCTGTTTTTATTTTACCCCGTAAGGTTCACTGAGCCATGCAGCTCTTCTTCAGACGCGACCTGGCCACAAATGAACACCCAGCGAGTTGGCTTATCGCGTGGAACTTTATCACAGCAGCCAAATACTCAAACGCATGTTTCTAAATGCGGAGGGAAAACCCCGGGGGACCTGGAGAAACATCCATGCGACCACAGGGAGAACATGCAAAATCCAAATATACAGACGTCATGGTCTAGATCGATCGCACAACCTCCTGTATACCAGGTGAGGTAGTTAACATCTCAGCACCACGGCGCTTCAGAACCTGATGCAATTGCAGGTGACTGAAACTTGGATTTGTACCCAGGATCTCAGTGGTGTTAGCTGAGTGATCTGACATGGCCATTATAACCCCCCCCCCAGAAGCCACGTCGTACAGAGCCGTCTATTGTTAGCAGACGTACCCTGTCAATGTGGATTAGGCACAAGTTGGCTTTCTTAACACGGTGAATGGCATCTTTGGCACATAGACAAATGGAGAGCATATACTTCAATATTCGAAGTTTAAATCCATTATAGATACACATTACATTTAAATCGTGTATATATTTTTTTTATTTATTGCTAGTGCACCGGTTAGCGATACACTGCACTATGAACCCAGCGACCTGAGTTCCATCCCCGCTCACTGCCAACATCAGTGACGATTATCTAAGCCAGTAGTGGGCCTCCCCTAGGTCGATTCAGCCTCAAATGAGTACCTGGTGCCGTTGTGTGTAAACATTGCCACTTGGGAGACAAACGGCGGTCGGGCGTGGTGCTGGCCACCCACCCCCTCATGCGCCGTGCCGGCCTTCATAGGTGCTCCCTAACGGCACTTCCCCCAACAGTCTGTTAAGGCCATACGGGAGATCAATGTCTGTATATTTGTTATATTCGAAAGACAAGATTGTGAAGGAGCGATTATTGAATTGCATTGACGCAGGCTTGGCACACATCTCGGAAACATCGCGTTCCTCTTCATTTCTGCATTGAGTATTTTTTTGCCTTCATTTGTCCTCCGGATCGTGCCCCATTGCCACTGCCGCTGCGCGACAACGTTTAGCGCACCAGACTTGCAACCCGGAAGGTCGCAGGTTCAATTCCATCTCCCGGCGCGGCAGTTGAAACGATGGGGCAAGTTTCTTAGATGCCCCCTCCATTGCCTCTGTCCACTCAGCAATGTGCAGTGCATGGGTCCATCATGGTCAGCAATGTGCAGTGCATGGGTCCATCATGGTCAGCAATGTGCAGTGCATGGGTCCATCAAGGTCAGTGGGTGGGGTACAGTGTCGATACTCCTACTTCCTCCACGACGTCAGGCCAGTGTGGAAGAGGAGGCCAAAAGTCCTCTCTGGAGGGGCCACTCCAGAGCTTCTTCTCATAGAGGCCCCTTCCACCAGCAGCGTCGTGAGCAAGCAATTGTGCAGGGCTGCACCTTTTGATGTTTTTGGAAATATGATCATTATAACAATGACATGGATTCATGACTGATGAAGGTTTAGATTTACACTATTTGTAATTGGATAATGGTGATGATAATGATGGTAACAACGATGACGCATTCAGAACTGATTATGACTATTAATTATGATGATGATATCAGCAGTGATGGAGATGCACGACGAATATTGCTGATTTAACTCACAACCGTGATCCCTTGCAGGTTCTATAGGGTCTAGCGAGGTGGTAAATATGAATTATGAAAGCGCAATTAAATTATATAATGGGCAGTTTTTATTTTATTTCTCTCACCGCTGTGTTTGTCTTGTAGAGGACACACACACACACATTGTTAACCCAGAAATCAACCACTTTCTCTTTCATCAATACGCCATCGCAATTGGGGCAATACTTCACATTTATAATGAACAGCATCGAAGAACAGTTAAGGCTTTTGTGATTATTATTTTTTGTTGTTGTGTAAACTAAAGTCTGCTCGGGGAGGTGGCAGTCCGCGTCAAATTGCTGATGCAACTCGACTGAAATCCTGGGTTCAAGCCCTGCGCATTCGTCAGCAGATGAAACTAAAACTAAACTCAATTATTTTAATTTTGCCAAGTAAGGCCCACTGAGCGATCTGGCTACAATTGATCGCTCAACGTAGTGGCTTATTAATTTACAGCAGCCAAATACCCTTAACGCACATTGATTCTATATGTGGAGGGAAAAACCGGAGGCCCCGGAGAAAAATCCACGCGACCACGGGGAGAGAGACACACAAACTCCTAATATACAACAGGCGTCATGGTCGGGATCGAACCCACGACCTCCTGTATACCAGGCGAAGTATTTAACATGTCGCCATCATTGATGACTTCATATATTCTGATTCCTATGAACAGCAGCTGTGCCATAGACTGGGGGAGGTTTTGGGCCTTTTTGGCGTTTCCACATTTAGGTCGAGAGCCCCCAAACTACCCCGCACTCCTATGTCCCTATAATCCCATGAAGAGGTTTTAATATAAATTACGAGGGTAATACGAAGGCGAGACGGATGTGGCGCACCGATATAATTCCTGGTGCCGCGTTGCGGCTGAACTGAGCCACTCCCGGTGCCGTGACGAAGCGCGTCGGGGCTCACCGACGTTCGACCTCGCGGGGGGGGGGAGGGTGCCGGGGCCCCCGCCGGCGCCTTGACTTCCCGTGCCCGACACCTCGCACCCTCCATGAATCTCCTGGCACGGGGAGACAACAAAAAAATTAAACGGCATCCATCAAGCTGCGCCGGGCCTCGCCACCGCGGGGGGTCCTTGCATGCGAATGCGAGCGCATGCGCGTGTGGGGAGCGGTGGTGTAGCGGTTAGCGCTACACTGCGCTACGAACCTGGCGACCCGGGTTCGATTCCCGCTCGTGGCAAACACCAGTGACGATTATCTGAACCGGTCCTGGGCCTCCCCTAGGTCGACTCAGCCTCAAATGAGTACCTGGTGTGGTGTGTAAACATCGCCAATAGGGAGACAAAGGCGGCTGGGGGTGGTGTTGGCCACCCACCCCCTCGTTTGCCGTGCCAGCCTTTATAGGTGCTTGCTAACAGCACTTGCCTTTACAGTCTGTTAAGGCTATACGGGGGATCTTTGTCTTCTGGGGGGGGAAACATATCTGGGAGGCAAATACTCAAGCCCCGCAGAGTTATATTGCCAGCCTACTTGCTGCACGGCCTTCCCCAAGGAACGCCATTGTAACCTGCACGTGGTTGTGGCATGAAGTTGTCAAAAAAATGCTTTCCAATTCTACTTGAGTTGTGTCAGGCCACAGGATGAGGACATTTCTAATTGGAACTCTTGCAGGGAGCAGTGCACCAGTTGATGTCAGAAAGGCCCACAGAATATGACATCACAGAACTACTTCTCATACTTTGGTTCTTTCCGTAAAGTCACGCGGGTAGAAAAATAATAGATCACGACGTTTCGATCGCAACACAAGAAAAAACTGCTGAAGTAGACTTACTGAAGTAGACCTCAGCAGTTTTCTACCTACGTGACTTTACCAAAATAACCAAAGAGTATGGATTCCTGAAGTCACGAAAGCTTCAAATCAAGATTGAACCATCTTCTCAGTTGCCTCTTATCCAGACGAAGGGCACAACACGTATATTCCCTGAAAAAAGAGGTCACTTTATGGCAATAAAAAAACGTGTACGATGTACGAATCTTAGAGCCGAAATAATGCGAATTAAGTCGAAAATAGAATCTAACCCGTTGTGTGTGTTTTTACTAGTCGTTGGTGACCATACTGAGACCATAAATTTACATCCCAAAACCTTACATCCCAAAGGGCAATCATAACAAGCTATTTGAGGCCTCATAGTTCAAACATGCAGGATTAAATTAATAACCACATTTAATATAATGGTGGTTTGTGCAATGATTGGTGACCAGGCTATGGCTATCAATACCTTACACTTGACAAGCCAGTTTAATCACGGGGTGGTTGAAACCCAAGATCCGAGTCAAGAATTCCAGCGTTGCTACCTCAGCGACTCTTGCCGATTCCAAGCCCCCCCACCCCACCACTTCCACCAACCATCTGGGCATCTCTCTCACATGCCCCCATTTCTGAGTGATCCGCCCAACTCCTCCTCTTGAGTCTGTGAAGGTAGAGTCACGTTGACTTGTTGTTGTTGTCCGCAGGCGTACTCTTACCTGGGTCTCAACCCAAAGCTCGGCCTCTCGGGCCGGCCGGCACGTCCCATTGGGTGCCTGGGCACCGCCAAGGTAAGGGCAGTGGTGTTCTACCAAATTATTTTTACTGCGTGCTTAGAGGTATGGGTCAGATTTTGTTCGCATATGAAATCATCATATCGGATTTTGAGACTTGTTGCCGCAAATTTGGGATTTAATTTAAAATTTCGATATTTCTGGATTTGTATTCAATGTTATTAACATTCATTGTACATGCACTCAGTGCATGAAACATTTTAATATATAGCTCAATCAGTAAAACCATTATTTTAATGTCAACATATTTTATCCTTTATACTTTAAGCATGTATCATCGAAGTGATGTCCCCTGAAAACATCATTGACAGAAAGTGATGCCATGGAATTGACATCACTTCCTGTGCGCAATATTTTTGGATCAATCCCAGACAAATTTGTTTGATTCATCCCACATTTTGTATATAAGTCCGATTTTCAGATTTCTGGGATTTATTCAAGTTGGTTGGGATACGGAAGAGCAGAGTGTTTACCTTCGCACCAAGAGACCCTGGGTTCGAAGCATACTTTTATCTAAAGTCAACAAGTAAAAGTATTTACCGCGCAAACGAGAAATTTGGCGACACACATTTACACTGGAGACCCCAAGTCAGTGGTATTAATTCCACATTCTTCCGACAGACACCAGTCTCTCAAGAGGACAACTACCAATAACTTCGTACTTATTGTATCATCCAAGGAGGGATGATAGATTGAGTCGACCCAGAATTGGAATATTAATGCACAGGTCAATGCTGCTCTTACGAGAACTGCTGGTTCCAGAGCTAGTGCTGGAAATTCCACATTAATGTGGCAGGAGACATCCTTTCTCATAAAATAATAACTGCTAACTTCCTGCAAAGTAGTTGAGTCGACCCATTGACCTGAGAATTGAATTTTAATCCATAATATACTTCATGGTTTTCACTGTATTCAGTCTAGAGACGGTTTGTGAACTGTGCTACAAAGCTGGTGTCCGAGTTTGATTCCTGGCCATGGCTAATGTCAGTGCAGGGTGTTATACGAACCAGTCCTAAGGCTTCCCTTCAACCCACACTGATTAGAAAGGTGAAGTATGGTCAAACAACTCCAATGACACAGCATTGGGAGGCCTTCATACAGCAGCAGTCTTATAAATGGCTGTACATTCCTTTATGTATGTCCTGAAATTGTCTTTACACATCTGTGATGATTGATATGTGGGGAAGCACTCTTTACGGAGGACGAGGAAGTGCTGCCTGGTGTTTTGTGGGCGTGGCCTGTTGCAGCATATCATATTCTATGATTTTCTCCGATGGCCACGTGGCTCAAAGGTCCGAGGGCTTTGCTGGCACCGCTGAGATTCTGGGTTCTAATCCAGGCTGCAGCCGCCTGTGATGAAACCGAGTTCTCAAGTTGAGTGAGTTGATGGTGTCAGACAGATCACCGGTGACCGCATCAAAAAAATCCCCATCACGTTCAATTTGGTTCTGCTCTTAATTTGGCTAAATTCCAAAATCTGAGAATTACAAACGTCGGTTCGACCAGACATGTGACGAATATTAATTACACTGTAGCAGGAGGAGCAAGTGGGGAAGGGCTGCCCCTCCACACTGTGGACCAGAGCTTGTTTGGAGGGATGTTGGAGGTATCTCAGTGGCATCCACTTCAATGGGCTCTTGAGATCCGCATGGATTCTTCATATTGTGACGTGACACTGATGGCACAAGCGGAATAACAGGTCCCTGCAGGGTGGGCTGGTAGGAACATTGGAATTTTTCACTTCGTTAAAGTATTGAAAGGGGACGGACGGACGGACGGACACATAATCTAGCAGGCTGGTACACTCAGTTTACAACTTCGTTCCTACCAGTAAAATTTCTGTGATTTCAATACAGGACGCTTATGAAAATATTCCTGGGACATCTCAGCGATGCTTTTCCAGACAAGTAGCCCGAGCATCACCGTATCGTTAGAAACATTGCAACAGATTGCCGGTGGAGCCGCTGTGTGCTGGCTCACGGTAATTTTCCATCAGCCCCTGCATTAAAATAAATTTAATTGGCCTGACATTTTAACGTCTCCTGTGCGTCCTGCCCGCCGATAATTTACCACTGTGTAATGTAGCCGCATCATCCGCTTATTAATTCACTCGCATACGCAGATTAACACGGTGTTGGGGGGGGGGGGCATTAGATAACGGAGGCAGAAATGTAATCCATAAACGTTTTACTGTTGCTGCAATTTTTCTTTTACTTTTAAGAGAGTACAATGTGTATAAATTAGTTATTTAATCATGAGGTAATGCCCTGTCGAAGTAATGATGCGTTTAGCATTCACCAACACTTATTGTTGATTTAATCCAATGCTAATGACTGATAATTTCTCGTCAATAAAGCAGCTCTTGACTTAAAGCTTTCGTGACTGCAGGAATTAATATTCTTGGGTCTTTCGTTAAAGTCACGTAGATAGGTTATTTTGTTATTTTATTTGAACTTATCTACGTGGACTTTACTGAAAGACCCAAAAATAATAAAGCAGCTGCTTAATTCATCGGTTAGTCTCACCAATGGCACCGTTCGCCAAGCGGTTGGATTTTTCTGCCCTCTGTGTTTTTAGTGACTCATCGACACCTCGTGTGTACCTCGCGTGAACCTGTTAACATGTAATAGGCTGGAGCAGTGGCTAGCGCCGCACTGCGCTCAGAATCCGGAAAGCCGAGTTCGATCCCAGGCCCCGAGGCTAACATTGGCGGCGAGTGATTCAATCCGTCATCCACGACTGTTGTTTTTTTTACTGAGCGAATGATTTTACACAGTGCACCCAGGTACACAGCCCCCGCGTAGCCACAGAGCCATGTGACAGACTCCTCCTTCCCCAGCACGTGAGGGCAACAACAACCAGCCCACCCGGCACGCCCTGACGCACTTCACAGGCGGAGGCAATGTGCTCCATTCTCCTGCCCCCCGCACTCACACGGCATGCTGTCACTTAGTAGTACGCCCCATCGAATACATGGCAGGGCCCTCCTTGACAAGAGTCATGGGACTCGGCGCGGCCTTTCCCTGGGAATTCAGATAAAGCACAAGTGACTGAATCTTGGATTCCAACCCAAGATCTCTGGCACGCGATGGATGGATGAGCAAGATAGAGAGGAGCAGCGTTTTGTTGAATCAAGCGGTGTTGTAGAAACTCGACGAGAGAGATTTCCTAACACAAGGAGGGAAATTATTGTGCAGTGCTGTGCCGTAGCACGACAGTGAAAGGTATTTTCGGCCGTTTCCAATCCACTGTTGGATGAAGGCCTGCCCATGCCGTGTGGGTGGTAGGGATTGTTTGGAGATAATTTCACCGCGTTCGTTAGCGCGGCGTTGGTAAGGGGTGTGGGACTGGATTCTGCTCAGATATCACTCGCGACTGATGTAAGCCGTGGCTGGGAATCAAACTCGGGTCACGGGGTTGATATTGTGATGTGTCAACCGCTGCACTACAGCTCTATCCTGCAGCAGCATAATAGGTGAATACAATAAGGACACAATACGAGCTCTGCTCTCTGCTGCTGTGGTGCTTTCGACAGTAATCAGATGTGTTTCCTAACCTGGTAAAGCCATCGAAGCTTAGTGGGGTGAGAAAATAAATAGATAAAAATCATCAGCCGTGGTCAATCCGCTGCTGGATGAAGGCCTGCTCACACCGCCACCACCTCTCCCGCGATAGAACAATCCGCCCATTGCCTGCGGAAGAGCTGGCTTCATCGCTCCATCTCCCCAGCGGACGACGTCCTCTCGGACCCGTCCCGTTCCAACGGAATCATCTTCTGACACATTGAACTACTAGCGAACGAAGCTTTGGTCACATTCTTCACCTCCATGAAGAAATGGAGGGCAAATAAAAGTGGTGGCATGAAGTACGTTGGGCCCCATCTTCTACGATCCCCCATCAGCGCTCAGGCCCTCACAAGGCATTTGTGTAACCAACGACGTGGAAAGTGGTGGCGTAGTGGTTAGCGCGCTGCGCTATGAACCCGGAAATCCAGGTTTGATTCCCGCTCGCTGCCACCTACACCAGTGGCGAATGTCTCAACCGGTCCTGGGCCTCTCCTAGGTCGACTCGGCCTCAATTGAGCACCTTGTGCGGTGTGTAAACATCGCCACTGGGGCGACAAAGGCGGCCGGGTGTGGTGCTGGCCACCCACCCCCTCGTGTGCTGTGCCAGACTTCATCGGTGCTCGCTAACAGCGCTTTCCCCAACAGTCTGTAAAGGCTATACGGGGGATATTTGTCTGGAGCAGGTCATGTTTGTCTTTTATTTGTTGTGCCCTCTGTGTGTTTGTGTCACCAACGGCGTTGTGCACTTGTCCCTCTCGACACCGCGATGCAGACGTATCGTATTCTGGGCCGCACCGTGGTTTGCCTGCCCGTCATCTTTGACCTGAGTGACTTCTACATGTCCCAAGACGTCCTTCTGCTCAAGGACAACATCGTGGTGAGTGGGGGGGGGAGTAGTGAGTGCAGAGTTGGGGAGTGGTGAGTGGGGTGGGCTTGCCACCTCAGAGGTACAAAAATCCCGAACAACAAAATCATGCTCCTGGGAACACCGGGACAGGTGGCAACCCGAGTTGGCACGTCATGGGAAGAATAATATCTCACAGATCCAGAAGAGGGGGGAGCTGCGTGTGAATTCGTCATCTTGAGTGCTGTGTTATTGTTATTGTGCAAATCTGAGACTTTTTATATTCGGTGACAACTTACAAATTTCCCAGGACAGCTACCTCCTCAGCAAGAGCGATGATCCTGGGAAAATCAGAATGTCATTGCTGAATCACCATCATGTTCGCAATATCACCATCACCACTATCGTCGTCATCATCAGTATTGTTATCATTAGTAGACAGTAAGTGTCATCATCATCATCAAAATCTCGACCAACATCATATTCATCATTGTTGTCACAAGCAGAAGCAGTATAATCATCATCGCTATCGTCTTTAGTGTGGGCATCATCATCATTGTAAGCATCAGCACTATCATCATCACTCACCGTTACTACCATGGTCATGATAATTGTCGCAGGAAACATCGTAATCATCATCACCACAACCATCGGTGTCCGCATCTTCATCATTGTTATCATCGGCGGCAGAAACATCAACATCACACGCATAATAATTGTTGTCAGAAGCAGCGACGTCACGATAATCATCGTGGCTATTCGAGCTCAGACGCATTTTATTACGGGGTGTCTTTTCGGCCAGAACTTAGCGCGGCCAACTTTCTCCGAGGAAAAGATTTATGACTCTGCGCTCAGATTTTAATCACGCGCTGACAAGCCTCCCCTCGGCCCTCACCACACGGCCTCCCTCCCCCTGTCCTCCACCCTCCTCCTCTCTCTCTCTATTGAACCCCCACTGTCTCCGTGGTGCACAGCCAAGAGAATGGTGTTGTTGCAAGCGCTTGAGTCATCGCAAGACTAATTGTGAGCGCTAATTCGCCGGTAGTCTGTGTCTCGAGGTTAATTGTGCTCCGCTGAGACTCAAATGCAGCCGGAAATTATTGCCAATTATGTTAATAAATTATGCTTTGCCCTAGACTTGCAATGATTTGACATTCACGCCGCCTGCAAATGTCTGATGTTTTTTTTTTGCGTCCTAACGTTAGTTTACTACGGGTTATTCTTTTTTTATTACACATTTGTACTTTCATTTCCTTGTAATGTCTTATTCCACTCGTATTTCCTTTGTTACATCTATGGACATTTACGACTCGATGATGCCATTAGGCGGCAGGGTGCTGGTGCAATGGGTAACACTCATGATGTAATGACTCGCAGCAAGAAAGGGCCAAGGTTCGATTCTCGATGGACTTTAGGTGACTTTCCACGTGGAGTTTGTAAGTTATCCCCTGCCCTGCATGGGTTCCTTTCGGGATTCTCCCGTTTCCTCCCATAGCTAAACCGAAACAACGTAAAACGTAAGTGGGATTGGTCAAAATTTACTAGCAACTTACTACAGTTATGGAAAAAAGTATTTGATCGCCTGCCCGTTTTGTACGTTTGCCCACTGACAAAGAAATGATCAGTCTATAATTTTAATGGTAGGTTTATTTGAACAGTGAGAGACAGAATAAAAACAACAAAATCCAGAAAAACGCATGTCAAAAATGTTATAAATTGATTTGCATTTTAATGAGGGAAATAAGTATTTGACCCCTCTGCAAAACATGACTTGGTACTTGGTGGCAAAACCCTTGTTGGCAATCACAGAGGTCAGACGTTTCTTTTAGTTGGCCACCAGGTTTGCACACATCTCAGGAGGGATTTTGTCCCACTCCTCTTTGCAGATCTTCTCCAAATCCTTAAGGTTTCGAGGCTGACGTTTGGCAACTCGAACCTTCAGCTCCCTCCACAGATTTTCTATGGGATTAAGGTCTGGAAACTGGCTAGGCCACTCCAGGACCTTAATGTGCTTCTTCTTGAGCCACTCCTTTGTTGCCTTGGCCGTGTGTTTTGGGTTATTGTAATGCTGGAATACCCATCCATGGCCCATTTTCAATGCCCTGGCTGAGGGAAGGAGATTCTCACCAAAGATTTGACGGTACATGACCCCGTCCATCGTTCCTTTGATGCAGTGAAGTTGTCCTGTCCCCTTAGCAGAAAAACACCCCCAAAGCATAATGTTTCCACCTCCATGTTTGACGGTGGGGATGGTGTTCTTGGGGTCATAGGCAGCATTCCTCCTCCTCCAAACACGGCGAGTTGAGTTGATGCCAAAGAGCTCCATTTTGGTCTCATCTGACCACAACACTTTCACCCAGTTGTCCTCTGAATCAATCAGATATTAATTGGCAAACTTCAGACGGGCATGTATATGTGCTTTCTTGAGCAGGGAGGCCTTGCGGGTGCTGCAGGATTTCAGTCCTTCACGGCGTAGTGTGTTACCAATTGTTTTCTTGGTGACTATGGTCCCAGCTGCCTTGAGATCATTGACAAGATACTCCCGCGTAGTTCTGGGCTGATTCCTCACCGTTCTCATGATCATTGCAACTCCACGAGGTGAGATCTTGCATGGAGCCCCAGGCCGAGGGAGATTGACAGTTATTTTGTGTTTCTTCCATTTGCGAATAATCGCACCAACTGTTGTCACCTTCTCACAAAGCTGCTTGGCAATGGTCTTGTAGCCCATTCCAGCCTTGTGTAGGTCTACAATCTTGTCCCTGACATCCTTGGAGAGCTCTTTGGTCTTGGCCATGGTGGAGAGTTTGGAATCTGATTGATTGATTGCTTCTGTGGACAGGTGTCTTTTATACAGGTAACAAGCTGAGATTAGGAGCACTCCCTTTAAGAGTGTGCTCCTAATCTCAGCTCGTTACCTGTATAAAATACACCTGGGAGCCAGAAATCTTTCTGATTGAGAGGGGGTCAAATACTTATTTCCCTCATTAGAATGCAAATCAATTTATAACATTTTTGACATGCGTTTTTCTGGATTTTGTTGTTGTTATTCTGTCTCTCACTGTTCAAATAAACCTACCATTAAAATTATAGACTGATCATTTCTTCGTCAGTGGGCAAACGTACAAAATCAGCAGGGCATCAAATACTTTTTTCCCTCTGTATATTGGGATTGCACAGAGTAGCGACATCTCCCGTTACTGCGCAAAACTTGTCAGGGCCCTCCTGAAAAGGAATCTTGTGACTCGGTGAGCCTCTGGTGGCTAAACAAGCGCAATAGAGTCAGTGCTCATATTTGTAAAAAAGATATATATAAATATATATAGTCTCGGAGATTTAACCAATTGCCCTCAGCTCCACACTGAATTAATTGCCACATTTTAGGATCACAATTTAATTGAAAAATCTATTTTGTGCAGTAAACATAGCAGCTGCAGAGGCCACACAAACCCATTAAATTAGAAGCATGTGAACTGAAAAACGTCGATTCTTTCGCACGTGAATCCGTGCAAGTATCGCAAGCCTAAGGATCCAAGTAAATCGATTAAATGATGTCCACGTTACGCCCCCTAAATACGAGGGTAATGAATACCTGTACAGGTCCTGGGTCTCCCCTAAGTCGACTCAGCCCTAAACACGTACCACCTGGCGTGGTGTGTAAACATCAGCACCGGGGAGACAAAAGGGACATTACTAAATTACGTACGATTCGGTGCGAATTCAAAACAGTAGCTGTTCAATTGAGAGACTGGCCCCTGCCATCGGAATGTAGAATTTCCATCACCTGCTCGCAGGTCAAACAATGCATTCAAGAGCAGGAGCGCGGCCTATTCTCTCTCCATGGGCAAAATAAGTATCAAACTGTTGTAAGTCAGTAGTGGTTAGCCTGCCGTAGCCTGGTCCCTCCATAGGAACGTGGAATTTCCACCGCTGCCAACCCAGCGCTCGGTGCGAGCGGGAAGACTGCGTCGTCGGCTCCTGACGCCGCCGCGCTCTTCCCTCGCCTTCACGCTCAGCGAGGCCAAACGGCACCTCCGCGGTCAGCGAGTCGGCATGGTGCGGATGAGGAGCGCCTCTCGCATGCACGGGAGAATTAATTGTGGGTGTAATTGGATCTGTGGGTGGGGTTAAGGCTCCGAGTTGTCCTCCGACCCGGCGCGCCCCGCGTCTGCTTTATGGGGCCAATCGGAGTGCCGAGTCAGCTGAAAAGAATGGAAGGTCTTGAGTCTGGCCCTGAACAGGGGGGGCAAGGAGCTCAACAGTCGCATTTCAGGCTGATTTACCCGCGGTTGGAAACACCAATAACACACACCGCCGGCTAGAAATGGCTTTGCAAGTTGCAAGGTGAAATAGCGCCGTGTAGCCCCAGCTGTGACGAGCGTCCGTGCCACGCCTTCGCTCGGGGAACGCGTCGTCATTCCTGGGACTTTTTGTTGTAACTGGTTGTCTCCGTGCCCCCCGTGAGTTGTGGCAGTTTGCTCGGCACGACACGCAACCAATTCACCCGTCCCTGAGAGCTTCTTTAACCCTTTCCCGTTCCGAGACGTCTGCAGGTTGTAGGGTGGGTTCCCATTCACAGCTGAATCTCGGCACGCGCAATAGGCTCGGCGTGAATTTATTTAGAGAGCCGTAGCGCCGTTGTTTTTAAAGACGTTGTAATCACCGCAGAGAACCGTAGCGACACGGCTGCACTCTATGATGGCTGGTGCTAAACTGCCACGCGCATGGTCTTGTTGGAAGCATCGGTGCCAATAAAGTTATTTTATTTTAGTTTTCCATCTGGTTTCATGTCGATGGACTGCACGTACGTCGTCGGAATTTGTAAAGGGTTAAATCAACTCCGTGAGACCCCACGCATGCGTTCCGAGTCAAGCGGCCGATTCAGCTTCCGCCGTCTCATTGTACGTTCCATCTCGCAACCTCCGACTGGCCTCAAGCCACCTGCTCGTCATCGAGCTCGTCACCTCTCAAACCAGACGAGCTGAATGTCGCGTCTCCGTCGCAGCTCCCCCTGTCTGGAATTCACTCCCTGCCTCCTTCTGTCTCGCTGGCATCGTCGCTGCTGTCAGATTCTTAGGACTTCTCTATTCCTCCAATACATTTTCTCCCGCACCTTTTTTAAGTTCACTTTGTGCTCGGTTGGCTACGTACGGTGCGAAAGAAGTTCAACATACATACAATATAGAATGAGTGAATGGGTGTTGGGTGATAGCCTTCCCCCGCCCCCTCCTTTGCACCCACCCACCGCGGTGCCACCGACACTACCACCAGCAGTGGAGGTGGAGGAGGAGGAGGAGGAAAAGTCACGACCCATTACCTTCGAGGCGATTCAAGTGGGTGGAGGTTCTCGCGAGAGGCAACCATCGCAGAGTGTTCACGCCTGACGAGGCGGTGAGAGGGAGATCGATCGTAACGGCGACGCGAGGTAGCTCGTTACACGGGGTGTTCCCATTACCGCGGTTTAACGTGCCGCTCTGCCGATGAAATACAGCGCGACTTCCCACTGCTCGGAGCTAATTTTCATTTCATGTATTTCGATTTTTTTTCCGCTTCCTCCCCCCCCCCACAAACGCAGAGTTTTATGGCAGAGAAAGTGGGCCCCGCAAGGGAGCTTTTGCGTTGCGGTGGCTCGAGAACAGGGGTCCTCACTACGGCCTTTCAAATGTAGGCCGTGGTTTTTCATTGATATTGTCGAATCTATTAATATTTCTTACTGTGCTTGTTTACCCAGGAAGGCCTCATCGAGTTCCAAGACTCTGATTTTAAGGAGGGTCCTACCAATACCAGTTACATTCTGTGGGGGTTGTATTTGCTTTAGAAGGAAACCGGAGGGAACTCACACAGGCGCTCGAGTCGAGAATCGAACCCAGACTCCTTTTTGCTCTTGAGGCGGGAGTGTGACCACTGTGCCACTATACCACCCTGCCACCCTGAAAGCATACACAGGTCACAGCCATCACATTCACTGTGAAGAGTAATTGGGCTTGTGCCGGATTGCGTCGCTAGCGGAGATGATGGCCGGTGGCCGAAACGAACGACAGAGTGGAGGGAATGCGCTGGAGCGCCGTCCAGTGCAGAGATGGGGCGATGAAATCGGCTCTTGTGCACGTGGCTGGCGGGTTGTTACAGGGAGGCCTTCATCGAGCAGTGGATTTATCGTTGGCTGATGATGACCGACGACGATGATTATTATTATTCTTACAAACAATTGCCAATCGCTGCCATTCCTTTACAGAACTGTCTGCAGTTTGTGTCTCAGTGCTGGAAGATGAGCAAACGGCCACTGTGCCTCCTCCTAATCCGCGAGGACAACCTCAAGTAAGTAACCTGTCGGCGCACGCTCCCCTGCCAGCCCCACAGCCCCCGCTGTTTCTGCACTCTGCCCCATTTCAGAAGCAAAGCAGAGTGCAAGCAATTTGGATGAGTGACCACAGGGAAGTACATCGATTGCTAGTCAGGAAGCATCATCTCTGCAGGTGTATTGACTGTACAAATGCCGCACGCCGTCCGCTTCGCAGGAGACGTTGAAGAATCCCCGGACGTCATTTGTGAGAGAAGGCCTTTGTTTGCTGGCGTCGTGGTCCAAATGTTTTGAAAGTCAGCTGCAAATTACTCGGCTTGAATTACACGCAGCAACATCGCTCTTTGCCGTGAAAACGGTTGCAGACTGCGTGGAGCATTGCGGCGTCCTTACTGGTAGCCTTGTGCTGCAAGAATGGCACGAATACCAAATGCACTAAATTATTATTATTATGAGACCGTGCGTTGATTATCGCGGCAATGCATTGATGCAGTAGCCGATTATATAGCGCTGCACCTTTGCACTGTGCGCCCACAGACGAGCGGCGCGTTACTCGGGGTCAATGAAGGTCGCGGTGTGAAATGTCACTCTCTCACACTCTCTCGCTCACTCGCCTCCCAACAGGGGCAGCCGCTTTGAGCCGATGATGGACATGCTGGCGGATTTCAAGCGGGGTAGTGTCGGAGGGGTCAAAGTTCGCGTCGACAGAATTCAGGTACTGACAGGGTGGTCCGGGGTGGGGGGTGCGGGACTCTGCGAGTCACCTGATCGATCCATCGTTCGATCGATCTTTATTTTACTTGCCAATATTTCTCTCAATAAAGTCGGCGTTGGTGCACATTACGACGGAGTCACGAAACGCACCGGGCGATTCGATTGAATCGTCGCGATTCTAGTGTCGGGATTTTATTCATGCAATAAATTGTTCTCTTGGTATGATTTGTAGCGTCTTGTCTGTAACGCTTATGGTTCTTGATAATTTTGCACAGCCTTGCATCATCACAAAGTCTTAGGGTTGTCGAGAGATGGCAATAAGATGATACATGGTACGATATAATATTCACGTATCGTCTGTTTCGCAGAACGTCCTATCATGATTCTCGTGGCTAACTCTTGCCTATTTTAAAATATTAAATTTCCCAAATATATATAGCTCCGAGTTAATAATTTTATTTCACAATGATAACTAAACTTAAAAGTAAATAGCTTTGTATAAACGATTTCCAGATAAATTTGACGGCACGCCGATTATACGACGTACTTGTTCTCTGACTGTGCGTGCGTTGTAAGCGTTGTAAGCATTGCAGATGCGAAGTTGCAAGATTTATGGGAGGCTTGTGTCGAGTGAACCGTGCTTGAAGAACTTTCACGTGATATTTATTGTGTGTCAGACCGATTTCGCAACGTTTTTCACGTCGACAGAATTCACGTCGGCTGCCACGCATCCAAACAAATTAAACTGCACACCGGCAAAAAGTTGAGGAACAGTTCCTCGCATCCAAACGTAGCGATCCATTTGTGAGAATCGCTGGGTGCCGGGTCACGATGCGGGCCCTCGACCCCAGCAAAAAAAAAAAATCGATTACGAATTAAAATCTTGACGCCGCGAGCTTGAAAAATGATATCGCGGCAAACGCATTTAGCCCTCTGAATGTGTGCGACTGTTTGGTGACGTTGCATAGGCGGCGCTCGCCTCCCTGCCATTTACGTTCCGTCGATCGGCCAAACATTATTCAATAGAGCGCCCTTCGCAATGAAATGGTCACAGAGCGCTCCTCGCGCGGACGTAACGCTACACACACATCAGTGACGAGCATATAAAGTTTGAAATATGTAAGAGAGATTATAAAATACACGCTTAGCCTGATTTTAAACACCACAACACCTTCCTCGTTGGATGGTGTTCATGGTGCACTCCACTTAAACACAGCGTCAACTAGCACACTGCATCACGAACACACTGCACCATGAACACACTGCACAATGAACACCCTACACACTGCACCATGAACACCCTACACACTGCACCATGAACACCCTGCACACTGCACCATGAACACCCTACACGCTGCACCATGAACACCCTGCACACTGCACCATGAACACTCTACACACTGCACCATGAACACCCTACACACTGCACCATGAACACCCTGCACACTGCACCATGAACACTCTACACACTGCACCATGAAAACCCTACACGCTGCACCATGAACACCCTGCACACTGCACCATGAACACCCTACACGCTGCACCATGAACACCCTGCACACTGCACCATGAACACTCTACACACTGCACCATGAACACCCTACACGCTGCACCATGAACACCCCGCGCGCTGCACCATGAACACCCTACACACTGCACCATGAACACCGTACACACTGCACCATGAACACCCTACACACTGCACCATGAACACCGTACACACTGCACCATGAACACCCTACACACTGCACCATGAACACCGTACATGCTGCACCATGAACACCCTGCACACTGCACAATGAACACCCTACACGCTGCACCTGAATACAACACACGCTCCACCATGAACACCCTGCATACTGCACAATGAACACGCTACATGATGCACCATGAACACACTGCACCATGAACACCCTGCATACTGCACAATGAACACCCTACATGATGCACCATAAACACCCTGCACGCTGCACCATGAACACCCTGCACGCTGCACCATGGACACCATAAATACTGAAGCATGAACACCCTACACACTGCAGAAACAGGACTGGGAATCCTGATACTCCTCGTGTGTTGGAGGAGCCTTGTGGAATGCGCTGACACTGGGGAGCACCGGCCGTGGATGAAGGCGTTGATGTGGATGATGGGAGCGTTTAGAGTGGCCAGGTCGCTTCTGAAAAAGAGCTGTATAGCTCAGTGGGTAAAATAGAAAAAAGTTGTGACTGCAGTTTGTTGTTTGGTTTTAATGTAGGAAATGCTGGCCTCGTCAAAAGTCCACCATGCCTTGTCTTGTCTCTAGGCGCTGATTTCTGGAACGCTGGTTCAGCAGTTGGATTTCCTGAGAGTCAGCGAAGGAGAGGAGTAAGTTTTGGTCTGAGACTCCTGCAATGTCTTCATCTTAGCGACTCGAGATGAGTCCAGCGTGGGGTGGCGCTTTGGCTCAGGGTAGAAATGGCCCCCGAGTGTTTGAGCCCACAACGCTCACCCACGCTGTCAATTGCAATGCTCACCCACTCTAATTCTGGCAAATCACTTCATGAAGCTAATTGGCATGTTTCGTTTCCGTGACAAACCTTACTAGTTGGCTGTGTCGGGTGGTGGTGGGCTTACGACACATTTATATTTAGGCGATCTAAACCTCTGACAAAGTCCCATCGTCTTCCATCAAAATATCTACGTTTTTTTTCGTGGTCGTGCCGCGTGGCTTATCGATGTACCTTCGGGTCGTTACCACTCGTCGTTCAACAGCAACATTTCGCTCTTAAGAAGCTCCCGGTACGTGGGAGCGAGGTTTCTGAACGGCGTGGCGCGTAGCAGCGCATGGGAGAGCTGTCTCGCTGAGTTGGCCGCACCGCTGCCCTTGTCGCTCGCTGCAGGCTGCCGACGTTCAGCTTCCTGGAGGAGATGCCGGTGAAGGAGTCGGCGGGCCTGCGGCGGCGGCTGAGCGCGCCGTGCCTCGACGACTCCAACCTGGAGGGCGAGGTGTTGGAGGAGGAGTGGGGGCACCGGTCCAGCGCCGACGTGCTCCACCGCCTCAGCGTATGCCTACCTCGATCATCGAGTTAACATCTCGCACTGGCGAGATGTTTATTACCTCGCCTCGTATACAGGAGGTCGTGGGTTCGATCTCGACCCTGACACCTGTATATTTGGAGTTTGCGTGTGTCTCTCTCCCCGTAGTCGCGTGGATTTTTCTCCGGGTCCTCTGTGTTTTTTTCCCCTCCACTTTTTGAAACACGCATTTAGAGTATTTGGCTGCTATAAATGTCCACGTGATAAGCCACTTCGTTGGGCTCTCATTTGTGGCCAGGTCGCTTCTGAAAAAGAGCTATACAGCTCAGTGGACCTTACCTGATCAAATAAAAAATTGTTTAATATTTTTAAAATGTTGATGACGATGGGGTGGCCAGGAAAGGGTGTAGAAACACGGGCGCTGCACATGCCTGATGATTGCGAAACTTGTCCTGCGCTACTTTAGAGAGCGCCAATTCCAATTGAGATGGAGATCTTGAGTGCATGCGTGTGCACGTGTGTGTGTGTGTGCGTGTGTGCACGTGTGTGTGCGTGTGTGTGTGTGCGTGTGTGTGCGTGCGTGTATGTGTGTGCGTGTGTATGTCCCGCTGCGTTACGAAACTGCCGACCCGAGTTTGATTCCCGATTAACGGCCAGCACCAGTGACCAGTCCTGGGCCTCCACTAGGTCGACTCAGCCTCAAATGAGTACCATGTGCAATGTGTAAACATCGGTATAGGGGAGACAAAGGCGGCAGGGCCTGGTATTTGTCACCCGCCACCTCGTGCACCGTGCTCACAGCCCTTATCCCAAAAGCCTGTTAAAGGGTACATGGGGGATCTTTGTCTTTGTGTCACACACGACGTGCAGGGAGCTACGTCAAGTGCAGGACATTACGTGCCGTGACTTAAGAGACTGGTGCCAGAAAGATGTGTGCACTACTTGAGCTTATTGGCCTACAAGACAGAGGAAAGTGGAAACATGACGAAATGTGCAGTGGCTATCTGCCCCATGGATCGTGATGATGATGATAATGACGACGACGCATATGTTGGGCTGTTATGTAGCAAGCATCAGGCAAGTGCAGCGTGTAACGACTCGGTAAACACGACGAGGAGCTGAATGTGAGAGACCTTGACGGAGGGGTTTTTACTGGTAGGAACGAAGTTGTAAACTGAGTGTACCAGCCTGCAATAGATTAATGTGTCCGTCCGTCCATCCGTCCGTCCGTCCCCTTTCAACACTTTAACGAAGTGAAATCTCGTGCTGTTGGGGGTGTAAAAATAAAATTGCGCAATATTCCAATGTTCCTACCAGCCCACCCTGCAGGGGACCTGTTGCTGAAGGTTGGCCGTCTGCTTTCAGGAATGCCACGCACTCCACAACCAAACCGTGCTGCTGGGGATTCTGCTCAAGCGGGAAGGCGGCCACTTCATCACAAACGCAGGTGTGTACGTCAGCAGCCGTGGAGACATCTACGAAAGCTGCTCTGGGAGACCAACTGGTCAAACCGGCTGTAGGACACGGGAGAGTAAGTTGTATAAGGCGCACAGCATTTTGCAAAAAACAATCAGCATTTCGTGAATAAGTGCATTGTCCTTTCGTCTGAAGGTAGATATCATAGATTTGAGGAAATGTGTCGCAAGGGGAGCACAATGCTGATGGTTTGTGCATAATGCACACAGGCTGGGTGCATTTCACACACTTCTGCGTGTAATGTTTTAAACGTATGGTTTTCCGGGCCTGCGCTGTTATTCTGTTACGATGGGCAACAGAATAATAATAACAACGATGGGTCATTCATAGATTTCATTGTGAGTCTTAAACCCTTCTGCTGAACCCAACCATAGACACCTAACCAACATAATCCTTATCCATGGTCACTCCACTGCTGGCTGAAGGCCTCCCCATGCCTCCTTTCGTGATCCTGCGATGTAACAATCCAGCTGGCGCCTTCCATTCCTTGGCTGCGATTCCATGTGTGCACTGCGACCGCTGAACCAGCCGGCCACCTCAACACTAAAACGGAAGTAGAGGCTGAGGGGTGACTCGGAGGGCAGAGTGCTGCGCTGGCACCACAGAGATCTGGGCATGAATCTGATTTTAGCCAATTGTGATTTGATTGTGCAGGGAGTTGACGATGATGCCAGCCTGCTGTAGCTATGTATGTTGAGCATCTTTCCCACCGTACGTAGCAAAATCGTGCTCATGACTGGGTGAAACCGAATACTTTCGTGTAAAATCTCGTTTAAGCTGCCCAAGGCCATCACAACCCCGAGTGATAAACATCACAGATGTATCACACGGCTGACACGAAGCACACCGCTCGCCTACGACCTTTTAACGTCGTGAAATGCGTAAAATCTCAGAGGCTCAGTGGGATAGAGAGAGAGAGGGTGCCCGATTCATACTTGGATGAGAGACTGCCTGGGAACGCCACGTGTTTTTTTCTTGGGCTGCCAGGCCGCTGGAGATGGTGGTGTAACAGTGGATCCTGCAATCTATCCATGCGGAAATTGCACGAGTGGTACCCCGAGTTCACTCGCCATGATGTCTTTCTGCCATCTAGTGGTGTATTTATGCACTGTAAGAACCATTTCTCGTGTCAAGAACACTGGCATTAAGAGGAAAAACAATCATCATAGGAGACGTCCCAGGCAACGGCTCTTCATCGGCGTTAATTGACCATGCTTCACCACACTGGTCAGCTCGGGTTGGTTAAGGCGAGGAGCATCCTGTGTGTGTGGTCACTGTGTGTGTGTGTCACTGTGTGTGGGTCACTGTGTGTGTGTGTCACTGTGTGTGTGATCACTGTGTGTGTGGTCACTGTGTGTGTGTGTGGTCACTGTGTATGTGGTCACTGTGTGTGGGGACACTGTGTGTATGGTCACTGTGTGTGTGTGGTCACTGTGTGGTCACTGTGTGTGTGGTCACTGTGTGTATGGTCACTGTGTGTGTGTGTGGTCACTGCGTGTGTGGTCACTGTGTGTGGGGACACTGTGTGTATGGTCACTGTGTGTGTGGTCACTGTGTGTGTGGTCACTGTGTGCGTGTGGTCACTGTGTGGTCACTGTGTGTGTGTGGGTCACTGTGTGTGTGTGGGTCACTGTGTGTGTGTGGTCACTGTGTGTATGGTCACTGTGTGGTCACTGTGTGTGGGGACACTGTGTGTATGGTCACTGTGTGTGTGTGGTCACTGTGTGGTCACTGTGTTTGGGTCACTGTGTGTGTGGTCACTGTGTGTGTGGTCACTGTGTGTGGGTCACTGTGTGTGTGTGTGGTCACTGTGTGTGGGTCACTGTATGTGTGTGTGGTCACTGTGTGTGTGTGTGGTCACTGTGTGTGTGGTCACTGTGTGTGGTCACTGTGTGTGTGGTCACTGTGTGTGTGGTCACTGTGTGTGTGGTCACTGTGTGGTCACTGTGTGGGTCACTGTGTGTGTGGTCACTGTGTGTGTGGTCACTGTGTGTGGTCACTGTGTGTGTGTGGGTCACTGTGTGTGTGTGGGTCACTGTGTGTGTGGTCACTGTGTGTGTGTGGTCACTGTGTGTGTGTGGGTCACTGTGTGTGTGGGTCACTGTGTGTGTGGTCACTGTGTGTGTGTGGTCACTGTGTGTGGGTCACTGTGTGTGTGGTCACTGTGTGTGTGTGGTCACTGTGTGTGGGTCACTGTGTGTGTGGTCACTGTGTGGGGTCACTGTGTGTGTGTGGTCACTGTGTGTGTGTGGTCACTGTGTGTATGGTCACTGTGTGGTCACTGTGTGTGGGGACACTGTGTGTATGGTCACTGTGTGTGTGTGGTCACTGTGTGGTCACTGTGTTTGGGTCACTGTGTGTGTGGTCACTGTGTGTGTGGTCACTGTGTGTGGGTCACTGTGTGTGTGTGTGGTCACTGTGTGTGGGTCACTGTATGTGTGTGTGGTCACTGTGTGTGTGTGTGGTCACTGTGTGTGTGGTCACTGTGTGTGGTCACTGTGTGTGTGGTCACTGTGTGTGTGGTCACTGTGTGTGTGGTCACTGTGTGGTCACTGTGTGGGTCACTGTGTGTGTGGTCACTGTGTGTGTGGTCACTGTGTGTGGTCACTGTGTGTGTGTGGGTCACTGTGTGTGTGTGGGTCACTGTGTGTGTGGTCACTGTGTGTGTGGGTCACTGTGTGTGTGGTCACTGTGTGTGTGTGGTCACTGTGTGTGGGTCACTGTGTGTGTGGTCACTGTGTGTGTGTGGTCACTGTGTGTGGGTCACTGTGTGTGTGTGTGGTCACTGTGTGTGGGTCACTGTATGTGTGTGTGGTCACTGTGTGTGTGTGTGGTCACTGTGTGTGTGGTCACTGTGTGTGGTCACTGTGTGTGTGGTCACTGTGTGTGTGGTCACTGTGTGTGTGGTCACTGTGTGGTCACTGTGTGGGTCACTGTGTGTGTGGTCACTGTGTGTGTGGTCACTGTGTGTGGTCACTGTGTGTGTGTGGGTCACTGTGTGTGTGTGGTCACTGTGTGTGTGTGGGTCACTGTGTGTGTGGGTCACTGTGTGTGTGGTCACTGTGTGTGTGTGGTCACTGTGTGTGGGTCACTGTGTGTGTGGTCACTGTGTGTGTGTGGTCACTGTGTGTGGGTCACTGTGTGTGTGGTCACTGTGTGGGGTCACTGTGTGTGTGTGGTCACTGTGTGTGTGTGGTCACTGTGTGTGTGTGTGGTCACTGTGTGTGGTCACTGTGTGGTCACTGTGTGTGTGTGGGTCACTGTGTGTGGGTCACTGTGTGTGTGGTCACTGTGTGTGTGGGTCACTGTGTGTGTGTGGGTCACTGTGTGTGTGGTCACTGTGTGTGGGTCACTGTGTGTGTGGTCACTGTGTGGGGTCACTGTGTGTGTGGTCACTGTGTGTGTGTGGTCACTGTGTGTGTGTGTGGTCACTGTGTGTGGTCACTGTGTGGTCACTGTGTGTGTGGTCACTGTGTGTGTGTGTGGTCACTGTGTGTGTATGGTCACTGTGTGTGTGTGGTCACTGTGTGTGGTCACTGTGTGGTCACTGTGTGTGTGTGGTCACTGTGTGTGTGTGTGGTCACTGTGTGTGTGTGTATGGTCACTGTGTGTGGTCACTGTGTGTGTGTGTGGTCACTGTGTGTGTGTATGGTCACTGTGTGTGTGTGTGGTCACTGTGTGGTCACTGTGTGTGTGTGGGTCACTGTGTGTGTGGTCACTGTGTGTGTGGGTCACTGTGTGTGTTCACTGTGTGTGTGTCACTGTGTGTGTGTGGTCACTGTGTGTGTGTGGGTCACTGTGTGTGTGGTCACTGTGTGTGTGGGTCACTGTGTGTGTTCACTGTGTGTGTGTCACTGTGTGTGTGTGGTCACTGTGTGTGTGGTCACTGTGTGTGTGTATGGTCACTGTGTGTGTGTGGTCACTGTGTGTGTGGTCACTGTGTGTGTGTGGGTCACTGTGTGTGTGGTCACTGTGTGTGTGTGGTCAGTGTGTGGTAACTGTGTGTGTGGTCACTGTGTGTGGTCACTGTGTGTGTGTGTCACTGTGTGTGTGGTCACTGTGTGTGTGTGGTCACTGTGTGTGTGTGTGGTCACTGTGTTTGTGGGTCACTGTGTGTGTGGTCACTGTGTGTGTGGTCACTGTGTATATGGTCACTGTGTGTATGTGGGATCACTGTGTGTGTGTGTCCGTGTGAGCGAGCAGGCACCGTCACGGATCAGCTGGAGCGTGTGCACAGTGTGGCCGGCACCAACAAGCGCTGGTAACAGAGTGGGGGGGGGTGCGGGGAAGCCATCGATGGAGGAGGTAGAGGAGGTACAGGAGGTGGAGGATGTAGCGGGGTATTCAAGTGGTGGAGGAGGTGGTGTCAGGAGTGGACAAGGTGGGGGAGTCGGAATGACTTATACAAAGCTTGATATATCTTTCACGGTACTGGAGTGTGAAGTGGCTACGTGTTGAACGAATGGGACTTGCCGATGAATGGTGCCAGCGGGGTCGAGATCGGCTTCCTCCACAACAGCGGCAAGAACTCCGGAGAGTAAAAACGCAGCAAGTTTGGGGCGCCAGGGAGCACACGTGGTGCATCTGCGCAACGATATCGGTTACTGCATACTACCTGGACCTGTCACGTGGCCTCATGCCAGCGAGCCTTTGACTCTTAAATTGACCTCAAAGTGGTGATGTCCTCATCACTTAGTGTATAATTTTGGTTGTTGCACATGTATATACGGTATGTGTGTCCGTGTTTGCTTGTTGTTGTGTGTGTACGCATGTTGGGGAGCGGTAGTGTAGCGGTTAGCGCCCTGCGCTACGAACACGGCGACCCGAGTTCGATTCCCGCTCAAGGCAAACGCCAGTGACGATTATCTGAACCTCTCCTGGGCCTCCTCCTAGATCGACTCAGCCGCAAATAAGTACCTGATGCAGTATGTAAACATCACGAGGGAGACAAAGGCGGCTGGGCTTCGTGTCGGCCACCCACCCCTTCGTGCGCCGTGCCGGATTTCGTAGCTGCTCACGAACAGCACTTGCCCCAACAGTCGTTGAAGGCTATACGGGGATCTTTGTCTTTGCAGGTCTATAGTGCGCTACGCAGCATGCTTGTTAGGAAAAGTCGTTGACAGCCTCGCCCCGTCCATCACAAACATCGTCGTCGGAGGGAAACAGGTGCCACCACGCAGACCGTTCATTCATTCATTACTGATTCTTTCATTCACGTATTCATTCATCTATTTAAGTGATTCCTTCATTGACATTTTCATTCATGAACCGATTCTTTCATTCGCATTTTCATTTCCTGATTTCCTTCAGTCACGTATTAAATTATTAACGTGTTCATTGATTCCTTCACGAATTCATCAACTGATTACTAATTTGACGTATTCTATCACGAAATAATTCCTTCATTCACATCTTCAATTATTTATGAACTAAGTTCTTCACATATTGACTCACTCGTTCATTCCTTCATTCGCTCATTAAGTGATTCATCAACAAATTCCTTCATTCACTGTTTTTTTTTATTCATGCCTTACCTAATTGCTAAATTCACATATGCATGAATGGTGGTAGTGACAATATTTAAAACATATATTATTTACCAGGTAAAAAGCCCACAGCGTTTTGCTCTTTTCCTGAGAGGGCCTTGCTACAAATGATAGCTCAACGACGTGGCTCATCACGTGGAAATTTTATAGCAGCCAAATTCTCTAAACGCATGTTGCTAAATGTGAAGGGAAAAATCGGAGGGAACGGAGAAAAATTCAAACGACCATGGGGAGAACATTCAAACTCCCAATTATATATAGGTGTCGGGATTGAACCGACTTCCTGCATACCAGTTGAGGGAGTTAACATCTACCCACCCAAAATGCTCACTACAAGGGAATCAGTTGTGGGTTGTAACCCAAAAGCGACTGAACCAGTCACAGACGGTGCAACCGCCTCATTAAAACCGCCTCAGAGGGCCCAGATCCCGTTCACCTTTTTGCTAAAATGGCAAAAGAAAATGCAGTGAGCGGTTAAATGTCTGGCTTTAGGTTCGGGTTTTGTCATTTATCAAAATTGACCGTTTGACTCCCAGGCTCGCATCTGCATGCGTGGGCAGTTGTGGCAACACGAGAATGCAGCCACCATCACCACCACCGCCACCATCAATTCCACCAGCACTATAACCGGCACAGCAGAGGAGGATTCAGAAACTTCCTAAAGAGGGGGGAGGGGGGTTGGTGATCTGAAAACTTCACATTTTTAAAAAAATAGAGCCCAACATTTTAAAATAAATAAAATCAATGTCTCTCCTATGCAGCAAGTCCATACCCTGGCTCTCCAGGAGATGGCGGCACAACAAAGTGTGGCTCGTGTCAGCTGTCCCCTCTGTATGGGGATAGAGTGTTTCCTCCTCGCACATGTGTGTTTTCTCCGTGTGCTCCAATTTCCTCCCGCAGGTATATACGACCTAGGGGGAGGCCCAGGACCGGTTCAGATATTCCCCACCGTAGTTGGTTGTGAGCAGGACTCGAACTCGGATCGCCGGGTTCGAAGTGAAGTGCAGCCGACCGCCGCGCGACACTGCTCGCTGCCGCTCCAAACTAACGTCCACACCTCTCGCACGTACGCACACGCACTCACGCACTCACGCACCCACGCACTCACGCACCCACGCACCCACGCACATGCCCTCTCCATCCCGGCGCGTGCATGCCGCAGCTCACACTCGGCGTGTTCGGCCACGAGGAGGTGGCCATCTCGAACCCGGTGTCGCCGGCGGCCGCCAAGCAACTGTTGTACGGCACGTGCGCGGCACGTGACCCCCGTGCCTCGGCCCTGCAGCAGGAGCTCGTCATCCACGTGGGTTGGGCGATGGCCAACTCCCCGGAACTCTTCGGGGGGATGCTGCGCCTGCGCATCGGGTAGGGCCCCTCCTCAACCCTGACCACCCCCATCCCCCACCCCCGAATTGTCAAAAAACAACGGTCAGCGTTGAGGTTGTGTGTCAGTGTTGAGGTTGTGTGTCAGTGTTGAGGCTGTTTGTCAGTGTTGAGGCTGTGTGTCAGTGTTGAGGTTGTGTGTCAGAATGAGACAGTATGTCAGTGTTGAGGTTGTGTGTCAGTGTTTAGGCTGTGTGTCAGCGTTGAGGCTGTGTGTCAGTGTTGAGGCTGTGTGTCAGTGTTGAGACTGTGTGTCAGTGTTGAGACTGTGTGTCAGCGTTGAGACTGTGTGTCAGTGTTGAGACTGTATGTCAGTGTCGAGGTTGTGTGTCAGTGTTGAGACTGTGTGTTAGTGTTGAGACTGTGTGTCAGTGTTGAGACTGTGTGTCAGTGTTGAGACTGTGTGTCAGCGTTGAGACTGTGTGTCAGCGTTGAGGCTGTGTGTCAGCGTTGAGACTGTGTGTCAGCGTTGAGGCTGTGTGTCAGTGTTGAGACTGTGTGTCAGTATTGAGGCTGTGTGTCAGTGTTGAGACTGTGTGTCAGTATTGAGACTGTGTGTCAGTGTTGAGGCTGTGTCAGTGTTGAGACTGTGTCAGTGTTGAGACTGTGTGTCAGTGTTGAGGCTGTGTGTCAGTGTTGAGGTTGTGTGTCAGTGTTGAGACTGTGTGTCAGTGTTGAGACTGTGTGTTAGTGTTGAGGTTGTGTCAGTGTTGAGACTGTGTGTCAGTGTTGAGACTGTGTGTCAGTGTTGAGGCTGTGTGTCAGCGTTGAGGCTGTGTGTCAGTGTTGAGACTGTGTGTCAGTGTTGAGGTTGTGTGTCAGTGTTCAGGCTGTGTGTCAGTGTTGAGGTTGTGTGTCAGTGTTGAGGCTGTGTGTCAGTGTTGAGACTGTGTGTCAGTGTTGAGACTGTGTGTCAGCGTTGAGGCTGTGTGTCAGTGTTGAGGCTGTGTGTCAGTGTTGAGGCTGTGTGTCAGTGTTGAGGCTGTGTGTCAGTGTTGAGACTGTGTGTCAGTGTTGAGACTGTGTGTCAGTGTTGAGACTGTGTGTCAGTGTTGAGACTGTGTGTTAGTGTTGAGGCTGTGAGTCAGTGTTGAGACTGTGTGTCAGTGTTGAGGTTGTGTGTCAGAATGAGACTGTGTGTCAGTGTCGAGACTGTGTGTCAGTGTTGAGACTGTGTGTCAGTGTTGAGGTTGTGAGTGTTTAGGCTGTGTGTCATTGTTGAGGTTGTGTGTCAGTGTTGAGGCTGTGTGTCAGTGTTGAGGCTGTGTGTCAGTGTTGAGGCTGTGTGTCAGTGTTGAGACTGAGTGTCAGTATTGAGACTGTGTGTCAGTGTTGAGGTTGTGTGTCAGTGTTGAGACTGTGTGTCAGTGTTGAGGTTGTGTGTCAGTGTTGAGACTGTGTCAGTGTTGAGACTGTGTGTCAGTGTTGAGGTTGTGTGTCAGTGTTGAGACTGTGTGTCAGTGTTGAGACTGAGTGTCAGTATTGAGACTGTGTCAGTGTTGAGACTGTGTGTCAGTGTTGAGACTGTGTCAGTGTTGAGACTGTGTGTCAGTATTGAGACTGTGTGTCAGTGTTGAGACTGTGTGTCAGTGTTGAGACTGTGTCAGTGTTGAGACTGTGTGTCAGTGTTGAGGCTGTGTGTCAGTGTTTAGGCTGTGTGTCAGTGTTGAGACTGTGTCAGTGTTGAGGCTGTGTCAGTGTTGAGACTGTGTGTCAGTGTTGAGACTGTGTGTCAGTATTGAGACTGTGTGTCAGTGTTGAGACTGTGTGTCAGTGTTGAGACTGTGTGTCAGTGTTGAGGCTGTGTGTCAGTGTTGAGGCTGTGTGTCAGTGTTGAGACTGTGTGTCAGTGTTGAGACTGTGTGTCAGTGTTGAGGCTGTGTGTCAGTGTTGAGGCTGTGTGTCAGTGTTGAGACTGTGTCAGTGTTGAGACTGTGTGTCAGTGTGGAGACTGTGTGTCAGTGTTGAGGCTGTGTGTCAGTGTTGAGGCTGTGTGTCAGTGTTGAGACTGTGTGTCAGTGTTGAGGCTGTGTGTCAGTGTTGAGACTGTGTGTCAGTCTTGAGGCTGTGTGTCAGTGTTGAGACTGTGTGTCAGTGTTGAGGCTGTGTCAGTGTTGAGACTGTGTGTCAGTGTTGAGGTTGTGTGTCAGTGTTGAGACTGTGTGTCAGTATTGAGACTGTGTGTCAGTGTTGAGGTTGTGTGTCAGTGTTGAGGTTGTGTGTCAGTGTTGAGACTGTGTGTCAGTGTTGAGGCTGTGTCAGTGTTGAGACTGTGTGTCAGTGTTGAGGCTGTGTGTCAGTGTTGAGACTGTGTGTCAGTGTTGAGACTGTGTCAGTGTTGAGACTGTGTGTCAGTGTTGAGACTGTGTGTCAGTGTTGACGCTGTGTGTTAGTGTTGAGGCTGTGTATCAGTGTTGAGGCTGTGTGTCAGTGTTGAGGCTGTGTGTCAGTGTTGAGACTGTGTGTCAGTGTTGAGACTGTGTGTCAGTGTTGAGACTGTGTGTCAGTGTTGAGGCTGTGTCAGTGTTGAGACTGTGTGTTAGTGTTGAGACTGTGTGTCAGTGTTGAGGTTGTGTGTCAGTGTTGAGACTGTGTGTCAGTGTTGAGACTGTGTGTCAGTGTTGAGGCTGTGTCAGTGTTGAGACTGTGTCAGTGTTGAGGTTGTGTGTCAGTGTTGAGGTTGTGTCAGTGTTGAGACTGTGTGTCAGTGTTGAGGCTGTGTCAGTGTTGAGGCTGTGTGTCAGTGTTGAGGCTGTGTCAGTGTTGAGACTGTGTGTCAGTGTTGAGGTTGTGTGTCAGTGTTGAGACTGTGTGTCAGTATTGAGACTGTGTGTCAGTGTTGAGGTTGTGTGTCAGTGTTGAGGTTGTGTGTCAGTGTTGAAACTGTGTGTCAGTGTTGAGGCTGTGTCAGTGTTGAGGTTGTGTGTCAGTGTTGAGACTGTGTGTCAGTGTTGAGGCTGTGTGTCAGTGTTTAGGCTGTGTGTCAGTGTTGAGGCTGTGTGTCAGTGTTGAGACTGTGTCAGTGTTGAGACTGTGACAGTGTTGAGACTGTGTGTCAGTGTTGAGACTGTGTGTCAGTGTTGAGACTGTGTGTCAGTGTTGAGGCTGTGTCAGTGTTGAGGTTGTGTGTCAGTGTTGAGACTGTGTGTCAGTGTTGAGGCTGTGTCAGTGTTGAGGTTGTGTGTCAGTGTTGAGACTGTGACAGTGTTGAGACTGTGTGTCAGTGTTGAGACTGTGACAGTGTTGAGACTGTGTGTCAGTGTTGAGACTGTGTGTCAGTGTTGAGACTGTGTGTCAGTGTTGAGGCTGTGTCAGTGTTGAGACTGTGTGTCAGTGTTGAGACTGTGTGTCAGTGTTGAGACTGTGTCAGTGTTGAGACTGTGTGTCAGTGTTGAGGTTGTGTGTCAGTGTTGAGACTGTGTGTCAGTGTTGAGACTGTGACAGTGTTGAGACTGTGTGTCAGTGTTGAGACTGTGTGTCAGTGTTGAGACTGTGTGTCAGTGTTGAGACTGTGTGTTAGTGTTGAGGCTGTGTGTCAGTGTTGAGGCTGTGTCAGTGTTGAGACTGTGTGTCAGTGTTGAGGCTGTGTGTCAGTGTTGTGGCTGTGTGGCTGTGTGTCAGCATTGAGGCTGTAGGTCAGTGTTGAGGTTGCTCCGACACCTCGCCATGTCACTGAAAGTAACATCGTACTGTGCAATAGACGGGGCCAGTTGTAACCCCGAGACGACAGTAGATGGCACTACGGTGGTGCGCTCGGAGTTTGCGTGGCTCCAGTAGCAAAACATTTAGCAACGAATGGGGATTCGAACTGTTAGAGGACAGCCAGGCACTCGCGGCCTCGAGATGTGCATCTACACATCCTTAAGATCATTCAACAGACTTCGGGATAAGAAGGCTCAACTAATCGAGTCTCTCACCTTTCTGAAGAGATGCCGCGACTCTAAGGCTCTTTGTTCCTCTCACACAGCTTAAAAGCCGTGATCTGAACGTGGCTCTCTCACTCCAGCGCTGTCCTACCAGACAGTCTCGCCCCCTTCACCTGATGAAGGCCGCTTGTGTTGTGGCCGAAACGTCGTGAGAATATTATTGTGTTATTTTATTTTATCAATTTATTATTTTATTCTCATTCTACGTGACTTTACCGAAAGAACCAAAGAAGAAAGTGACAGCTGTTTGACTTGAGGTTTTGCCCCCTTTTAAATAATTACACGTGCTGAAAAATGCAACGTTTGTGTATTTGTACTCACAGTGCGTTTGCATATATTGAACATTGTAATGTTTATATGAAAACTAGCAGGTGTACCCGTTCTTGGCACGGAAATTAATAGTTTAGTCCATCACAGATGTGACATCACCGCTCACTTGCCGTGCAATATAATATATCCATTATTGCGCCCCCCCCCCCCCCCACAGTACAAAAGTCTGTTTTTTTTTACTTTTTGCATAGTGTACAATCTGGAAGATACCCACATGCCAAATTTTAAGTTTGTTGCATGTTGGGAAGTATTATAAACATCTCGAACAGACACACATTCACAAATTTCACTTTTATATATAGATTATACATAACTGATTTGACAGGCATACAGATGCAAATACATAAAGTATGTAACTGATCAAAGCTCCACTTGACATTAACAGTAATATATTTTATTTTGTTTCCGAATAATAATATTAATACTAATGATTCATATTTATAATTTAGAATGTACTAATAAATTCTAGGCCATGTAATTATCTTGGCAAATTATTAGTGGCAATTTTGGCCAGATCAAAACCCAAAAATGTCAATTATGAATATTAATATTTGCTGCAACAACCTACTACGTGATAAATTAGTAGTTTATCCAGGAAACAGTCACCGAGTCTCATAACTCTAATTCCATCAGTATCCTGCACTGGGGATGTTTGGCCAATTCCATCAGTGAATGACACATAGGATATAAAGGACTGAAGGTTGACGAATGGGATTGCCCAGGACCGGTTCAGACATCGCCTCGTCACTCACATTTTCCGTGACGGCGAATCAAACTCGGTTTTGCTGACCGCAGCGTCGCCACCACTAAACTAAACTATTTTTTATTCGACCGGGTAAGGCCCACTGAGCTATATACTGTAGCTCTTTTTCAGCAGCAACATGGCCACAAATGATAGCGCAACGAAGTGGCTTATGTGGAAATTTATAGCAGGCAAATGCCCTAAATGCATGTTTCTAGTATTGGAATGAAAAACCAGAGGACCTGGAGAAAAACTCAAACGACCATGGGGAGAGAGACGCAAACTCCAAATATACAGCAGGCGTTAGGGTCTGGATCGAACCCACAACCTCCTGTTTATCAGGCGAGGTAGTTAACATCTCGCCACCACTCCACTCCTCCCCCAACCCCACTCCCACCGGAAGATGGATGATCCACGCCATGAACTACCTGCTGGTGCTGCAGGCCAAGGGCGACATGAGCCTGGACATCGGGGTGAACGTAGGAGCCGAGGCACTCCACAGGGGGCACCACAAGGAGCAGCATGGCAGGGGGCTCACGGTGCCCACCGTGGATCACAGGGGGCACGGGGCGCTCGCGGTGCCTGAAGGCCACGAGGGTCACGGGGGTCACGGGGGTCACGGCAACCGCGAACCCTACGTGCTCAGCGACCTCTCTCCGAGCGACGTGAAGTCGCTGCTGCTGCAGCTGCTGCAGCTCAAGCATCACGGCAGGTGGGGGCCCCCCACGCCATCCCTGCTACACCACAGTCACCCCACACTCACCCCACACCCCCACTAGGGGAGGCCCACGGCCCGCTGAGCTATCGATCGCCACTGATGTGAGCCCTGGCCGACAATCTAACTCAGGTCTCTGGGTTTGTAGTGCGGTGGAGTAACACGATGCCACCAAATATGATACCATCCTCAGCCATGGTCAGTCCACTGCTGGATGAGGGCTTCCCCAAACCGCCGCCACCTCTCATGATCCTGCGATGTAATAATGCACCAAGCACCTGCACACAAACTGATTTCATTGCTCCATCTCTTCGTTAGACACCCTCTCAGATAAATTCAATTCCTTGGCTGACACATTATTCTGGAAAATCGTCCCTTCTAGCGACACGTCCTGCCCAAGCCCAACTGAATTCTTTTGAGTTTGGATGATGTCATTAACCTGCGTATGTTTTTTAATCCATGTGTTCATATAATATACTGTTCCGACTTTTTTTCCCCCTCAAATTGCATTCGAGTTGTGTTTCTGACATGATGAGATTAAACGAATACAATTTCCACCATACCATAAATGTCCCAGGAAGTAATTTATTCGATCAAATAAAAAATCTAAATCTAAAAATCTACTTTTTTTTTTTAAAAACAAAACTTTTATCAACTCTTTGGGGGTCAAAGAGACATAATTGTGAAAATTCCCACCATCGACAGCGATAATATCTGGCGTGTTGTTTGACCCTGGCCAGAAAGGTCACCAAGGTGGAGACCGTGAGATCGTTGATCGATGTTCGGGCGCGGGGTTGATGATGGCATCATTCATCCATAATCGAGGGCTTTTTTGCATTATATCGCGTAAATATGAATGTGTCATTAAACCTGCCACCAACCGACACAGCCAATTAGTAAGGTTTGTCACCTAAACAAAACGTGCCAATTAGTTAGTATTTCAGGGCACCGGTGTGTTGGAGACTAAACCCACAACATTTACAATTCGAGTAAGACGTTTCGCCGATAATTACAACCAGCCTCATCAGGTGACAACCAGAATTGTGGATAAATACTCCTGTTTCGGTCATAATGTTGGTCGCTAAAGCCTACATGTTAAACTGACATCAATCATGACTTCTCACTTGACTTAGAGTGAGCCACATGAAGGCTTCTGCCACCTTACACTCCGTGAGGTAACCAAAATAACAATGGAGCAATAAACTCTATTTTGATTTTGATGGGTTTATAAACAAAAACAATTTGAATTATAAAAAAATTATTACATTTTTTGGGGGTTAAGATTTTATTGAAAACTTAACGTCTGCATTTTTGGCCAATCTTAGTAATGCCTCGAAAGATAGTGTGACATCACAAGACTTTTAATAAAGCCACTTCAGTCAGCCTCTTTATAAAGTAAACTGGGGGCACACCTTCTACATGCCCTATCGTAAGGTTCTTATAATTATCAGAGTTCTCTTAGAGTTGTAATTTATCCAAATTGACAAACCACATTTCACTATTTTTCGGCAGAGTTCAGGACTATCAACTTCACTTAAATTTGACAGTACGGTTTAATCATGAGTGGCTTAGACCTGGATTCGAACCCACAGTCTAAGCAGTCGCAGCTCCACAGCTCAGTGCTCTGACCTCAAAGCAGCCAGCCTGTCACCTCAATATGAGATTAATACTAAGTTCAGGTGGCTGGCCAGGCAGCTCAGAGGTTACTAAGCTGGCCGCCTCACGGAATCCTGGTTTAGAATCCCGGCAGCCGCCCGTGATTAATTTGGGTTCTCAAGTGTAGCAAGTTGATGGTCTCAGCCTGGTCACCGGTATCTGCCTAAAAAAACTCATCGTATTACATTTGATTTGGAAATTGCCTAAACTCCAGCTGTTAGAATTAAATGTATGCCTCTGTGGCAGGGCGTGTGGTTTAGAGGGCGCACGGTGTGATCTCTAAAGTAGTTCTGTGATATCCTCTTCCACGGGCCATTCTCTAACACGGGGAGCATTGCTCTGTGACAAATCCGAATGACGTGACCCCGGTGGCATAATTGAGATGAATCCGAGGAAGGAGACATAGGAGTGTATTTATTTTGTCGTCGTGACGTTGTTACCCACGCTCGTGACGGCCGCGGACGCAGCTCTGGGTGGCTGCACCGCCGCTACCTCGACGGCTCCCTCAACCGGACACCGCCGGGGTTCTACGACCGCGTGTGGCAGATCCTGGAGCGGACGCCGCATGGGATTGTGGTGGCCGGAACGCTCCTCCCGCAGGTGGGGCGGGGGGGGGGGGGCACGTGACCCACAGACAGCACCGTCAATTGCCATCACGGTCGTCATTGTTACGCCTCTGATAATGATGCCTCGCTGAGCCTCAAGATTCTTCTGCAGGAGGGTCCTGCCCAGTTTTTTTTTCACAGCAGGGGATGATGTTGCTATGTGTAATCCCAATTAAGTATATTTCAGGTAATTTTTTAACCATTACGATATTTTTCGGGCAATACCAGTTGCATTGTAAGGTCTGTCTTTTTTTATTAATCTACTAGCTTTCCTAGCCGGCTTCGCCCGGGACTTGGATTCACCACGCCCGGCCGCCTTTATCTCCCCAGTGGTGATGCTCACACACCACACCAGTTACTCGTTTGAGGCTGAGTCGACCTAAGGGAGGCCCAGGACCAGTTAAAATAATCGTCACCGGTGGTGGCCGTGAGCGGGAATCGAACTCGGGTCGCCGGGTTCGTAGCACGGCGCGCTAACCACTACACTACAATGCGTTAGGCTTCCATATGCACGGGTCACGTGACAGATTTGACATCACAGCTCACTTGCCGTGCAACAAAAATGCATTATTGAGCTCCCCCCCCCCCAAAAAAACACACAAAAGTGTATTTTTATAATTTTTGTATGGTGTACAGTCTGGAAAGTACCCACATGGCAAATTTCAAGTTTGTTGCATGTCGGGAAGTACGCTAAACATTTTGAACAGACACACATATTCACAACTTTGCCTTTTATATATATGGAGATGGGAGGAAACCAGAGAAACCTTAGAAAATGAATGCAGAACAGAGGGAGAACATACAAACTCCAGACTGAAAAGTTCCCGGAATCAGGAATCAAACCCAGGTGCTTGTTGCTGTGAGGCACAAGTGTTACCACTCTGCCACCCTGCCATCTTATAACAGCAATATCGATGCCCTCTCTTGACCCAGGTGGTTCAGGTTCGAGCGAGTAGCTCCCAATCGAAAGTTTGCGAGTTCAAATCCTGGTTGGGGGTTGACTCATCCCATCATCCCTCTGGGGTGGATAAACCAAGTACCACTTTGTGGGGAAGTTAACAGTGGTTGTTTTATAAATATAATTGTTTTAAAAATGGACTTTACACCACTGCTTCAATTCCAATTTTAGTAGGAGGAAATCGTTTGGAGGGTTTACCCACGGAAACCTTGCTGAGTCTCCCGGCTCTCTGTCGCGACGGTCCTGCTTGTGACGTGATTATGTCCACGGAGAAAACTCACTGTGCACGTTGTGAGAAGATAGCATTCGATGGCCTGCACAGATGGATTCAAGAATTCACTTTCTCTCCTGCCATATCCTTGCTGCCTCGCAGCCCAGAGGGTGAAGCAGACGGTAGATATCCACGTGTCTCGTCAACCACAAGGCCTCCCTGGGAGTGCATCGTGTCAGCAACATTGATTCAAGACAACCATAACTCTGGACCGGTTTCGAAACACAGCGTCTCGTCAGAAATCTTTCCTGCCTCCAAAGTGCTGTGATGTTGGCGGCGATAGTAGTAGTGGTGGCGGTGGTAAAGTTGTAGTAATAGTTCCTGACGGTGGTTTGTGTAAGTATGGTGGTGGTGGGATGGGTGTTAAAGTTAAGAAGGGAACAAGTTGATTGGACAATGCACGTTGTCAACAGCAACGAAAATGGTCACCATGACGACGCCGCTCTCGCTCCACAGCAACCCACCCTCTCGGATATGACCATGTACGAGATGAACTTCTCCCTGCTCGTGGAGGAAATCCTGCAGGGAATTGACCACCCAGCCTATCGGCAGCTGGTGGTGGAGGTCAGTGCTCACCCCCCCCCCCTCCCATTAATATTCTTGCCCGAACGCCACATGCCGCACCCCTCCCCTCGGTTGTTTTGCGTGAGTGTAAACTGTGCGTGAGAATGTGTGAAAATGTGAGTGAGAATGAGCTGTGTGTGTGTGTGTGTGAGCTGCGTGTGAGTGTGTATGAGTGAGCCGTGTAAGTGAGCCGAATGCGGCAAGACGTTTTTCTAGCGCTCGGCCTACAAGTATATATATTTTTTATTTTCCGCTTGTGAGTTAATCTGTGTTTACCCCGGATATTTTAGAAATGGCAATTCTCCTGCTGTGTATCCTACTGCTATCCCTCCCAGCCATATCTAGTGCCACACTCAACTCTACAAACAGCTACCCTCGTTACTTTGCATCCATACTTGTTGCTCGATTTGCCACTACACCTGCTAATGAAACAGCTCATAGACACTTCTACACTCCATCATTGTATCCTTTTAAACCCTATCTTTGTCCCTTTACTTCACCAGCACTCCTTCCAAACTTCATTCTGCTCTTAAAAATAACACCATCTGCGAGCTACTGCTATTCGTCCAAAGTTCGCCGCTCTTCATCCTTTCACAGAAAATACTTGTGCAAACTATCAATCAAATTCAAGGACAGTGCATATTATTATCAGAGTTGTCTTTTTTGTTTGCATTTTGACTGCTTGTGTTGTGGTCATTGCAAACATGATGCCTTGAATAAAGGTGTCAGTTTTTGTGCCAGTTAAAAGGGTAAAACCTATTCCTATATCTTGTTTCTGGCAAAGGAGGTCTCATAATGTTAATGCTCACCCCGAGCCCTCAATACTCTGATAGTGCGCTGTTTTTGAGTTGTACGCCTTTTGGCGTCTTCTGGTCCAACACCAATGGAGACTAGGCTCTAAGAAAAGCTGTCTCGGGTGTGGACCAATCGAATTCAAGGACAGTGCATATTATTATCAGAGTTGTCTTTTTTGTTTGCATTTTGACTGCTTGTGTTGTGGTCATTGCAAACATGATGCCTTGAATAAAGGTGTCAGTTTTTGTGCCAGTTAAAAGGGTAAAACCTATTCCTATATTAATTCTACTTTTCTTTTTTCTGGGTGGTTTTGAGCTTCATCCTGGCCCAAATGTAAAGAACTCGTATTATTCTGTAGATTTTTCTGGCAGAAAAGGTGTTGGTGTTCTACATGTCAACATCAGAGGGCTTGTGATTAAATTAAGTCAACTAAAACTAGAAGTGGTAAATCTTGACCCAGACATTTTTTGCCGAACAGAAACATTTCTCACTCCTGCCGTCAATGACTTGCAGATTACGATTGACGACAACCTTTTTCGGCTTGACCGAGGATCTAAATAAGGTGGAATTGCCATCTATGTTCGTAATACTATTGCATGTTCACCAGCTCACTCCTTGTTTAAAAAATGTTGCTATGAAGGTTTTGCTCTCAGAATAACTCTCCCAAATTATCAACAGATATTGGTAGTGTGCTGCTATAGACCGCCTAGTGGGAAGGATGTTGAAGCTGCATCTGCACTGAGAGATCTTTTTGGGGGCCTTCCTAAAGGTGAAATAGTTTTAGTGGGTGATCTAAATTGGAATTGGCTAAACCCGCTGGCCGTGGCCACAAATTTTACAGATAAATTTAACCTGTTTCAATTAATAAATGTCCACACAAGACCCAACCTAAAAATCTGGGACAGTCAACTCTGCTTGACGTCCTATTGACAAATGCCCCTCACAATTTCGCACTGACTGGTGTTCTGGGTAATAACCTTAGTGATCACTCCTTCATTTTTGGGGTGAGATCATCAGCCAGACCCAAAGCCCCCCCTAAAATTGTTGAGAAGCACTCTTTGAGGCACTTCAGCACTCAGGCATTTACTAATGATGTGCTTCACTCGGATATTGGCAAGGTCTGTGATTTTGATTTAAAGCTTTCGTGACTGCAGTAATTCATATTCTTAGCTCTTTCGGTAAAGTCACGTTGAAGGGAAACAATAAAATAATATATATAAAACAATAAAAATTCTCACGACGTTTTGACCGTTCGTGTTATGGTCGAAACGTCGTAATAATTTTTATTGTTTTATATATTTTATTATTTTATTGTTTCCCTTCAACGTGACTTTACCGAAAGAGCTAAGAATAAGGTCTGTGATATCCCCAACCTGACTACAGCTTGGGAGACTTTCAGGTACACGTTTCTACAAATTCTTAACAAACATGCTCCGTTGGTTAGATTTAAAATTAAAGGCAACCGCCCACCATGGTATGATCCTTTGATTACAAAGCTCATGAAAACTAGGGACAAGGCTTGGGCATGTGCTCAGAAAAGTAATTTGGTAAATGACTGGCTAGAATACAGGATTTTAAGGAATAGATGAGTCAAAAAAATACAGCATGCAAAAAATGTCTACTTTTCCTCCACTCTCCTGGAATCACATGGAAATGCCAGGAATTTTTGGAATACAATAAAATGTATCGAAAAAGCATCCAAAATAGACAATCTGCCCGTTGAGCTTAACCGAAATGGGGAATATTTTTCAGATCACCAAAAAATAGTTGACAATTTTAACCTTCATTTTTCCAAAGCTGGTAATCTTTTTGATAATGTATTGGGAGTCACCCCTGCTCATGCACATTCCTACACCCCTGTCCAAACATTAAACGAATTTAGTTTCCAGCCAATCCACGAAAGTAATGTTCTGAAACAACTGTCCTACCTCAAAGGGTCCTCCTCTACCGGAGCAGATAGTTTTCCTGTCTTTGCTCTACTAATTGTTGGTCACCTAATATACAAACCTTTAGCCAATATTTTCAACCTGTCCATGAAAGAAGCATCAGTTCCTTTAGAATGGAAACATTCCTATGTCCATCCACTTCACAAAGGGGGCCCTAAAGATGATCCCAATAACTACCGACCTATCTCAATTTTGTCCCCATTGATGAAAATTTTTGAAAAATGATTGAACTACCAAATTAGCAGTTTCCTGTCCACCAACAATCTACTACATCTAAAACAATCTGGGTTCCGAAAAAAATATAGCACCACATCTGCTGCATTAGACTCTCTGAATCAAATTTACAGTAGCCTTGATAATAAGCAGTACTGTGCCTGTCTTTCTTGACCTGTCCAAAGCTTTTGATACAGTAGACCACAACACCCTGCTTAGTAAACTAAGTTGCCTCGGTTTTTCTGAAAAACAGTAAAATGGTTAAAAAATTACCTCTTTTCTCGCACCCAAACTGTATTCACAGATGGTTGGAGGTCAAACAGTGTTAAGATAACAAAAGGGGTTCCACAGGGTTTTATCCTCGGCCCCCTCTTGTTCTCTCTTTCTGTCAATGACTTGGGCACTGACCTGGATCATAGCAGGGTAAATCTTTTTGCAGATGACACGATACTGATTACTGCTGGCCGCTCTCCAGATGACGTGATTGCTAAGCTCAAGGGTGATTTCAACAAACTACAACAGTTAGTTGCTCTTAAACTAGTCCTTAATACCTCCAAAACCAACGTGCTATGCTTCTCACCGGGACTAAAGCAGGAAGTTATTTTTCCCCAATTACATTCCTTAAATAATTATCAAATAGAGCAAATCAAGATCTATAAGTATCTTGGGGTCATCCTGGATTCAAAACTGAATTTTGAAGATCACATTGATTATATTGGTAAAAAGACAAAAATAAAAATTGGTTTTCTGTATCGACACAAGCACTGCTTCCCCCCTATTTTCCGTTTGGAATTGATAAAGCTACCATACTGGCTCTACTTGATTACTGTGATATCGTGTATAAATCAGCCCCAAGTAATGTACTGAAGAAGCTTGATTCCATCTATCACTCGGCCTTAAGATTTGCCCATATAGGACTCACCACTGTGATCTCTACATTGGGTCAAACTTAACATCTCTTAATGTTCGACAGCTTGTGCACCAGATCTTATTTATTCACGATGTACTTACAAAAAAATCTACATACTACCTGCTGGATCTCCTCTCTGTTTCAAAGAACAAATTTGACCTCAGGTCTTCGCTCATTTACCAGCTTCACATTCCCTATTGCCATACAAAAACCGGAGGAAGGGCCTTTGCTATTGATGCCTCCAGGGTCTGGAATGCTATTGCCAATAAACTGCAACTTGAATCACTACCTATGAGATCTTCACTCAAAACTGCTCTCGAGGAGTTGTACACCCCTAGCTGCCACTGCTATTCAGTGGCCTAAAATAAAATAAAATGTTTCGCTCCGGATGACCGCTGCAAAGTATTAACTGTATTTTGATTTAGTGTGCTGATCTTAAAGGTGCATTGAAAAATGTGATACTCCGACTGATGCTCCTGTTGTTGTGGAGGGACTCATGCAGCCAGCTATGGTTCTAGGGTTTGGTGTTACATGTTATTTATGTAGTTTATTGTTAAAAATTCGGTCACAGTCCCTATGATCACTGTTACATTGCATTTATGGCTTTAATTTTGGTGATTCGAAAACGTTTTTTGGTTTGGCCATGTTTTTATTTATTGTAGTACGGAGTTAGACTGATGGTCTTAATCTTAGTTGTCTTGTTGTTGTTGTTGTTTGACTTGCATCCCACTGGGATTTTTGAACACAGCGTTGGTGTATGGTGCTATTTCAGGAATATTTTGATGTTTTTTCCTGGATTTTCTGTTTGCACAGTCACATAGTCACTTTAAGATGTTTCCTTGTTCATGTTTTTGTTTTTTGTTTGTTGCGGTTGCACCCGATTCAAGAGCCGAATGTCTCACAGGGCTATACCAAATAAATGGAACTATAAATGGAAATGGAACTAAAAAAGCCAAAGATTGCCCTATATTCTTGGTTCTTTCGGTAAAGTCACGTAGAAGGGAAATATTTCCCTTTTACGTGACTTTACTGAAAGAACCAAGAATATGAATCCCTGCAGTCACGAAAGCTTTAAATTAAAATTAAAAATTGCCCGTATAGTCTTTAACAGACTATTGTGGCAAGTGCTGTTAGTGAGCACCTATGAAGGCCGGCACGGCACACGAGGAGGTGGGTGTATAGCACCACACCTGGCTACCTTTGTCATCCCAGTGCTGATGTTGTACACACCACACCAGATACTCATTTTAAGGTTGAGTCGACCTCGTGGAGTCCCAGAACCGGTACAGATATTCTCCACTGCTAGATGGCCATGAGTTGGAATTGAACTCAACCCTCCCGAGTTCATAGTGCAGTGCACTAACCACGACACGACTGCTGCTCCCGTACACCCAGCTACAGTACTTTCCTTCTGCGCACTCAAGTATGTATGTATGTTGAACTTCTTTCACACCGTACGTACCCAACCGTGTTAATCAAAGGTGCAGAAAGGACAAGAAACTAAACACAAAATGCAGTTCTAAAGAAATGAGTTTTCAATCTGGATTTAAAAGTGCATAGCTCCAGTGTCTTCCTAATATCGGAAGGAAAAGCATTCCAGACAGCCACAGAACACCCCTGCATTTCATGACCAACTGCGTCCCAACATCATTTGGCTGGGTGCTTCATACGATTCCGTGGCTGCGGGTTCAAATCCTGGTTGGGAATCAGCTATGCCCATCATCCCTCTTGGGTCAATACATTTGGTACCACTTTTTGGAAAACCTACAGCATTTGTCTCACGTTGAGTCCAGCCAACGCCATGTGAATGTGGAATTTCTACACCGACAGAGATGAGCAGAGAGACCTTTCTCTTTTGCCTCCGGTTATGATCGCCTCCTCTGCTCTGTGAAATAAAGAATCCCACTTGTTTTGTACTGGATTATAACCCTTTCCCGTTCCAATGACGTACACGTACATCATCAAGTTGAAAAACTGAAATAAGTTAACTTTATCGGTACCAAGGCTCCCGTAAGGCTATGTCGGAGGGCGTGTGGCACAGTTTGGCGCCTGCCATCATCGAGTGTGGTAGTGTCGCTACAGTTCTCTACGGTGAGTATAATGTCTTAAAAAATAGCGGGGAAATGCCTCTCTAAATAAAATGTACGCTGCTTGCGCATTCCGAGATTCAGCAGTGAACGGGACCCACCCTGCGACTTGCATATGTCGAGAAAAGGGAAAGTGTTAATATACATTGCCATTTAGATAACATAAAATTGTAATTGTAATTTTTTTTAAATACGGGTTTTTTTCCCAAATGATTCAAATGATTCATTTGGGAAAAAAAACTGCTCATGATATCCGGTGTCACGTCATAAGATGAAGACCTTCCCATGATACGTTGTGAAAGATTTTCGTGGTGAATGCGTCGACTTTACTGTGATCCTTGCGTGGGACTTTGATGCCAAAGCTGCCACACAGCTGTGAGACGTTCCATAAATATAAACAACTACGACACAAATGCAATGCTTTTATCATGGAGAGGCTATGGCCTCTTCATGTGCTGTAAAGAAGGGCCTTTACCCAAAATGTCGCCGCATATATTTTTCATTTTAAGGCAACGGTGTTATTGACAAACATGTCGAGTTGTTTGTGCTTGCAAACCACCGCCAAACACGGTTTCACTAATTTGTAAGCAATCTCACAGATGATGATGACGATGATAACGACGATGATTGTGATGACGATATGCCCTCTGCCCTACCTCCCGTCCCTGTGTCCAGCTGTTGATGGTGGTGTCTATAGTGCTGGAAAGAAACCCGGAGGTGGAGTTTCAGGAGAAGGTGGACCTGGATTTGCTGCTGAAGAAGGCAGTGAACGACTTCCAGCACGAGCGCACGAAAGTGGGACACGCGCATGAGGTGACGGCTCGGCCTCCTTCATTCTGTTCGTGTGTTTGGTTAAAACGTGCTTCCGCGTCGATCGTCCGCGTGGACCGCCCGTCCACGTCGACCGCCCGCCCGCGTCGTTCGTGCGTTCAGTATTCGCGTCGTTCTCAGAGCGCGAGCGAGGCTATCGCGAAGACGCCGTGCTTCACACAGTCCACGGTGGTTACAGAGTAGTGCGGGGGCAGGGGGGGGTGATGTTGCGATGTGTAATCCCAATTGAGTAATTTGCAGCTACATTTTTTTAAAAAAGGCAAATTTGGATCCGTGATGCCGAAACATAAATTACTTTTTCGAATTACATAATGGGATCTTTATCGTTCACTGTGAACTAGACGGCGAGTAGTATTTTACTGCTGATATATCCACAGTAATAACCAGGACGGCTTACCGGATTCGAGCCGCGAACCTTGGAAACAAGTAAAACTATACTGATCCATTTTTTTTTATTAACCAGGTAAGACCCACTGAGCTATACAGCTCTTTTTCAGAAGTGACCTGGCCACAAATTGATAGCTCAACAAAGTGGCTCATTATCTGGGAATTTACAACCACCAAATACTCTTAAACGCATGTTTTAAAGTATGGAGAGAGAAAAAAACTGGAGGACTCGGAGAGAAATCCACGTGACCACGTGGAGAGCATGCAAACTCCAATTATACAGGCGTCAGGGTCGGGATCGAACCCACAACCTCTTGCATACCAGGCGAGGTAGTTAACATCTCGCTAACCGTGGCTTTGAACCACGCTACCGTTGGGCCGGACCGTGGCAATATTCGGAAATTGAGTCCTAGCTGTGTTGCGATCAGAGCCGTCTCTTGGGGTGAAGAATCGTCGTTGGGTAAACTCCTTCGGGCGACACCTTCAGCTGTGACGCGGCCGAGTACCCACGGGTGTCTGAGACGCTGAGCCGCACAGCGCAACGTAGCCTGGCACTTTAACGCCACCGCTGTGGTGACGTAACCATCGCTTAGTGGCGAATGGCAGCTGTTGTTGAACATGTGTTTATGTGTACATGTAGGTGTCTATGTTTAATCTTCACGTGGCTTCATGGTGCACCTAACCTGGCACAAGCGCCGTGGTCACGTCACCACCACTTAGTGGCGAACGGCGGTTGTACGGTAGTGTATATATACAGCGTACGTATGTTTTTTCTAGGCCTATGATGTGGGCGTATATTCGGTGCTCGCTCACAGCACTTTCCCCAACAGTCTGTTTAGGATCGTTGTGTGTTGTGTGTATGTGTGTGTGCGTAGGATGCCTTGACAGCGTTCTACCAAACGCCACCGGTGGGGAAGTGTGGAACGGCGGTCTACCTTGCACGAGCCGTGGTCAAAATGCTCCTGTTCGGAGCAATCAAGCCTGTGTCCGAAGACCCATGCATCATCAGCTGATGAGGCAGCGCTGTGTCCCATCGGCCCCACCTTGTAGGGGTGGAGGCGATAGGTTTTGGAACAGTGGCGAGGTGATGTCTTATGAGCAAAGCTACCGAACTTCTGGGAGGCTCAACCAACGCAAATGTTGACCTGGTGGGGCCCCTCCCTCTGTCAATCACTAGCCCCGCCTATTGCACGTAGCCCTCGCCCACTCCTCTGCACAACCATGCCCACTGCTCAGGTAGCACCACTATTTTTCCCTCTTATCATGAGTCGATTGTGAGGCAATAGAATATTAGACCGGGGATGAAATCCCAATTTTTTTGCAAATGCTTCGGGGGACACCAGGATGACAGACTTTGTGAAATGGGGACTCTCTCGGCCGTCCCAGGATGCTCTGGTAGCTTTGCGTATAAGTGTAGGCGGTGTTGGAGGCTGTAGGTGTGTGTTTGTGCAGTTGCAGGTTTTTATCGAGGTGAAAGAGCGAAACCGTTAAGTAAAAATTATTTAGTTTTTAGCCCAGTTCTGGTGTTATTAGGGTCGTGGAAAATTGTCCTTCCAGAATGCCTACAGTCAGCAGTGCCTCGTGTCATCCCTTCATGGAATGGGCTCCTTGAAGATAACGTCACAGCACATGAAACCCCATCTCGCTCAATTTGTTTTCTGCACATATATTCGGCAAACTTCCAGCTCAAATAATAATAATAATAAGTATATGTTTGGCTGCCATGCAACAACCGTAACTCTCAGTGACGGAGCAGGTGTGAACCAGAGGTCTCTTGAAGGGAGAGTTATAAATCGATAGTTAGCCATCCCCGCTTCCATCTAAACTCTTTCATGAATATGGCACGTTCCAAATATTGCATTGATTCATTGATGACATGACACCTATAGCAACATGTCGGTAAACTTTATCTCGACAACAAATTGGGATGCGCCGCCATCCTTTAATGTAACAAGAGAGACGTTTAAACCGCAGTGAGGGGATCGGAGTCATCGACAGTCTGATATTTTCCGACTATTGTTTGGCAATTGCAAAGCATTCACAAGCTGCGATGATAAGAAGCTGTCGAGTGTTTTAGTTGTCTGTGAGGCCTGTATCGTGCATGTAAACAAATCCCAGTTTTCAAAAGCACTGCAGATTTGTGCAATAGTTATTTATTTTTTTGAAATACATTAGAGTTGTATTTTTTTTGTTTTATTAATCGCCATCAATATAGAGCGATCAGAAAGGTTGTGAGTTAAAATCCTGGCTGGGGGGTTGACTCAGCCCATCATCCCTCCAGAGCAGATAAAATTAGTACCACTTTGTGGGGGATTCAACCGCGGTTACTCGCTCACCGTCACAGGAATGTGGAGTTGGAATTGTCACCACTGGCTTAGGGCTGCAAATGGGAGATGAACACTGCTGCTTCAATGCTAACTTGAGTAAAACATCACTGAAACGTATCTGACAATTACTCCCCGAGGAAATCCTCCCAGAGTCTCGGGGGGTGGGGGGGGGCTGGAGAGGTGACTCTTGGCCAGTTTCCATTTTGAGTTTTTTTTTTGCATGCAGGAGGAAACGAGAGTGTCGGGAGAAACCTATGCACACGAGGGGATAGCGCCCATCATACAAGCGGGGAAGTCGTCTAATTGCTCCACTGACCCTTTATATTAACGAACATTATATGCGTGCAATCCACCAACCCCACTGTCACGTCACCGTATCTCGTGCTTCTCTGCTGGCCTCGTCGTCTAGAACACCCTCCTCCCAGTCACGGGAGCTGGCAAAAGGAAGGAAGCCACGGCGAGGTAGCCTCAGCATCATTGGTCTTGATAACCTCTTGACCTCAACATCACATCGCTACAGAAGTACAGTAATTTCTCATGTCACTGCTCCGATAAGGGCCTTCCACTGGAGTGAACTCTTCAAGGGTATTTGGTCTACTCTTCCGCGTTGACCACACATGTTGGGGGGAGGTGAGAGCACCCACACTTTACCTCTCGACTGTGGCCTGTCCATGTGTCCTCCTGGGTGGGATTTGGCAGGGGAATTAGGAAACCTTGCCCCATACTCTTTGGTTCTATTCGGTAAAGTCACGTAGGTAAAAAATAAAAACAACAAAAATCACGACGTTTCGGCCACAACACAAGTGGCCTTCATCAGGTGAAGAGACAAGACTGTCTAGAGGACAGCGCTAGTTCACCCCAGCGCTGTCCTCCAGACAGTCTGGTCCCTTCACCTGATGAAGGCTACTTGTGTTGTGGCCGAAACGTCGTGATTTTTGTTTTATTTTTTACCTACGTGACTTTACCGAATAGAACCAAAGAGTATGGATCCTTGCAGTCACGAAAGCTTTAAATCTAGAACCTTGCCCCACTTGAGTTGCTTTGCTAAGTTTGTTGAGCCAGCTGGCCAGGATTGGGCAGAACTTAGTCCACCACTTTTCACCCAGACAACTGGACAGCAGCACGAACTAAGTGTTTCTAACCTAACATTAAAACTAACAACATGTTCAAGAATCACAGTTAAGAGACAAACAACGTATATATATACTATTAAAAAGAAGAATTAAAATTAAACAAATTTAAAATCGCATCCATCGTTTCAACTGGCAGCATCAGGAGATGGGGAATAGAACCTCCAAACTCTTCATTTCTGGTTTGCAGGGCTCAGCATTACACCACGGCAGCTCTCAACGCAGTAATGTTGGCACAATGTTACATTTCAGTTACAACAAAGTTATATGCACTGATTTTTCAAAGCATTTATTTAAAAAATGTGTTCACTTGAAGTTGCATACATAGTTTAATGTTTTGTATTGGGAAAGCATTAAGATGATCGTAACAGTGACACATGTTCTTTTAAGTGTCACTGTTTAGTTATTTCAACCTCTGAGTGCCTGAGAACCCCAGGTGCCTTGTTCTGACCCAGCAAATGTGCGTGGTTATTTAATTTTTGTCTTTGCTGACTGAAAATAAATGTCAGGCTACTGGAATGTTGAAGTTTTTCGAAGTATTTTTTTATTGTTTTAACTTTTAGGTTCGTATTGAAGTCACAACAATATAAACATGTTGCACGTTCGAAATGAAGAGGCCCCGGATCGATAATGGCAAAATTGAATAGGGCAGTCCCCGACTTCACGAACTGGTTCCGTTCCAGAGGCCCGTTCGTAAGCGCGGAAGTTCGCGACTCGGAAATTCGTAAGTCGGGGACTGCCTGTATCTTTACCTTTTTGTAAAAGGTCAAAGTAACTCCTGCTTAAAGCTTGGGGCATTACAGATGGACTGCATCAGTGGAGCAGTGGTGGAAATTCCACATTCGTGTAGCGAGGGCCCAGTTCACACCCAGTCGGGACGAATTATTGTTGCAGGGCGTCAGACTCACTGCTTCCAGCATTCCTGGGTGTGTCTGGGTGTGGTGTATGACTCAGGTGTGGTGGGCTGCATTTCATTTTTAATGCTGTACTACAAATAATTTGTTTGATTTTGGATATCCGAGAAAGCCCCAATAAGTCTCAATGCCCTGTAAATCACCGAAGTTTTGTGTAAAACATTTAAAGTATCACAATCGGTCCCGTTGGAGGAGCGGTGACGCAATGATTGATTCCCGACCACAGCTATCATCAGTGGCTTCGTGATCTCTAAACAAGTTCAGGGCCTCCCCGAGGTCAACTTAGCCTTGAATGAGCAGCTGATATAGTCTGTAAACATCAGCACTGGGGAGACAAAGGCGGCCAGGCGTGGCACTGCCGCAAGCACTCCCTCGTGCGCTGTGGCAGCCTTAATAGGTGCTCGCTAACAGCACTGTGCCACACAACACATTTAAAATACTGTCGTTACATGGGGTGTCTTTGTCTTTCTGTGTTTATATGTACTGTATATATGTAGTTTATTAAACTATGTTTATGAAACCAGTATGGTGAGGTATGGCCAAACAACGCCCAGCGTGGATAGGCCTTCATCTGACAGTTGGTTGACAGGGCTAAAAGTTATATATATTTTTTTTGTCATACTACTTAATTAGTTGTATAAATGTAATACAGTATTGTGATTTTAAAAGTGAAGATTATAATGCTCATGATGGATGGGAGGTCACAGGACAGACCCAGACATTGTGGGTGGAGAGTGCTGAATGTCATCTTCACAGATCAGAATCTCTATTTAAAGTGCAGGAATCTGATGAGCTATGAGATCAGAACAGATCAGAAAGGGGTTTTATTCGCCATGAAAGTTCGCACAGACAAGGAATTTACTTTGGCAGGAAGGTGCATACATTCAAGTCGCACAGTGTGATGGGGGTGAGTGGGGCTGTATTCTTCCTGAAGTCCACAACCATCTCAACTGTCTTTAGAGCATTTAGCTCTAAGTTGTTCTGGCTACACCAGGTCACCAGGTTGTCAGCTTCCCACCTATAGTCAGACTCATCCCCACCAGAGATCAGCCCAATGAGGGTGGTGTCATCCGCAAACTTCAAGAGTTTGACGGACAGATGATTGGAGGTGCAGCTGTTGGTGTACAGGGAGAAGAGCAGTGGGGAAAGGACGCAGCCCTGAGGAGTTCCGGTGCTGATGGACCTGGAGTCAGAGACTTGTGTTCCCAGCTTAACGCACTGCTTCCTGTCAGACAGGAAGTCTGTGATTCACCTGCAGGTGGAGTCGGGCACGTTCAGCTGGAAGAGCTTGTCTTGAAGCAGGGCAGAGATGATGGTGTTGAAGGCAGAGCTGAAGTCTACAAACAGGATCCTGGCGTAGGATGCTGGCGAGTCCAGATGCTGTAGGGTGAAGTGGAGGGCCATGTTAACTGCGTCATCCACAGACCTGTTGGCTCTGTAGGCAAACTGAAGGGGGTTTAGGAGAGGGTCTGTGATGGCTTTGAGGTGTGCCAGAACCAGGCGCTCAAAAGACTTAATTACCACAGAGGTAAGGGCGACCGGTCTATAATAATTTAGTCCTGTTGGCCTTAGCTTTTTGGGCACAGGGATGATAGTGGAGGACTTGAGACAGACTGGTACATGACATGTCTCCAGGGAGGTGTTAAAGATGTTGGTGAACACCGGAGACAGCTGGTCAGCGCAGTGCCTGAGGGTGGCTGGAGAGACAGAGTCTGGCCCAGCTGCTTTGCGTGGGTTCTGCCTCTTGAAAAGTCTATGAACTTCTCCCTCCTTAACGGAGAGAGTCATCTCTGTAGTATGGGTGGGGGATGGGGCCTCTTGGGTGGGAAGGGGTAGTTCAGGACAGTCCAATTGTCTTTCAAATCTGCAGTAGAACTCGTTCAGGTCGTTGGCCAGGCGGAAGTCGTTAGTAGTGTGGGGAGCTCTGGGCTTGTAGTTGGTGATCTGCCTGAGCCCTCTCCAGACAGAAGCAGAGTCATTAGCAGAGAACTGGTGTTTTAGTCTCTCTGAGTACAGTCGTTTAGCCTCTCTCACCGCCTTGCTAAACCTGTTCTTCGACTCCTTGAATCTGTCTCTACCCCCACTCCTAAACGCCTCCTCCTTCTCCAACCTCAACCTTCTGAGCTTTGCTGAGAACCAGGGCTTGTTGTTGTTGAAGTTCACCCTGGTACGTGTTGGAATACAGCAGTCCTCACAGAAGCTGATGTACGACGTCACAGCCTCTGTGAGTTCATCCAGACTATTGGTAGCAGTCGTGAACATATCCCAGTCAGTACAGTCCAAGCACGCCCGCAAATCCTCCACAGCCTCACTGGTCCACTGTTTAGATGTCCTCACAGCAGGTTTACAGAGCTTTAGTTTCTACCTGTATGCAGGAATCAGGTGGACCATGGCATGGTCTGAGTGTCCCAGTGCTGCTCGGGGGACAGCGTGGTAGGCTCTACTGACTGTAGTGTAGCAGTGATCCAGAGTGTTCCATTCTCTGGTAGGGCATTTAATGAATTGTATGTATTTGGGGAGTTCGTGGCTGAGATTACCTTTGTTAAAGTCACCAAGTACGATAACCAGCGAATCTGGATTTGCTCGCTCCACACTCAGAATTTGGTCGGCTAGCATGCATTGGGCCTCTTTAACCTGAGGACCCAGCGGCAAGTAAACTCCGACCAAAATCAGCGACGCGAATTCGCAAGACGAGTAGAAAGGTTTACAGTTTATAAAAAATGATTCAAGGAGCGGAGAACAATGTTGCAGAATCACTGTGACATCTACACACCAGCCACTGTTGATGTAAGAACAAATACCACCGCCTTTCGTCTTGCCGGAGAGTGCTATGTCACGATCCGATTGTACAAGATGGAATGCTACCAGTTGTAGCGCAGTGTCCGGAATCAAATCACACAGCCATGTCTCCGTGAAGCACAAAACAGAAGATGAAAGAAAGTCTCTGTTTTTCACTATCAGTAGCTGAAGTTCGTACATTTTGTTGCACAGTGAACGTACGTTGGAGAGGAAAAAGCTCGGAAGCACTGTTTGGATCCCGCGTCTGCGTAGCCGTACGAGAGCCCCCGACCGGTTACCCCTTGGGCGGCGTTTCGCTGCTTGAGCAAAGCCGAGCGTGGTTTTGACTAGAATGCCCACTAATTCTGCCGCTGGAAGCAGAAAAGTGGGAAATAAATCCACAGGAGTTGTTTCCCTGATGTTTAAAAGTTCGTCTCTTGTTAGGGAACTCCGAAAATCTTGGCAAAACACTGAACAGACAAAACAAGACAAAACAGGGCGCACCGACCGGCTGAGGCTACCATCATCGGCGCCATCTTCTCACCAGCACGGGTGTGCTGAACAACAGGCCTCTCTCACCAGCACTGGTGTGATGAACAGTAGGCCCCTCTCACCAGCACGGGTGTGATGAACAGTAGGCCTCACTCACCTGCACGGGTGTGCTGAACAGCAGGCCTCTCTCACCAGCACGGATGTGCTGAACAGCAGGCCTCTCTCACCAGCACGTTTGTGCTGAACAGCAGGCCCCTCTCACCAGCACGGGTGTGCTGAACAGCAGGCCTCTCTCACCAGCACGTGTGTGCTGAACAGCAGGCCTCTCTCACCAGCACGTTTGTGCTGAACAGCAGGCCCCTCTCACCAGCACGGGTGTGCTGAACAGCAGGCCCCTCTCACCAGCACAGGTGTGCTGAACAGCAGGCCCCTCTCACCAACACGTTTGTGCTGAACAGCAGGCCCCTCTCACCAGCACAGGTGTGCTGAACAGCAGGCCCCTCTCACCAGCACGGGTGTGCTGAACAGGAGGCCCCTCTCACCAGCACGGGTGTGCTGAACAGCAGGCCCCTCTCACCAGCACGGGTGTGCTGAACAGTAGGCCTCTCTCACCAGCACGGGTGTGCTGAACAGCAGGCCCCTCTCACCAGCACAGGTGTGCTGAACAGCAGGCCCCTCTCACCAGCACAGGTGTGCTGAACAGCAGGCCCCTCTCACCAACACGGGTGTGCTGAACAGCAGGCCCCTCTCACCAGAACGGGTGTGCTGAACAGCAGGCCCCTCTCACCAGCACAGGTGTACTGAACAGCAGGCCCCTCTCACCAGCACAGGTGTGCTGAACAGCAGGCCCCTCTCACCAACACGGGTGTGCTGAACAGCAGGCCCCTCTCACCAGCACGGGTGTGCTGAACAGCAGGCCCCTCTCACTAGCACAGGTGTGCTGAACAGCAGTCCCATATCAAGTAGGGGCGAGCCAGCAGGTCACTGATGTGAAGCGACTGACTCGCCACCAAACTGGCATTGCTGTGCAAGCTGCAACGACGAGTGTCATTTCGCCAACTTACCACTACCTGCGTGTCGATGCTGCCACGGTGGGGTAATGGGATGATAACGCGCTGGACTCTCCATCTCCCAGGGCGCCGGAAGTTCATTAAACATTGGCACAAATTGCATGAAGCCCAACACCGCCCCTGTCCACTCTGCAGTGCAATACATGGGTTAAAACCCCAGTTAGTCGACCGGCTGGTGGTGTGTGGCGGGGTAAAGTGTGGGTACTCCCATCTTTAACAAGACGGTGGGAGTACCCACACTTGGCGGGGTGTTGAATACCTCCCCTGGTATAAAGGAGGTCGTGGGTTCGACCCCGACGCTGACGCCTGCTGTATATTTGGAGTTTGTGTGTCTCTCTCCGGGTCCTTGGGTTGTTTTTCCTTTATATTTAGAATCAACATCACCACGCGTTTAAGAGTATTTGGCTGCTATAAATGTCCACATGATTAGCTACTTCGTTGAGCTATCATTTATTGCCAGCTCGCTTCTGAATATAAGCTGTATAGCTCAATGGGCCTTACCTGGTAAAAAAAATGTATATATAGTAATAGTTTTAAATAGTTTGGCCAGCTTGGGAGAGTTAGGCCTGGAGCGTATTTGGCTCAACAGTTTACGCCTTTCCGCCAGCAATGGCACGGCCAAACAATTTCAGGGCCGCGCCTTTACTAAAAAAAGTGTTTGATCCTGCGAATCATGAAATCACTCATTGGAGGGGCGGCTGCCACCTGGGTCGCCCCGAGGCATCTCTGAAAACCAGCAGGCTGGCCCAGACACAGACACACAAACACACCCCGTCCACTAACGGCATTCTCCCCCACAGAATATCCAACCAACGCCCACAAACCCACCCGACCTGTTTACTGACGTGCAACCATTCGCTTGCTTTGTAATCTTTCTCTCTCTCTCACTCAGTCACAGACAGGCAGACTCCAACGCCTTCGCTCGCTCTGGGAACTGCAATAGCCCTTGTATGTGATAGTTGAATTTCGCGTTCACGTTAACCGATAGGAGTGTAACACAGTCAAGTACACACGTTACAGCTCATAGGCGAGCGCGCGCGTGTTGTGTTTTCCGCTGTGGAGTTGAGAGAGGCTCTGGGAAGATCTTGTTCTTATTCCTGGGGGCGTGCTGCCACTTTGGACGTGCGCGAACATGAGTCGACTCGAGCAACCCAAGTTCTGGCTGAAAACGGACGAAGGCTTTCTCAAGACAGTGCCTGCAGTCTGCATGCTCTTAGAAATAGTAGGTGCCCACGTGCATTCACCATGCTCACAAATACCCATGTGCCTGCACGTCGAGTTCCAGCCTTTGAAAGCTCAGCGCAGTGTTGTGGATGCTGCTCTGGTTGTAATTGATAGTAGCAGGTCGCCGGGTTCGATTCGAGTCGATCGCCCCGTGCGACAGTTAAAACAAAGGTGCAAGTATTTTTTTGTTTTATTTCAAATGCAGTACCCCTGCCTCTGTTCTCCCAGTGGTATGTACGTGTGTATGTTGAACTTCTTCCGCACCGTACACAGCCAACCGCGCTAATCGGAGGTTATAAATGGGTACACACACAACCAGTCGATTGGCAGGTGGCAGGTTACGTTTGGTGGGGTACTTACACCTCTTCCAAGACGTCTGGCCAGTGTGGAAGAGGAGGCCAAATCCCACTTGAGAGGGTGACTCTCTCTAGAGCGGCCTCCAGCGACGGCTTCTTCCGCCAGCAGTGGCGCGAGGAAGAAATTGCAGGGCTTCACCTTTACCTTCACGACAGTTTTGGAAAATGCAGAGACGCACGTTAATTTGCAAATTATTTCGAGTTCGGATGGTTTCACCGAGCAAGTCACGGCCCTCCTTAACGGTGAAAATCGCTGCTGTGGAAGTGCCAGGTGGCTTCGCGCTCGGACCACGAACCCAGCCAGCCCTGTCTGAGATTGTGTTTAAAACTCGTCTGGTCCCTGCTTCTCAACTCTCCCTCTCTTATCTCACTCCACTCCGCGGTGGCCGAGATGTTAACTCCCTCGCCTGGTATGCAGGAGATTCGTGCGTTCGATCCTGACCCTGACGCCTGTATATTTGGAGCTTGCACGTCTCTCTCGCCGTGGTCGCGTGGATTTTTCTCCGGGTCCTCCAGGGTTTCCCTCCATATTTATAAACGTGCGTTTAGACTATTTGGCTGCTGTGCATTTCCACGTGAATAGCCACTTCGTTGAGCTATCATTTGTGGCCAGGCCACTTCTGAAAAAATAACTATATAGCTCAGTGGGCCTTGGCTGGTAAAATAAAAACTAAGTTTAGTTTAGTAGTCTCCGGCCACGTTCTTTCCGCTCCAGCAGCAAAGTCTCCTCCTTCCCACAAAGGCCACCCACGGTCCTCAATCTTCGTTCCATGGAAGGAGGTTGGCACCTTCTTGAATTCTATTCCCTCTTGAACTCTGTGCGGTTGAGTCTCTGCTGACCTTGCACAAGTGGAGACTGTAAGACCCCATTTATGTTCATGTGTACAGAGACGCATTTTATTATTTTCCTCCTCGTGAAGCGGCTGGAGGTGCGGTTTCATGTAGACTCGGGATCTTTATTTAGACTGGAGGAGGAATCCGATGAGCTGTGAAGCTCTTTACTCACAGATGTCCAGCCTGAGAGGGTCCGCGAGTTACAATAACACTTGGCAAGTTGCCGCAGCCCATTGTAGGTGCGATTACCGCGATTAGCACGGTTGGCTGCGTCACTTGCATTCTGTCACTTGGATTTTATTGTAACCTGGAGTTCGAATCCGGGTTCTCGAGTGTAGTGAGTTTATGCGTCTCATTCTGGCCACCAATGGCTGCACGTAAAAAAAAGCATGAAATATAGTTACGTTTAATTTGTTTTATTCCTGCTCTGAGACTTAAACATCTCAGGATATTTGCCAATGCAACGAACACTTGGCAAGACGTTAAATTGGATGTAACCACATCTCGAAAACGTCAGTACAGAGCAGTGCGAAAACCGGGTGTTTGTTAGCACGGTTGGCTACGTACGGTGCGAAAGAAGTTCAACATACATACGTATATACAGCTCGTCGTCGGGCAGAGGAAATGAGGAAACTCTTTGAGCCTGTACTTGAATGGGTAGGGAGATTCATATTCTTGGTTCTTTCGGTAAAGTCACGTAGAAGGGAAACAATAAAATAATAAAAATATAAAACAATGAAATTCTCACGACGTTTCGACTGCAACACAAGCAATCATCATCAGGTGTGAAAACCACAGCAAGAAATTTGAAAAAAGTGGCGGTTATTTTTAACGTAAGCACCACGGAGAGCGATTTGACAGTTTGTTCAGAAGGACGAGTCCATCTATGTTCAGAAAAGAGGAGGGGGGAGACGAAAATAATGGATGCGGTCTGACAGCCACCGCAAGCGTGAATAATCAATTAAGACCCGAAATGGTTTATCAAATCCTTCCAATGATTGCTAAACCAGAATCCATCTTCTTGGTTGAAATTGTCTTTGTGTTTGTATATGTGGATAGCCTCATGAACGAATCTCTCATGGTAGCCAGATGGCTTGCAGAGAACCTCTGCAGTCACGAAAGCTTTAAATCAAAATTTGGGTACGGAGAGTTGACAGCACGGATGTCTGTGAGCAGGGAGTTCCAGAGTGGATGGTGGCAAAGTAGACGGTGCAAACTGGTACTGGGCCATGGTCCACTGGGGGCCTTCGACAGATGCCTTGGTTGCTGGAGTGGAGAGTGTGTGGAGGGGCGGGGGGTAAAGTGGAATGAGAGGGGGTTGTGGAGGTATGGACAGGCAGTAGCGAGTCCACGCAGGGTCTTGCATACGGTGAGTGCGGTCTTGGAAATGATCTGGAATTGTATCGGGAGGCAGTGGGAGCGATCGCGTGAGTATCGGGGTGCTGTGGTCCCCTTTTGTGGGTTCGGGTGAGGAGTATGGCATTGGCATTTTGGGTCAACTGGAAATTTGAAGACGGAGGATTTGGGGCAGCCGTAGGGAAAATATTCTGACGTCGTTTTCTCTGACACAGGGGGATGCACAGCGAGCTGCAGATATTCAGCTGGGTAAAGGCCTCCTCAGACCGTGTCAGTCATGGGAATTGTTTGACCATACTTCACCATGCTGGTCTACACGGGTTGGTGATAGCCTTTCCACTGTGCTGCCATGTAACTGCCCCTACTGGACATGTATGAAAGAGCTTTGGAGCTCATCGGATTCCTCAACTACGAATAAATATTCTGATTCTGAACCAACAATCCACTTAGCGCCTGTGTGCACGCGGACCGAACGAATCGCTCCATGCATCTCGTGAGGTGGACGTCCTCTGGGACGCGTTCCATTCCTCGGCTGGCATTCCGTCATTACTCCGACCCATCGTCCATCATCCCGTGGAGGCGTGACGCGTCCCACCCAAGCCTCACCTGGCTCAGACCTCACCTGGCTCGCACCTCACCTGGCTCGCACCTCACCTGGCTCGCACCTCACCTGGCTCGCACCTCACCTGGCTCGCACCTCACCTGGCTCGCACCTCACCTGGCTCGCACCTCACCTGGCTCGCTCCTCACCTGGCTCGCTCCTCACCTGGCTCGCACCTCGCCTCACCTCGCCTGGCTCGCACCTCGCCTCACCTGGCTCGCACCTCGCCTCACCTGCACCTCACCTGGCTCGCTCCTCACCTGGCTCGCTCCTCACCTGGCTCGCTCCTCACCTGGCTCACTCCTCACCTGCACCTCACCTGGCTCGCTCCTCACCTGGCTCGCTCCTCACCTGGCTCGCACCTCACCTGGCTCGCTCCTCACCTGGCTCGCACCTCACCTGCACCGCACCTCACCTGGCTCGCACCTCACCTGGCTCGCACCTCACCTGGCTCGCTCCTCACCTGGCTCGCACCTCACCTGCACCGCACCTCACCTCACCTGGCTCGCACCTCACCTGGCTCGCACCTCACCTGCACCGCACCTCACCTCACCTGGCTCGCACCTCACCTGGCTCGCACCTCGCCTCACCTGGCTCGCACGTCGACATTCTAACGACTCGCAGCAGGGGACAGAATGAATGACAGTGTTAATTTTCAGACCCATATGTGGAGGAATTCGGGGTGGCTTTGCCCGAACAAGGACTGGGACTGGGAAAAAGCCATTGGTAACCTTTTTATCGATCACCATTCAATATTAGCATAATTCATCATTCTGTCGCGGATTCATTCTGCCCCTCAACATGAACATAATGGACCACTATGTTCGGGGATTAATTCTGCCCATCAACGTGACCATAATTTTATCGTTCATTCTGTCCGTGCATTCATGCTACACGTTGACATAATCGTCTCATTCTTTCTGTCGAGCAATTCATCGTACCCGTTTCCAGCGCGGACGGTTGAAGCCCCCGGCTGGAATGAATCGACGAGAAACCCGACCCCCCTGGAAAAACAACAGCGCGGGTTGCCTAACAACCTTGCAAGTGAGCCGCAGGCCCCTGTTTATACTGAAGTCCTTTTTGTATTTTATTATTTGTATCCATGTTTTGTCGAGCGCATCCACAGCTCCATCGGTTAGCGGCGGTTCCGAATTTATAATAAAAGCTGTACGCTTATTCGCGCCATCGAAGTTGTGGCTGTATTTTTTTTACAAAAAATTATCTTTCTCGATTTATTTCTGTATATTTATGTGGTAGTATATGGATAGTGAGTAACAGAGATGAACAGAGGGATAGATATGCGACAGTCCTCGACTTGCAGACGTAATTACTTTCTGTGACCCGTTCGTAAGTCGGAACACAATAATGCACTGTACTATATTTAAATACCCATACGATCAGTGTTATGAAATTTGTTACGGTTAAACAAAAAATTGAAGCATTCATAAACTCGTAAATAAGAAATATTGTACATTAACAATTTAACACTGTAAACAAAATACTGTACTGTATTTCAGAAAATTGTAACTATTGAAAAGTAAGAAATTATGAATGACAACGATAATTAGAATCCTGCTGCAGGGTCTGCTGTATGTAGATATGAAATATATTAGTTTGTGAGTCTTTCTGTAAGTACAGTATATGTATCTCTATGTGAGTCTCTGGGTCTCTGAAAGCTGGATACAAAAAAATACAAAAGCAATAGAAATGTGTGTTTTAAGAAAGTTTCATGGACGGACCCAAGATTATTAACATGAATGTTTTACAGATAGCAGCAGGGTACACAACAAAAAAATAAAAAAATAGAGAAAGGAATAGTTCGAGATCTTCAATACGTAATGAGAAAAATAG